TCTATTTCTTTTCATATTTGTCATTGTATAATGAAATTCTCATAATAATAGTAAATGTCCTCTTAGTATTGCAATAAAAGCAAATTTAACAGAAATTGTCAAATACTTAGTTGAACATGGTGCCAATGTTAACATGAAACTTATTCTCTTTCTTTTGATATTTAGTATCATTTTAAATCATTCTATTTCTCTTCATATATATCATTGTTTAATTGCGTCCTCCTTCTTTTCATATTTATCATTGTTTAATAGAATTTTCATTCTTTTCATATTTATCATTGTTTTATGAAATTCTCTTTCTTATGATATTTATCGTTGTTTTATAGAATTCTCGTCCTCTTCATATTTATCATTGTTTTTTACATTCTCTTTCTTATGATATTTATCATTGTTTTATAGAATTCCCCTTCTTTTGATATTTGTCATTGTTATATGAAATTCTCTCTCTCTTTATATTTATAATTGTTTTATATGATTCTCTTTCTCTTAATAATTATCATTGTTTTATGAAACTTTCTTTCTTTTCATATTTATCATTGTTTAATGAAATTCTCACAATGTTAATGAATGCCCTCTTAGTATTGCAATAAAAGCAAATTCAACAGAAATTGTCAAATACTTAGTTGAACATGGTGCTAATTTCAACGTGAAACTTATTCTCTTTCTTTTGATATTTCTCATTGTTTTATAAAATTCTCTTTCTTTTCACTTTTCTCATTATTTCATTGCATTTTCTTTCTCTTCATATTTATCATTGTTTCATTGCATTTTCTTTCTCTTCATATTTATCATCATTTTTTCATATTCTTTTTCTTTTCATATCTATCATTATCTTATGGAATTCTCTTTCTTTTCATATTTATCAATGCTTTTTCTTTTCATATTCATCACTGTTTTATAGAACTCTCTTTCTTTTCATATTTATCACTATTTTGTATATTTCTCTTTCTTTTCATATTTATCATTGTTCTATCAAATTCTTTTCCATTTCATACTTGTCATTATTTTATGTCATTCCATTTCTTTTCATATTTATCATTGTTTTTTCACATTCTCTTCCTTTTGATATTTGTCATTATTTTATGACATTCTCTTTATTTTGATATTTTTCATTGTTTAATGTAATTCTCATTCTTTTCATATTTATCATTGTTTTATTACATTTTCTTTCTTTTCATATTTATCATTGTTTTATAAAATTTTATTTCTCTTCATATTTGTCATTGTTTTATAGAATTCTCAATCTCTTCATATTTATCGTTGTTCTATATATTTCTCTTTTGTTTCATATTTTTTATTGTTTTATAGAATTTTCATTCTCTTCATATTTATCATTGTTTTATTACACACTCTCTCTCATCATATTTATCATTGTTTTATAAGATTCTATTTCTTTTCATATTTATAATATTTTTATAAAATACTCTTTACTTTCACAATTATCATTGTTTTATTACATTCATAAAATGTTAATGAATGCCCTCTTAGTATTGCAATAAAAGCAAATTCAACAGAAGTCGTCAAATACTTAGTTGAGCATGGTGCTACGAATATCCAATAATTCTTTTTCTCGTTGTTCTATGTTAAAATGATATAGTAATACTCGCATTATTTAAGAATAAATATTCCACATCAATAATTTAATGTTCATTCGCCGTGTTAGCACACTCAATTTGAAGAAAGTAACTTTTTTTTAGGGAGAAATAATCATAACACTAATCAAATATCTTTCTCACTGTTGGGGTTGTTGTTCTTTTTGTATTACTATTTGATGAATTTAATTTTGGAATTGTCATTTCTCATCTGTAAATGTTGGAAATCATAGTTTGAATGTATTCCTTTCGGCCATTATTTGGTGATAAGTTAACAAGATTGACTAAATCGTTCAAAATTTGTATAAATTGCGAAGGAGTATATTTAAGTAGAATCGGTAAACAACAGGAGAAGAACAAAGAATACAATGTTTATTGTGATTTTAAACCCAACAATTTGAGTATTGATTTGGCTAGATTTAAGTAAACCGATCAAACAACTGATTAATTCGATGAATTGTTTAATAGACTCAACTGTTTTTATGATCTTATTTGAGTGAATATCATTGCATAATTGTTAAGATCGCAAAAGTTTTTTCATACGTTTTGTTCTTTCTGATGATTTTTGAGATTGCCGTTTTTCAATATCAATTTTTTGAGTATGGATTATTGTCATCTTAAAAAGTAATAAAATTATCATAATTATCTTTAGGGGTGCACTTACAATCCTATGACAAGACCTTCAATTCAGATGTTTAAGATTAATTTTCAATGGCTCTTCACATCAGTTGTCAAAAAATTGAATTAAAGTCAGATGGGCGTAAGTGCACCCTTAAAAGTGATAAAATTATCGTTGTCATCTTTAAGATTAATATTATTGTCTAAAAAAGTGATAAAATTATCAATGTCGTCTAAAAAATTGATTTTCAAAATTTATGAAACATTGTTATTTATTAAATAAGTATGATTTGGGATCTAAATATAGAAAGAAAATCAAAACCGTCTATGTTCATTCAATATACAAACTAATCAAATATGATTGATTCAAAGAAATATATGCCTCACATGATTATAAAAAAATATCTTATGCATCATTTCCTTTAAATATCGAATTTACAAAGTCATATTTGAAACATGCGAAATATATTTAATAAACTCACTTAATTATATCTCATATAATCTTTATACTCCTTTAAAATCAGTTCAAAAATCATTTTTCATTGAAAAAAAAAGGAAATTTCTTAATTTTCACAGAAAAACACTAAAACTAGATGGTATTTGCTAACAAACATACAAAGTTCATATAAATACTAATAAGCAAACGAATCTAAATTAAAATGAAAAAAAATAAATTTCAAATCAAAAAATTAAATTAAAAAATGGATAAGTAATATAGTGTATATTGATCAAAATATGAAGCCTATTGTATTCGATGTAGTTATATAAAAAAGGAAAAATTAATTAAAAAAATCGTGATTTGTTTGGTCTACATGCGAAGATGTAGAACCCTATGAAACACAGTCGTTGTTCTGGTTTCATATATCGACCTGGATTGACATCAAGGTCGATTATTGGGTCAAACCCAAATCACTTTTGAACAAAGTGATACCATGCTTTTTGAAGCATTTCAAACATATTTATTTACCATGTTGGTTCGGCGTGCTTCTTCTTCTTTTCAACTGTCCACTCGAACTTACGAAGGCGGCCCAAGCAGTACATTGTAGCCTTCTTGCAGGACTGGCAGGTGAATCTAAGAGAGATCTTCTTGGATGTCTTCTTAGAACGACGAAGAATTGGCTTAACACGGCCACCGAAACCCTTTTGCTTACGATCGTAACGACGGCGACCGAGAGCGGAGTGGCGCTCTTCACCACGTGATGCTTGGGATACCTTGCACATTGTGTGCTTCTTGCAGAACTTGCAGAAGAACTTCTTAGTCTTTGGATGATGAACCATGAAAAAAAAGGATGTGTAAACTAACCGTCAACCGATGGACGAACGATCGGTTTTTCTGAATTTTTTTTTCTCGGAAGTTCTTGAGTTTTTTTACCAGACAAATTAGACTTATTAAAGATGGCTACTAGTCCTTTTTACAAAGACACTTGAATCTCAACTTGAAACCTGATTATTCAGCAAAGTTGCGTAACTTCATAAAAATCTCACATTTTATAAAAAATACACATAATTTTTATAAGTTTTATTCTTTTCGTGTTCATCCCTAATTATGTGTTCTTTTGAATTTTGCAAATATCCACAACTCATTCAAAAAAGGGAAAAAAAAGTATCATGATAATAACTGAAATTTTTACTACTTTTTCTTTATCGCCTCCTATACATTAGATATTTTTTATGAGGATTAGGTTCATCACTAAATTTGGATATACTTTCTATAGAACAATTTTCTATTTTAAAATGATGAAAATCATTAAAATCGGAAATTTCTTTTTTATTAGTGTATATAACTTTCCCTGCATTACTTGAGACTGACTGTGAATCAACATATGAATCTGAAATAGTCAAATTATGACCTGCATTTTTATTGATATGAAACATATACTTTGCAATGTTATTTAAAAATATGCAGTGATCAACATTAGTTGTGGTACTACAAATAAATAAAACTATGTCATTGCCTGTTCCGCAGTTATTTTCAATTACATTGCAATAAGAAACTGTTTGTGTTACTCTATAATCATTACTCCAAAAAAAAGTGATTTACTATCAGTTTGGTTGTTTCCTCTGAATGTTGAGAAATTACATGTACCTGAACTTCCATAAAGAGAACTGCCATATGATGATCTTATATTGCATTTGTTGTTTGTGCTATTGATATTGGAAATACGTATATCACCTTCATCATTTTCAAATGTATAACTTCCTATTGATTCATTTTCTCCGCAATTAGAAACAGAAACATCAAGTGCATAGTTTTTATATGATGGGCGAGCTTCAGTCCATTGTCTAAATTCCATGAAAGAATTTCTTGCTATTGATTTAAAATAACACGTTCATTTTTGTACAAATTGTCCTTCTTGATTGCATACATAGAAAACTGATCCACCACCATCATTATCTGAAGCGGAATAACATCTGCTAAAACTGGAATCTTCAAGTAATGTGCAAATACTGTTTGTTCTTTTGATGTAAATTGCACCATTTTCTTTGCATTCTTCAAAAATACAATAAAAAATGTAATAATTATTAGAACTTGTTGTATCTGAGAATGATGTTCCATTCTGTGTCTGTATAACTTTGGTTTTATCACCAAAATAGTCTTCCCAACTAGATCTGAGTTCAATGTTAGTTCTTGTGATCATCCTCTAAATGTATTAGCGATTTATTCAAGAATTCCGTGTGGTGATGAAAATTTTTTGCTTTGTAAGGTGTTTTTTGTTGGAATAAAAAACGACTCAAAAATAAAACATCGTTACGATAGACACGGTTTGGTCGAAGAAAAGCCTCATCAAAATGTCTAACCAAAATCTCACAAAATCTCAGCTCAAGAAATTAAAAGCCAAGCAGGAAACTGAGGCTATCAACGCCAAACGTAGAGCTATGCGTGAAGCTGAAGAAACAGAGGATTTACTTGCAATTATTCCAATGTTCAAGGCTTATAAGAAAAACGGTCTTGATATCACAGTTAAATCTCACAAGCATGCTCCAGAAGAACTTAAGACATGGATCTTTGAGCTTACAAAGTCCTGCATGCAAAACTATTATGAAAATGGCAATGGATGGGATGATAAGATCAAGAATACAGAGCTCTTTGAGGACAGAGCCAGATATTTAATTGCCTACGATGGTGAAAAACCAATTGGCTTCGTTCACTTCCGTTTCGAATATGATCAAAATGAATATATCTTATACTTCTACGAGATCCATATTGAAGAAGCATACAGAAACAAAGGTCTCGGTAAGTTCCTTGTCCAAGCATGCGAATTCATTGCTCTCAAGAACAAAGTTGAATTGGTCATGTGCACACTCTTCAAAGAGAACGGTGGCTCTGTCAAATTCTTCGCTGGACTTAACTACAGACCACATCCATCATCCCCAGAGATGATTGACCCTGCTGACGGCGTTGAAGCTTATTACCAAGTTCTTTGGAAGCCACTCATCAAGAAACAGTAACTTTAACTGATTATTTATAGATTAATAAAATAGAAAGATTATTATTTATTACTAAATTTATGCATCTTTTGAATACGAGACAAAAATCACCAAAATGACTGAAAATGCAAGTTAAGGATAGAATTTACTGAGTTTGCAGGGATACTTGATAGTTGTAACTTCAATTGGTACAATAGTAATGAATTTCTTGAATTGGAGATGTTGTAGAGTTGTCGATTCTCCCCATTGAACATATAATCTTTTTATCCTAATTAAAATATGCCTGTTCTTATAAATATGACGCTCAAAACGCTAAAAAACTCGAAGGCAGGAATGATTTTTCCATGAAAATATCGGAATTTGGTATTTTAAATACGAAAATTACTAATACTTTCTTATGTGATAGCAAATTCATCAACATGGAAGTGATACATGTCGTTTACAAATTGACCACACAACTGGAACTACGATACAATCGATTTTTACGGGGAAATATAATTCTGAACATATATTTATTCATATTCTACAGAATATCTTAATGCCGCCAAAATTACTCATTTTCCTCTCAATTAAAATTTGTAAACTTCTCAAAAATGGCGCGCCAAGGAAATTCACTTTTGGCGCACAATTTTTATTTCCGACAATGCAAGTAGGACGTATTGAGGTTGTCGTTGGACCAATGTTCGCTGGAAAGACTACAGAGATGCTTCGCCGCATAGACAGAGCAGAGCTTGGCCGCAGACGCTGTGTTGTCATGAAATACGATAAGGACCAAAGGTACTCAACCGACAAAGTATCAACACATGATCAATATATGCATGATGCCATCCCATGCAATGAGCTCATGCCTCACTTTAACGAATGTTTGGCTTACGAAACAATTGGCATCGATGAAGGCCAGTTCTTCCCCGATGTTGTAGAGTTTTCAGAGAAGCTCGCAAACTATGGCAAGACAGTGATTGTCGCTGCCCTTGATGGAACCTTCCAGAGGAAGCCGTTTGGCAGTGTCCTCGAATTGATGGCCAAATGTGAGTCTCTCACTAAACTTACAGCTGTCTGCTGCAAGACTGGTGGAGAGGCTGCTTTCAGTAAGCGTACTGTTAACTCAGATTCCATTGAGCTCATCGGTGGCGCTGAATCATACACAGCTGCTTCAAGAAGTGCATTCTTCGGAACAAATACATCTGGTGAGATCCATCTTACTGTTGGACCAGTTAAGAGCGGTAAGACTACTGAACTCCTTCGTGTTTTGAACAGATACGTAATTGCAGGACGTAAAGTTGTCTGCATTCGTCCAGAAGATGTAGTTGATCACCACAATCCTAAGTTTGAGATGAAGCTCGTCAGAGATCTTCCAGATATTGCTTCACTTAGCAATTACGATGTAATTGGTATTGACGAAGCTCAGAAGTTCAAAAACCTTGCTGATTGGGCAGATGAGCTTGCTAACAGCGGCAAGATTGTCATGGTCTCTGCTGTCGATGGCGATGAACAGCACCATGCCTATCCAGGAATAATTGAATTGTTCCCACGCTGCGAAAAGGTTATGAAACTTGATTCAGTCTGCCCACTTACTGGTCTTCCAGCTCCATTCTCTGCTGTTATTGATGGAATCAGAATGATCCCGATTTCTCGTCTCGGAATAATGTACCAGCAATCACTTGGACTTGCACTCACAGCTGCACATTAAGAATAATACTTGTTTAAAAATAAAAATTACTCTAATACGATCTTTACTCATTTGATGAAACTTATAATTTTGTTTTTCAATGATGTAGAATAAGCTTTTAATATGATAGATTACGTTCAAACATGTATGATCTCTTGTTTGTATAGATCTCTCATCGCAATCTTTTATTCAATTCAACTCTAACTTAGTCTAGAGTTTTTTCTACAAGGAATTCTGCAACATCCTCATAGAGGAAAATCGTGTGATATTAAAAGTCTTCATTGTTATTGTATTGATATCGGATTGTGAGGAAAATGTGTTTTTTGACTGTTCCCTATTGAAACCAAAAACATTAGAATTTCTTGAGTTGCATTGAAATAAGAAGTTGAAATATGTTTTTGTTATAATTGGTCATATAAAATAAACGTCTTGTTATCAAAAAAATTGAAGGAAGGAAGTAGTTTTGGTTTTGTTCTTTTAATTATTATGACAATATGATTCTAAATTTATTTCCAGGATTGATGAACCACAAAAATTGTCAAGAAAAGTTTCAGAAATAAATTGAATGGACGCGCGCCCAAGGAGGGAGAGGCGATACTCTCAGCAAACAGGTTCTGGGATCAAGCTTTCTAACTCGTTAGGTACAAGCTTAATCTTACCACCAAGTACTGGCAGAAGCAATACAAAATTATCAAATTCACTATCAAATCAAAGAAAAAGTCAAGTAATTTTCGGATTAACAAAAGAAATCCAAGCTGCACAGCAAGAAGCGTCTATTATCATACCTGTAAGTCATCAACCGCAAACAGAGCCAACACCAACTCAAAAAGATCAAAATAAACAAAAAGGAATTGAGTTATTCGACGACTTTCTAGATCTCACACATCAAATGGATACCATTGATGCCCTTAAAACGCTATTATCTCAGCATTTCAGCACCAAAAACGTCTATGTTTTTGAATACGCAGGATCTTCAGGTGTTTTATATTGCCAATACGCTAACAAAGTCATGCCTTGCACCACTGGTCTCCTTGGATATTCCTATCTCAACAGACAAATAATTTTTGATAACAGTCCTTGGACAAATCAATATTATGATAAGCAATACGATGACAAGTTCTGTCCTATTGACTCCAAAGTCTTCATTTTACCTCTATTTAACTCATTCAGAGAGATGAAATACGTTATTTACATAATTCGCGATAAATTTGGCGAACCTTTTAATAATTTTGATATGCAGATTGCTGTATCATTTCAAAACTGCTTCCATCACTTCTCAGAATACCTTAGTTCGAATCATTACGTAAATATTGAGACAATTTCAGAAGCATTCAGAATTATGGAAATCGGACAATTCCTAGTTCTTTACCAACGCAGTATGAAAAAGCTTTTCAACTGCAAAACAGCAGAAATTTGGAAATTTGATGAAGATAAGCAAAAAATCACTCTTTATAGTTCCAAAGTACAAAACATTGATCGTGATAAAGCTGGCATTGTCGGAGTTTCTCTTTTCTCTCACCAACTTGTAAATTCTCATATTCAGAAACTTGTGAGTAGTTACAACCCAGATGTTGATGGTACAGAAGACCAACCAATTCTATCTTTCCCTTATCAGTCCAAGAAGATGAAAACTTGGTATTCATTTGTTTTCCGCGCAAAAATCGATTGTCCGGTCTTTACATCGAACGATGAAGCCAATATCAGACAGTTGGCCCCATATATTATCATTGCGTTCGAAAATGATGAAGAATTTGAACAGACCAAATCCCAAAATACAGGAACGACTTCAATTAGGAACAGATCGTCTGGATCATTCATTGAGGTTGCCGAAAAACTTCGTGGCCCTTCAGATAAATTGACCAGTTACGTAATAGATCAAATTCAAAGTCAATGTTGTGCGACAAAAGTAATTCTTTTGCAGTGCGATAATGAGAGAGGCCAATTATATACATTTGTTGATGGTAAAAGGTTCGAAATGACCATGAGATCTGGAATTGCCGGAAAAACTTACTTAACTGGCCAAGTTTACAACATAGGAAACGTTCTAGATGATCCAGAATTCGATTCTTCCTTTGATAATATGATGAACTTCAAGACTCTTTCAGTTTTGTCGATTCCAATATTTGATCAACGGAAAAATGTCATCGGAGTTGTCCAATTATTGAACAGAAAAGACAATAGACCATTTTCTAATGACGATATTAACATCGCTACTTCATTCCTCTCTGTTTACGGCGTTGTAAGTGATAATTGGTTTTTGTACAAGCAGGAACAGACAACAGAAGGCAGGAACACAATTATCATGAGGTCTGTTTCACGTGTTTCCCGTGGTTCTACCAATCTTCCTGAAGTATTAAACGGAATATTGCAAGAAGTCAAAGCAGAACTCAATGCAGAGAGGTTCTACGTATACGTCAAGGACAATATTGAAGACCACCTCAATTTGTTCACTACAGATGTTGAAGAAAACGTTCCTCCGCACATTCCAAAGGCAACCTTACCGAATATCTCCAGAATTACTAACGATGCACAAAACGATAAGATGTTTTCGGCCATTTTGGATAACGCCACAAACACAAAAACCAATTCCTTCATTTCTACTCCGATGTACAGATTAGATGGCAAATTTATTGGAGTAATACAGATCTGCAATGCTCCTCATGGCTTTGACATAAAAGATCTAAGACTTCTACAGGTAATTGGAGCCATTTGCACCCATCCAATTGAAGTAAAAGATTTATCTCAAGAAGCAGTCAAAGGAGAGATGCAAACAACCATGTCAAAGTTCATTTCGGAGACAGAAATGAATGAATTCTCTATCCCTCATATGCTTGTTTACTCAAAACAAGAAGATACAGAGGCAAATAACTTGGAATTCGCTTCTTACATGTGGGATTACGATACAACATTTAAAGTTGTGTTCGCAGTATTCAACCAATTCAATTTAATGAAGAAATTCCAAATAACTGCGTCAACTTTATTTAATTTCATTTTCGAAGCACGTTCTGAGTTCCAAATTGTTCCATTCCATAATTTCTACCTAGCAATAGACCAACTACAGTTCCTAAATATACTTATCAATGAAGGAAACTTAGAAAGAATATTACAACCGACAGAATTCTTAGCGTTGATCATTGCCACTCTCTGTCATGATATGGGTCATGATGGTGTTGACAATAAGTACTTAAGAGAGACAAACAGCCCAATTTTCGCAGCATTTCCTGAATATCCAAATGAAAACCACCATTTCGTCATCCTTATTGAGGTTATTAAGCGAAGTGGTTTGTTCAACAATATAAATCTTCAGGATACAACTGCTATTTGGGGAGTAATTCGAGATTTAATTTTATCTTCCAACTGTGATCCGAAAGAACTTCAAAAAGAAACGAACGAGATCGTTATGAATGGTCCTCCCGACATGCAAAACCCAAGAACAAGAAAAGTTTTGATGAGATTGCTTGTAAATATCTGTGACTGGTCATACTCCATGAGATCATGGGATGTATGTGATAAATGGTCGTTTAACCTGTTCGCTGAGCATTTCATGCAAGGAGATCTGATGACAGAGCTTGGATTGAAGCCGGATGAGCACTATCTACGCGGTAAACCAGTAGAAAAGCAGAAAGAAACTGTTTGGTGTATAGAAGAAGAACTAATAAGACTGACAACGTTAATTAGTAAAATTGTACCAGATTTCCAGTTCTTAGAGGTTGCTGCCCTCAGAAACATTGATAGGAGAAAAGAAAGATATATTAAGGGTGCACCCGTATGTACGTTTATTTGAGAGGAGGAGGATTACCCTCTCAATTTTGAGGGATTCGTTAGTTTATTTTCTCGATGAATATGCAATAAAATTTGATTTTTACCTTATCAATATACTTCATATAATATACACATGTTCATGTAAAAACTTTTTTCCAAAATCCTCAGGAATTAAGGGATTTTTGAATTTTAAGAAATTTTTTTCGAATTTTTTCGAAAAAAAAATATTTTCACAACAGCCTTAACGGCTAAGATTTAGGAACAATGTTAAGTATCAAAAAGAAAGGAGGTCTGATATAGACAACATATATCGTTGAAGGTTGAAAAAATCTCTAATATTTGAGCCCAAAATTTCAAATTTTAATTTTTTGAAAAAAGAGGCCACCCGTATGTACGTTTATTTGAGAGGAGGATTATATTTTTGAAAGGGTGAAACATTATGAATATGTTAATTATATAATAATATGTATTATTATAAAAAAGAAAAATAAAGCACGTTAAAATTTTTCTTTCTTGATTTTTTACAAAATCTACTTAGAATTATGCAAAATATGACTAAATAATTATAAATTTCAAGTTAAATTTTAATTTTGATAAATAATTTAAATTTCAAAATATCAAGTTCAGTTCGACTATGTATGTAGTAATTCCTCAATAAAGTGCCAAAACCCTATTAAAATATATGAACATTTTCAACATTTTAATGTTTTTATTTAAAAATTTGATGGAATATGAGCTTCAAACAATTATTATGTAAATAAAAATAATTAAATATATGTATTTATTCGTATTACAACCGTAGTAAGTCGATTCTTCCTTTCTTCTACTGAGATTTGAATTTGATTTCGAATTGTAAAGAGATTCAAAGGGAAAATACTAGCGGATAAAAACTACCTCCATGAAAGGGTCAGAATGGAGTCAAGTTGTATTTTTTGATATTTTTTGCTTTTCGAGCCTAAATAGGTAGCCAAGATAATGCCTAAAAATAAGGTTCTAAATTCTGAAGTTTACATGATCCTCTCGTGTGCACCCTTAATGGTAAGTAATTTATGTTTAAATAAATATATTTGTGTGATATTACGCGATTAACAACCAAAAATGATTTTTACATGCTACTGTTAATCAAAAGAATCAGCTTTCGAATAATGTAGTAATGAGGTTTTTGAAAATTTCATCAGATCAAAATTAAGATATTCCCAATATTTACTTAGGTTTCTGTATGTTGCGATTAGGTATATTTCATAAAACAAATTATTTGGTTGCTTGGCCATATGTCTTATTTTCCACTTTTCTCAAAAAAAATTCAATACATATTGAAAATTCATTATTTTCGTTGCATAACCAAACAATGAAGGTGTCTATCACTGCGCCCGATGGTCCACGTATCTTCAAAAGCAAGAAGGAATATCCCCATCCCATGCTAAAAGCATTCCAAATAAGAATTGCTCACCTTTTCAAAATTCCTTATAAGAGAGAAGACTACAGAAGCAGAAGCAATACCATAAATTGGCTTCTCCAGGATGGTAGATGGAACCAATATAAACATTTGTACCGTTACGTCGAATTTAGAGATCCAGAGATCTTCTTTACTGGTCCTCTTATGTTTGGCAAATCTGAAGGCGGACACCGTGTTTATGATAATGGAACGATTTCAGACCTCTTCGTTCATCCAGATCCAACGAAAGAAGGAGGAATCCGCCGTCGTGCTCCAAAAACATATAGAAAGGAGCAGGAGAATCATGTGGATTCACCTATCGAAAGTCCACAGTCTGAACCTCCAGCAACTCAAGAACGGCCATCTGTTTTGGATTCCTCGTCAGATAACGATTTCAACGAATTCGTTAATCCTGACGATCAGCCAACCACTGGCTCTTCATTTACTGAAAATCAGCCAACCACTGGCTCTCCAATCATTGAAGATCAGTTCAACACTGACTTTTCATTCATTGAAGATCAGTTATCTAATTCTGATCTTCATTTCCCCGATAACCCATTTTAGGGCCTTTTTCGCTTATAGATTTCCAGGTGACTATGTCCTGTATTAATTACAGCGCTTGTAACCTGGGAGTTTATTTGTCAATTAGGCCTTCATTTTTCAACTCAAGTAAAATTGAAATTCTCACCCGATCAATAGGGTGTCCGGAAAATACCCTTGGCGGCAAGAAAAACCCCTTGGTAAGTACAAAGGAAGCATAATTTGGACAAAATAAATTATGCAATGATATAAGGTCGCCAAAAAAAGTGCGGAAATTAAAAACCGCAGTTTGAGTACTTTCTGAGAGTCTGTTTGTCAGAAAGTATGCATTTGTAAACTTTCTGACACTAAAATTTTTTGGTCCTTTCAAAGTTTTTGACAATGTCAAAAAGTATACATCGGGGCTCACAATTTTCCTCTCAAACGGCGGTTTTTAAAAAACGCTCAATTTTTCATCGACCTTATACATGGTATGTATATTATATATTAATTTTTGGATTTCATAAAAATATATCTCATCCTGAAATACGAAAAATTTTTGACAGATTTTTTTCACAAAAAAATCAATTTTTAAACGTAATCGAAAATTTTGTAGATTACGATTATTTTCCATTGAAAAATTATCACTAAAAAACTTTAAAAAATTAACTTTTATTCCAATTATTATCAACTTTACCCATTCTCAGCAATGTCCGCATATCACGACACGATTTAACTCAACAACCTTCCACTGAAAAGATTCTCCAAAAACATCGAAACATGAAGAGTGTGATGGACTGGTTCTTTGGTAATGAATCACAAGTTCCTGAAGAGAACTCTCAACGTGTAATTTTGATATTGATCTCTGCAGGATTCAAAAATGACTATTGCTCTATCTTTATTACAAGTGTTTAAATTGTGCTTTTAGTAAATTTACTATGAGATGATGGTTATATTAGAATGATCTAGAGATGATGCGCTTTTGATTATATTAACTCATGGAGTAAATATATGAAAATGTTAGTAATAGGTATAGAAGAATGGATTATTACTTTTGCCGGCGTATGTTATGGCTATATATAGAACTAAATGATATGGTTTTGAGAGAAATTAAATATTTAAAAACTTCGAATTATTAAAGAAATAAGCATAATATCCCTTAGGAAGAGTGACCTCTTTAAATGCATTTATCAATCCGAATGATTGGTTATAAAAAGTTGAAATTTAATTTTTTTTTTTTCAAAAAAAGGTAATTTAATAAATATATATAAGTTTGTTTATTTATTGTTTGACTTTAAATATCTTTGGAATGAAATCGGTCAATTTATCGAAATTAGGTAACTTAGAAATAAGATACTCCACAATTGGATTTGACAATCCCAGAGCGTTCAAACCGCCAATTGCAGGTATCTTTGTTCCCAATCTATCCTTTACATCTTTGCTTAGTGCTGTCCAAGGTGCTGTTGGTGTGAAACCCTGGTATTTATATTCAGGGTGGTCGATACAAGTAATTTCAAATAGAGGAGTATTTCCTCCATTGTCAATAATTGTTGCTCTCCAGAGGCATTTCTTCTTTGCTTCTACAGGTGAATAATAGAGCTTCACGTATGTGTAATTTGCAGGGAAAATGTATCTTTGCGTGTGCCATTTCGGTCTGTCGTAAACAATGTATCCGATGTTTTCAAGTCTGGCTCCTGCAGCAACTTCCAAAGGAAAAGTAACATTTCCTTGCATGACTTGAAGGAGAACTTTGTTTCTTGAAGTAACAATGTATTCGTTAGATGTTTGTTTTTCTTCAGGTTCTTCTTCTTTTTGTTCGATTTCTTGAGAATTCTTCTTTTCTTCCTTTTCAGATTTTTCTGTTGAAGATCCAGAACTTTCGTTTTCTGACTCTGATTCTGAAGATTCGGAAGAAGATTCTGATGATGAAGATGTTGGTAAATCAGGCATATCATCATCAGAAGAAGATTCAGAAGATTCATCTTTATTTCTTCTGTTGTTTCTTCTCTTCTTTTTATTGTTTTCTTCTTTATTTTGTGTTGAAGAACTTTCTGTTTTTCCTTGTGTATTTGCTGTTGGATTTTGTTGTTTAAGTTTCCTTTCTTGTTCTCTTTTACGTCTCTGTTCTCTTCTCTGGTCCGCGTAATGGTCCTTTTCTTCTGGCTCGTTCTTGTACTTCGCGTAGATTGCGTTGATTCTTCTGATGTTTCTGTATTCAGTTACTAAACATTCAGGCAATGTTTCCATGTGTGCGAACATTGCTTTAAATGGATCTTCTTTCAAAATCTGGCTTGGAGATCCGAAACCTCTTTCGGCGAATCTCTTGAAGAAGAGCATTTCCATTTTACTTGTGAATTCCGATGGAAGTTCTCTTCTATCCATTGCAGCTTCGATTTTACTGACAAAAACATCATCTGACAAAGTATTCAGCATTTCTCGGAGTTGATCTAATGCTTGAACGTGTTTAACAATTCTCAAAGCAGTTGCAGGAGCTATTTCTCCATCACTTACTTTCTCGACTTTCTTTCCTTCCGCTTTATTCTTGTTGCATTGTTCCATGAAAGATTCCAAGTAATCTCTGACTTCATCAACTGATTTGTCACTCCATCCAAGAGTCAATCTCAAGGCCGCGTAATCGCATTCTCCGTTTGCATCTCTTCTTATTCCATCCTTCATTAGATGGAGTCTCAATTTGTCTTTGTCTGCTTTAGTCCATTGAGAATGAACACCTGTATCAACAAAGACTTTCTTCGATTTCTTCTTCGAGTTTTGCTGGTTTTTGTCTTTCTCTGGTTTCATGACTCTTCCAATTGCTTCTCCGAGTTTGTTCAGTCTGTCCGTGTAATACGATCTCTGTACATCTTCTCCATCTTGTGTAACAAACATTTGGCTGATCATTGGGTCTTCGTCCATCAAAAACAAGTCGTAATTTCCAAAACCGTATTTGACAGTTGCGAAAACCAATGCTTTGTCTAAATCTTCATTCCATCCAATGAATGGCTCTTCTCCTGTTGGTCCCCAGTCTTCCAACTCGTGGTATGTCTTCACAAGTTTCAGTTTCTCGTTGAAAAGATAGAGCATTTCAACTCTTTTCAGGTAAATGTTGTTGATCTTTTTCAGGGAACTTCTGAAACTTGAAGTTGCCCAGACACCTTTTTCGAAGAATTTCGTGTTCTTCTCGTTTGTTAAGAGCTTTCTCGCGTGGTAATATGAGCCACCACCTCTTGTGTTCCTAATAAAGAAGGATAACAATACCTGGCCGATGTCTTTCATCACTTCACCTGTGACTCTGATTCCGGCCAATTTAGAGATTTCGTCACCACCGAAAATGGACTTTCCTGTGAGGTATCTGACGGATTGGTTGATCTCTCTGACTGTCCATTCGCGGTCTGTTGTGGTATCTGGGTCGATCTTGACTTCGTTTGGAAGATTTTCGAGAATGAGTTCCCAGAAATTGATTCCTTCGAACTCATCTTCGAGGAAACCTTCTTTCCTGTAATCCCCTGATTCACCTTTTATAAGATCAATGATGTTTACGGATGGTTCAGGTTGGTATGCGCATAATACGCATCTTCTAGCGATCGGTTCGATCTTTGTTTCATCTAAACCTTGAATATTATAGTATGCGAACCTACGCAACTCGGTTTCCATGCATTCCATGCACTCGAGTTTGTAAGCTTTCGAAATTGTCGATTGAGAATTCATCGCAAGGCGTAATGTTGAGATCACAGAGTTAGCATCTCCATCAATGACCACAACAGTGCTAACTAATGCGCATACATGCGGTAAGAATTGGTAATCAAGAGATAATTTATTGTAACTTTGATCGCAAATGAGGACATTTGACTCAGACATGGTCAGTTCTGTTGATGCAGGAGTGATTCTGTGATAAGAATAGTTGTTTAAGTCACAATAATCCTCAAGCATATCAGCAACTGAGTTAAACTCGGTCATTAACAAGATCTTTTGATCAGAAAGCATCATATCTTTGATGAGGAATGTAGTAACCATCAGTTTGGTCGATGCATCCAAATATGAGTTCAAATTATAATATTCACGATACGGAATAATAAATGGATGGGTCAAAATTCTGTAAATTGTTTGGCAGAGGGGTTTGAAAGAGCCCTTGAGGATCTGCTCTCTATGGTTATTAAGCGCTGTGAGGATTTCATCCTTCTGGACTTGACAAAGAGGACAATTTACAACTCTAAAGTTCATTTTCGGAATTGTTGTCTCTTTTGTCTGTGTTCTACGTGTTGCGGCATGGAGAATCTGCTGTTTAACTGCACGTGCTGAGTCAAGAACATCTGGTTCAATGATTGTTTTCAAAGTATCGCTCTGTAAAACATCCAAGATTTTCGTGATTTCGCATGTACGAGTTCTGAGGCGACTGGTGGTGATGGAAACAATTGGACCTGAATGTGTTAATGTTTTCGCCATGCATCTGTTCGGTCCATCTGTTACAATGGATGCAAATTTGAATGCATTCAAAAGTTCAATGTCTTTCTTCATAACTTCGGGACTTGTAAGGAGTATATGGAATCCATATGTTGATCCTTCAGAATTGAACTCTAAATCGCGGATTTTCTTGCGGATTTCTTTTGATCCTGTGTAAATAACTGTTGTAAGGTTTTTGATGCGCCTGAGATCTTGGTTCCACGCATTTAGTTGATTCTGTGGAAATACAGCAAGGAATGGACCCTTTACGCCGTATTTTGTGTATAAAATTTCGAAATAAGCGCAAATTGAAAGTCTGTAGTTCTGTTCGAGTTCTGCATAAAGCTCTGTTGGCATGTTCTCGTAGAAGTTAGATAAGAGAATGTTAACAGCTGGAAGGTAATGTAATTGAAAATATTCGATTTCATAAGGAAATTCTGTTTCAATTGCTGGCGGTTGATCTAATTTCTTAAGTTCTTCAGATCTTACAGGGAATGAAGCGGATTTTCTTGTATTATACTCTTCAATATCTTCATCATCGATATTTGATTCTTCAGTAATCTGGTCATATCCGAGATTTAGCCATTTGACTAAGTATTTTTCGCCTTTCTTCTGTAAAATTCGATCGACTTTGCAGTAATCTGGATCAAAATACGGTTCTGCTGTTGAAACTGGGTTATTTTTAGATATTTTTGATATCATTGCGGCACCTTCTTTGTAAGATCCAACTTTCTTGTCACTAACCCACTTGACTTCCTTGTAAGATTTGTTGATAAATTTGATAAGGTATTCTACTTTATTATTATCCTTTCGGATACCGACAATACGCTCGTATGGGCACTCAGCTGAATCGTCTTCTGAGTAATCGCTGCTACTGCTTCGATTATTCGGCTTTTGTCGGCCCATGATAAATATACTGACTTCTATTATGCAGAAACAAGATTATTCTTAACAATATTGTTTCGTATTGAAAATAATTGTATTTCCAGATAGAAATTCATATCTTAGAGATGTTGTAAATTATTTCTCTTCACCTCGTTGTCGAGGGAACTTTATTAGATAAATCTGAAATGCTTTTATGATTTAAAAGATAATGCACTTAAGATTGCTATTAATATTTCACGAAATAAAATTTGTTCGCATGATTGAAAACTCTGAAAGTATCAGAATAAGATTTAAAGTGGATATTATACATCTATATTGTGTGGAAGTTAGGATTATATATATTTTGCATCATAAAAACTTATTACAGGCTGATTCGGATTTGCATTCTACATATTAATAATGATAATATCAATAGTATTGGTTTATATTTAAAAATAAATATAAAATAGTTTATAACATCTCAATAATGACGCTATTTCCTCCACCACCGCCATTGCAAAGCGCGGCGCAGCCTCTCTTGAGGCCACGATGCTTTAAAGCGGCGATAAGTGTTGTAACAATACGAATTCCTGAGCATCCAAGCGGATGTCCCATAGCAACGGCACCTCCGAGAATATTTACTTTTTCCTCAGAGATTCCGAGTCCTTTTATAAGCATCAAGGGAACAGAAGCGAATGCTTCATTGAATTCCCAAAGGTCAATATCATCTGTTGAAAGTTTTGCCCTTGATAATGCAATTTTTACTGCTTCAAGGGGAGCAAGTGGAAATTCTGATGGATCTACACCAGCTTCACCATAGGAAATGATTTTCGCTATTGGTTTGAGGTTGTGTTCCTTTGCAAACTCAGAAGAGCAAATTGCAACTGCTGCAGCACCATCAGAAATTGATGATGCATTAGCAGCAGTTATTGTTCCTGTTGGAGAGAATGCTGGTTTAAGTTGAGGAACTTTCTCACGGCGTAATTTCAAAATTGACTCATCCATTTTATATTCGCCTGATGAAGTTTTGATTGGAACGTTTTGTTCATCAAAAGCATGTTCTTCCCAAGCTTTAGTGGCACGATCGAATGATTGAATGGCAAAACGATCTTGATCTTCACGTGAAATTCCTTGTTTTTCATTTAATACATCAACAAGCTGTCCCATCATTTGATTATACTTAGCATCCCAAAGTCCATCATTGATCAAGCTATCAATCGCAGAGAAATTTCCAAGTCTATAGCCATTTCTGGAATTTTGTAATAGATGAGGACATCTAGACATATTTTCAAAGCCACCAATCATAACTGCTTGAGAATCACCTGCTTTTATTTCCAATACGCCTAATTGCAATGCTTTCATCGATGAGCAGCAAACTTTATTAATTAATGTACATGGAGTTGTAACAGGAAAACCAGCAGCAAGTGCGGCTTGTTTGGCCGGATTTTGGCCGATTCCGGCTGAAACAACGTTACCTATATATATTGAATTAAATTGTTCAATTGCAATTCCTGATTTTTCAGCACAAGCCTTCATAGCAGCTGCACATAGTTCAGTACCTGATATTCCGGAGAGACTTCCATTAAATGCACCAAGTGGGGTACGGACGTCTGCGACAATATAGATTTCAGACATATTTTATGAAAATAATTCAATTAATTGAAAACCTTACAATAAAATTTGTAAACAGACACTTTTTTAAATTCCTCTGAAATTTTGAAAGCATTCACGCACTTTGATTCCTGATTGGATTATTTTTCTGTGTATGTATCTCGTAGCCGTGATTTTTATTTTGCCGGAAATTTTAATCCACCCCCTATGAAAAAAAAAATCTGCATCGAGTGTCAATTTTATTCAAAATCATTCGAAATCCAACATTTTCCTTGTAAAATGCATTGTGATCCTGAAATTCGATTACGAAATCATATTTCTATTGAACAAGAAGTGAGTTGAAAAATTTCTAACGTCGATTTGACAAAAATATTTAGCCGGCAGCTGAAAAAATTGACAATCACTTAATGTCGAAACCTCGTCGTGGTATCGTTCAAGCTGTTATTGATGGCTGCACACTCATAGTCAAGTTTGTTGATGAACCAAGCAAACCAGTTGAAGCCGTTTTGCTCGATTTCATTACAGCTCCAAAGCTTGGATCAAACGATGGCGTTCGCCCAGATGAGCCAGACGCTTGGAACTCATTCGACTTCCTTCGTAAGCTTACACTCGGCAAGAGAGTCTTAATTTATCCAGCAAATACAAAAGGCGACATTTTCCGTAACCATCCTAACTTTGGCCGCATTCCAGGATTCCCAGGTCGTGCTGAGCTTGTTGATAAGGGCAACATGGATGTTGGTATGGCCGTCGTAGAGAGTGGCTGGGGCAAAGTTAAGAATGAAAGATCACAAGATGACTACGCACAGCAATTACTTACCCTCCAGACAGCTGCCTCCGATGAATCTCGTGGCATGTGGACAGCCAGTGGCCTTGTTCGTAAGCTTCCAGCTCCATATGATCCAGATGACCTTCTCAAGAGAAAGGAATTCGAAGGTATCATCGAATCAGTTCAGAATGGTTCTACATACTCTGTCATTCTTCTTCCAAACTTCGAAGTTATCTCCCTCCAGCTCGCAGGTATGAAATGCCCAGGAGCTCGCCGCGAAATGCCAGATCCATTCGGCTTAGAAGCCAAGCAGTTCGCAGAAGCTCGTCTCCTCCAACGTGGCGTTAAGGTTACAATCCACCAAGCCCAGGAAAGATCTACTAAAAACGACATCTTCATTGGCCAGATTGTTCACCCACAAGGAGGCGATATCGCACTCTTCCTTCTCAAGGAAGGTCTCGGCCAGGTCTTCAATCCAACAATTAGCCTCATTCCACGCGGAGAAGAATACCGTGCTGCAGAAACAGAAGCAAAGAAGGCTCGCAAGAACCTCTGGAAGAGCTTCGATGTCTCTACACTCAAGTCCGGACGCGTTGAAGGCAAGGTTGTCAGAATTTCCGGTTCATCCTGCCTCGAAATCGAAACAGTCACAGGAAACATCGAAAAGGTCTACCTCTCTAGCTGCAAGGTTCCTTTGTTCAACCCTGTTGGCCAGACAGAACCACTCGGTTTCGAAGCCCGTGAATTTGTTCGTAAATTAACAATCGGCGAGAAGGCTATCGCACTCATTGATTACACAGTAGAGACTCAGTCACGTGGAACAAACGCTACAGAGCCAAGACACTTCGCTACAGTCTACATTGGATCCAAATGTGTCCAAGAAGAGCTTGTTGCCCAAGGCCTTGCTACAGTTTTCACATCCAGAAACAACAAGCCATCAGACCGTATCGACAGCATGATGCGTGCTGAAGATGATGCCAAATCAAAGAGAATTGGCCTCCACGCAACAAAGCTTCCAAACGCTGCAGCCTTCAACGATCTTTCCAACAAGCCAAACCGCCAGAAATCCGTTCCATACCTCCACTACCTCGAGAATAAGAATCTCAACGGTGTTATCGAATACTTCGCCTCATCTACACGCGCTGTCATCCTTATTCCAGAGCAGTCATGCATCATCCGCATGAACCTCCTCGGCGTCATCGGAAACGACCCAACAGAGAGAATCGGAAACAAGGCTCTCCAGTACATGAACGACAACTTCCTTCTCAGAGACTGCATTGTCAACGTACGCGATGCAGACAAGTACGGCTGCTTCAATGGCTGCCTCACAGCTGTTGTCGGAAAGAAGCAGATCTGCCTCGAATACGACCTCGTCCGCAAGGGATTCGCCGAGCTCCACACAACAATCTCCCGCCATCCAAAGCGCACAGAGATTTCCGAAGCTCTCGAAGAAGCCAAGGATGAAAAGGTCGGAATGTGGGGAGACGAAACAAGAATCCAGAAGGCCCTCATCCCAGACAAGGTCTACGAAGTCAACGTTACAGAAGTTTGGGATCCAGTTACAGTTGTTATCCAGATTCAATCAGAAGAGCTCGCCAAGATCAACAAGGGACTTGTCCAGGCCAGACAGGCTGTCGGCAAGCTCATGAAGGGCGATCTCGTCGCAGTCATCTACGAAAGAAAGCTTTACAGAGGCAGAATCCTCGAAGTCGAAGATCAGCGCGCCAAAGTTGAATTCATCGAACTTTGCATCAACGATACAATACCAATTGCAGATCTCAGAACGTTACCAGAAGAACTTACAAAGATTCCACCACAGGCCATGTCAATCAGACTCGGTGGCTGCAAGGCATTCAACTTCAACAACCAAGACTTCGAAGAGGAGGCAAAGGATTACGTATGGTCATTATGCGATGGCCAGACACTTTACGCTCATTTCATGTACGACGACAGATCCGCTCCAGATCCAGACGTTCTCCTTACAGATGGACCAAGCCCAGAAAATGGCTCCGTCAACTCAATGGTCCTCTCTAAGGGCTACGCTAGATTCAACAATATCCCTGTTTCTAAGTCTCTTGAACCAGTCATGGAAAGACTCGATACAATCGAATCTGCTGCCCGCGATAAGAAGGTCGGCGCTTGGGTATTTGGAAATGTCGGTGATGATGACGATGATGAAGACGAATATTAAATGCTTTTTAGATTTTTGAACATTCCTCCATCTTTTATAAATATGCATATTAAATTTATATATAAAAGATTCGTTTTTTTAACATTAATCATAAAAAATTCTAAAAAATATAATAAAAATATTATGAAGAAATTGATATTTTTGAGAAATTTTGATAAAAATGATAAATATGGTAATAATAATCCCTTTTTGTAGTTTTAGTTTTTGAAAACAAATGATAAATTCTTCCAAAATTTATTTGAATTTTAAATTTTGATTAATTTTTTATTATTTCTTCAATTCATTTTTTCGATTTTGAAAAAAATTTGGAAACAACAATCTATTGCATTCATCATATATGATCACATAAAAGCTTAATTTATATCTTAAATAGAAAAAGCATCAAATATTTCATAATAATTTTTTAAATATTAATATAGGAGAGCTTTATTTGCGAATACTATGCCGCTTCTTTAATGCTAATAATCTGTTGGCCTTTTGGTGCTTTCAAAAAACGGTCACAAAAAAATTCTCTTTCATATTTAGTAAAAAAGACGAAATACTTTAATAAAGTAGTAACAGAAACATTGTGTTTACATACATGTATATTTTATTTAGTTAAATTGTCTTGAAAAGTAGTCAGCTAAACGATAAACAACTTGGAGAATTAAAGCCATTCCCACAAGTAGCTGAGCAATAAATGGAATCTTGAATGCACTGAAAATGATGCCAGATGCGATCATCAAAAGAGTTTTGATGATATAAAATCTGTAAGCTGCAGCTTCTCCAGGAGTTTCAACTTGAATCAAGTATGTACCCAATATAGCAACAAATATTTGAATGAGAGGTACTATACTTGTGTATCTGTATTTTCCGAAGAATAAAATTGAAACAGCAAGGGCAAATACACCAAATTCGAGGACACTTGGGTATCTGTCCCATTCCTTTACGTATAATTGCATGTTTCGTACGTATGGCCTGACCAAGTTGACTGATTCTGGATTTTGAGTGGTTAAGTATCGATGCATGAAAGCTGCTGGTAAAAATACGATATAAGATGTGAAGAGAAGTAACATGACCTCAACTACCATCTTTGGCTTTGAGCCTTTTACAGCACCTAACCTTGAAATCGAAGAAATAAAGATAGACATGTACATTCCGAGGACAACACCAAGGTAGTTCATGCTAACAAATAAAACAATGACGGAAAGTGTTGCTGCAACAATATAAAAGCCAAACCATTGTAATCCATAAGGATTAACATATAAAACTTTCTGAGATACGTAAAATGCACCGAGCACGACAATAGATGTAACGGCATAGACTGAGTTTTGCGAGGCAAAAGAGAATGAAGATTCAGATAATTCGGCTAAAATCGAAATAGAAACAGCAAAAAAGAGGGAACCACGGCATTTAAGAATAACAAATGCCATTACAACATAAATAACAGGGGAAATTATTACATGAAAATCAGATGTTTGAGAATTAATAAAAACCGTAAAACTTTGCTCATAATAAGTAGGTTGTTGGTATAAATCTCGAGTTAATCCAGGCACCAACTTTAATACAATGCCAATAGCATAGATAAACGGAATAAGTAAAACTTTTTTGATCGTTTCCATGCTTTGATTCGTCATTTTATCCATAGCTTTCATGAAAGCTTCGCGTTCTTCTTCATTCATTGTTTCTTCCTCATCGTATTGTACTCTGGTTGAGGGAGTTTTTGTAATCTTAGATTTTCCCATTGAAATTTAAAGCACTTTTTTTGTAAAGTGTAAAATGGCAAATCGACACTTTTCTTATCGAACTTGAAGATATGCTATCCATCATTCTGTTCTTTCAAAGATATAAACCTTAATCACTTTCTATCAGATTGAATATTATAATTTGGAAAAAATCATTAAGTTACACCAATCACATTTTAATATGCATTGCTCTTCTTTAAGAAAAACACATTTGGTTCATACATAATTTAGATATCAATAATATGAGCTTCACTATAAGCATAGTCGATCTAATTAAATATTTTTCTTCACTTTTCATGGAAATATTGTCGTTTTGAACATCTGCACTTTTGATAAGAGAATATTGGATCATTGTAGGTAGAAAATCATAAATAAATGAACAGTTTGTTGAAAATTCATTTGATTTTAAATGTAAACTATTGAAAATTATTTGATTTTGAGGATAATGACTTCACGCCGATATTCGGTGAAAACAACTAAGCGATCATTATTCCAAACAAAACTTTTTAATTATGATGCTTACCAGCAATGAAGCTGAATAATTGCATTCAAATTATTATCACTTAAGATTTTTTTAGATATATTGTCGTAGAATCTAGCAAGTTTTTGCTTTTTTATCAAGTTGGTATCCAAGAATATATTGTTGCCACTAATAATTTCGAAGCATATTAATAAAAACATTTAAGATTTAATTCGAACAATCAAGAGTATTAAAGTTTGATTTAAAAAAGAAATGTATTTAAAAACAGTGACGAAAATCTTTATTTAGCTGGAAATAAGTTCACGGCGATCCTGGCAAATAACGCAAGAAGCGCAGAATGTAGTAATGAGGCAGTCTGGAAGATCATCACTGCTGTCACCTCTCTTTTTGAGAACGGACTTGCGAACCCAATATGGGTGGACAACCATGCAAACATGGCACCAGTTGCATTCTTCATCACGAACCTTAGCCCAGTTTTCACCATTTGCGCACATTGGGCAGAATGCTGAGTAGAAGCAACCAACAACATCCTTGAAACATCCGAAGAGACCACCTTCGTAATCGTGCATGTTGAAAGTGAGGTTATGAAGAACTATTTCAAATTTTTGTGGGTTATGCGATCATATTTTTGAGGTGTGTTATAAAATAGTTTTTCAATGCGATCGTAAAACTCAATGCACATTCATATACTAATATGAACGAATCTCGATAATTTTATGTTCGACTATCATTTTATATTTTTTATTCTTTTTCAATACACTATATATGAAGATGGTTTTTCTCTGTTCTTTCAATTATGTTTTGTAAGCTTTTTTCTAAACATCTCTCAAAAAATTGTGCATAAGTAGAATAATTGAATACCTTATATCATTACTTGGCATTCAAATTGCGATTAGATTGAATTACACTACCTTTATAAATTTACATTCATTGCATAGTATATATCTCTTTTAATGATCTCTTTTAATATTCAATTTCGGAATTCTCAATTTATTTGGATTGAAAACAATAAAAATTCGCCTCACAAAAATTTGGATTATTAAAGAATGAAAAATGATAATTGAACTCAACGAGTATTCTAAGATCCAACAAAAATAAAATGGAGAGAAAACTGCAATTGAAATTAAGTGGCCAAGCTTGAAAACATTTTTTATTATAAAAATTACATGTAACTTAATGACTTAAAGATAAATTACTGCTCGAGAAGTTCAATTCTTATTTATTGATTTTTTCATAAAAAGTTGAAAAGTAACGAAAATGAGTGTATAACTTTAAAGGTGGCATTCAATATTTTTGTCTTCTAATATTATTTCTGCGATTAAATTCTAATTTTGATAAAAATGATGTCATTATTGTAAAAATATATAAGCGAAGGGAAAATAATTTCAACAAAATGATGTATATTTGATTTGTCAAGATAAAGAAAGTACAACTCCAAAAATAAATTTCATTGATTTTATATATTCTTATTGATAGAAGATTACTCCATTTCAGATCAACTAATACATGTATGATATTTCCCTTTTTATACATCTTTTTCATTTAAATATATCCATATATAATATATTGATTAATTACAACAGTAAGATATGTTTTAATGCTTAAAAAGCTAATGATGAACTTTTGTTTTAGTTATATGTAGTTCATTTTAGATCTAATTACCTACTAAAGTATTTTATTAAATTTATGTCGAAGAAACTATTGTACATTCAAACTGCATTGCAAAGATCAGTATAAATTGGAAATTTGGGAATTTTCCCTACTTGTTTTGGATTCAATTCATGTTTCAGAAATGAAATCAAGATCAAAATAAGATATCATAAGTTTTCAAGTTCGAAATAGTAGGTATGCTTTGTATAAAATATCAGCAAACCCTTTTGAATACTTAATAACAAGTCTTCTTTTTCAAACAAGATCTCTCCTCATACATATTACACTGATTCATAAGTACAATTAATTATTTATTATCTCAAGTGATATTCCTTTTTATTTACTTAGATCCTCTATATTTGTTCTCATTAATAAAATTATAGCTTTTACTTTTGGAGTTAATTTACCAATATAGATACTTTCTATAATCGTGAGCCTTACAAAAGCAAATGTTCTTGTATCTTAAGCTTTAGTAAAAACAAAATTAGATTATAATATTAAGTATATGTATACTTACATTTATATATTTTTGGTTTATTTAACACTAGCTGGCGTTAAATTAGGACAACCCAGCTTAATTTTGATGACTATTGGTAAGGGTTATCATAGTCATCTTTTGTTTCTGGTGCTGTGTAAGATGGTGGTGGAGCATAAGGTGGAGGAGCGCCATAAACAGGAGCTTGCTGAGGAGAAACACCATATGGATAAGGTTGTTGTGTAGGAGCACCATATGGATAAGGTTGTTGAGTAGGTGCACCATATGGATAAGGCTGTTGAGTAGGTGCACCATATGGATAAGGCTGTTCTGGAGGAGCACCATAAGGAGTAGGCTGTTGTTGTTGTTGTGCAGGAGGAACATAAGAAGGCTGTGGCTGATAATACTGTGGTTGTGGTTGTTGTTGAGGTTGCTGTGGAGGTGGAGAAGTAGCAATAACATTATGTGTTTCCACAGCAACAGTTGTATTTGAATTTGCAGAAGTACGTGGAGCTGAATGTTCTGGTACATTTTCACGCCTGTTACTATTCTGCGGATTATCATTACTTGAAGTTCGAGCGCAACAGCATCCGGACTTTTTACAGCAAACGCAACAACAGATTGTGATAATAATGGCTATAACTACAATTATAACAATAGTAACAATAATACCAATAACATATCCTGGAATACCATTAACAGTTCCAATTGATTTACCATCGTTAAGTTTCTTTGAAGTATTTGAATTAATGAAATAGAAATCATATTTTGAAGAACTTCCATCAATTACATAATCATCATCATTCGAACTACCATCATTATTAAAAATTATTTCACCATCATGATAATAATTTTCAAGCTCTGTAACACATGGTTTAGTAACTGTTTCATAACTCGATTGGGAATCATACAGAGGGTAATGATAGGTATCATATGATTTGTGTTCAACATCGGTAGTTTCAATTTTTGATTTTCCGGAGTAGAAAGCTGAAAATACACAGTAATAGAAATACCTTTGTATATTTAACTTGAATTTCTTAGATCCAGAGATAATGGCAAGTGAATCACAATTACTAGTTGAATAGTTATAAACAACGAAGTAAACAGTCTTTGAAGATCTTGTTGAAAGTTGGAGTGTTCCCTTTTCTCTGAATTCAACAGCTCTGATACTTGTACTTCCAAGAATATTCAAAGTTTGTGCGCCAACTTTTGCAATACCTTCGAAATCATCTGGTTCTGTAAAAACAATTGTTGTATTTGGTGAAACTATGTATGTTGTATATTCATTGGAAAGGCTTATTGATTTAGGGCCGTATGACATAAGGGGATATATATCAGTTGTTTTTTCAGGTTGCGGCTTTAGTTCTTCCCTTTCTGGAAGAGTCCTGATATAAATTCCATCTGAAAATACAACATTTCCACCTTTATCATCATAATATTCGTATTCACTGCTATAATCGGCATTTGTGTTGAGTTCGTACCATGTATCTGGAAGTGTTTGCGCTTCTTTTTCATATTGCAAGGTAGCAATATGAACATTAGATGCAGAATTGAACGAGGATGTAGGGAGACTTCCATCAGTACTGCCATAAATGCTGTTATAATCGGAATGATGAACAGTAATTTCGAAGAAATGGTCACAAATTATTAACAATACATACCTTTTGAAAGTATTTTGTCGAATCTTTGCAATAGTATATTGACGTGAAGATGAGTACGGGTTAATCCAGATTTCAAGACAATCACGCGTTTGTGGAACACGAAAAACACCAAATGAAAGAGTTCCAGAATTGGAAACTGAAAGCGAATAAATTGCGGACAGGTTGCTAATTTGGTAAACTGTTTTATCAATTGAAGTTGAATCCAATTGGAGTGAAGTATCCTTCATTGTGAAAACAATGTAATAATTTGAAGAACTATCAAAGGGAAGGCGGAAGCTTAAAGTATTGCTTGAGGAAGAGTAAATGTATTCTTTATAGTATCCTGTACTTGTGACAGAAATGGAAAGAGTTTGAGCTAAAAGGAATCCGATCATTAATATGTTTAAATTTTTTTTTCAGAATTGGGTCGTAAATTCAATGATAAATTCTTTTTCTATATTTAATAATAGGATGATATTTTATACTTTTCTGCAAAATTTTGAAATTCAAACAATAGAAAATTTTGAACTCCTCTTTTGAAGGGGATTTGAAAAATTAAATAGTTATAATTTTCCCAAGAATCCGCTCAGGTATTGAAGAAAGGAGTTTCCATCATATGTCGGAAAAAATTGTCGTGGTTTACACACATGTACGTTATTTCCTATTCAAGTTTTCCTCCGGATATCAGTTTTAAATTCTGAAACGTGCGAAAGATAGATGATTATATGTGCATGCTATATTTATGCTTGTTACAGAAAATTTGTGCGCAATCATAAAGAAAAAGTACAATCAGGCGAGAAAAAATTGAATAGTCGTAAATAAAGCAACAATTTATTGTTTCAAAATCGTTTTCTCAATTGTATTGTTAAAAAAAAGAGTCGCAAAATTTAAAAATGCATAAATCATGTAGAATGCTCAATATGACCAATGTGATTACTAATCATTTTTTAATTCCGTGATGAACAAAATAATTGCAAAGGAAATCAGCTAAAAGAAGAGTTGCTTTCATTTGGACATAAAGAACTTTGGGAGCTTTCAGCAAGTTTTACATTATCTGGATAAGGTAGGATAATAATACTCTCAATTTTGTGCGGTTATGGGCAGGACCGCTTGTCAATTTTATCGATTACAACACGTAAAGTTCTCAAATTTGAGAAAGTTATTACAAAAATTTTGTGTTACGAATCATTTAACCTTATATATAATGAGATCATATTTATCCAAGAAAATAAGGAGAATCAGTCAAATTTCTTTTATTTTCATAAAACTTCTATTCCCCATGAATAACAGCACCTAGATGTAGTGATTTATTTTCATCTCTTCGCCTAAAAACTCTTTCTTGCTGATAATTCAACTGGTATTATCATCTTGATAAAATTAAAATATGTGATTAATGATATTATCAGTGCCACAGTATATACTTATATCATCGCACATGTTTTTATTTACATTGGTTAACCCATCAATACTCTATAAACTTCAAATAGTGCCCTTTATATCATTTTACAAGTTTTTTTTTGATAAGAAATTGCAATTCATGAATCCTTTTAGGACTTTCATTATTCCATATAAGTGTCTATTTTCTGATAGCAGTGGTCTATACAATCTGGATCGAAAACGAAATTTATTGATATTTTAACTTATATCTGTTAATCAGGCAGCCAATTCATAAATCATAGAATCGTTGAAGGGAGTGCTAATCAATGTTGATTGTTTTGCTTTACTTAGTCCTCCAGTTCTATGATATAAATTTGTCACTTTTCTGTTTTAATTCCTAAAATTGAAAATCTTTATATCTGAACCTTATAACCAATTTGTGGATGTCTCGGTTGGCAAATCCATTATTACTTATGGTGCTAAAAAGATAATTGCAGAAAAATTGAAACAACCTCTTTCAGCAATCAAAATGTTTAGAAATGGAACAGAGCTTAAAAATATAGAGCAATTTTTCTCAGATTCTCAACAAACAGGGGATGAGTTTGCTGTTGAAATTGTTAATAGCGATCAAAATAAACAAAAATTCGCAATTTCATTTCTTCCAGAAGATTTTGATCAAAAAGTTGAATATCTTACAAACATGGGATATACAGATTCTGATGTAAAGCTTGCCTTAATCCAAGAGGATCTTGATACAGAAAAAGCAATAATTAAGCTCAAAAACTCTAATCCAAAGGCCAAGGTACAAAAAACTAAGCAAACACAAGAAAATAATATTGATCCTGATAATTTTATTAAACAATCTTCACCAAAAAAGGATAAATCCATCGAAAATCAAAGCAAAACCAAAGAGAACAACAAGGATAATAATGACTCGAGCGCAAAGAATGATAAAGTCAATGATACAAATAAATTGGAAAAAGAAAATTCTTCAAATCAAAAATCAACCGAAGAAATAGAAAACAAAGCTTCCGAAACCAAAGGAAATAATTCGTCCGATGATAATACAGCTGATTTAGAGCCAAAACTCCTTTCAATTTCTCAAGATGAAAATAATGAAAATTCTGAGCCAAAAACGAGAAGAAAGTCTTCCAAATCAACACAGAATAAGACAAAATCAAAGAAAACGCAGAAAGAAAAGGAATCAAATTCTGAATCAAAATCTGACTCAGAAAAAGAAGAAAAGAGCGATAAAACAGATGATGAAGATCCAGTTCTTTTAGAAACCATCGAAGAAAAGCTAAAGAAAAAATCTGTCAAAAAACCAAAGAAAAAACTTCCGAAAGACGATGACGAATTCAATCCCGACCAAACCGTTGCTCCTGGTGAACGAGTTGGCCGACTTCCGGAAAATTTGGAAATTAAAAAGGCAAAAGAAGAGAAAGCGCTTAACGAACGTATCCAGAAGTATAATGAGAGATTGGAGAAGCACCAGAAGCTCTTGGAACAAAAAGATTTCGAGTCGAAACATAAAATTAGAACATGGCTCAAACAATCCTTACAATTCAGAGACCAGAGAGCAGATTCTTCAAAATGGAAGGTAAGTGTTATATCTGACTCATCAGATTCCGATGAATCTAAAGAAAGTGAAGTCGAAAAATCAGATTCTGATTATTCTTCGTCTTCTTCATCGGATTCCGATGATCTTGTTGTTGAAACAAACGAAGATGCCTCAACGCCGAAGCCAACAACCAAAATGTTGAATTTAATTACAGAATATAACTCATTTATTAATAATGAGACATTTTTGAATGCGGAATCCCTCATCAAATCATTTATTTACAGACACCATAACTGGGAGAAGATTCTCATTGACATGCAACCATTTAAACTTGGTTATTTGCAATATGTAATTTATTGGATCCTCAAAGAGATAGTTCTAGGTGACGATGTGTTTTCTGCCATAGAGAATCGCATTATTATCGAGCAATCAGCCCTCGGAAACTCTGCTGAAGAAATATCAAATATTCTTTACTTAAGAACAAGCGAAATCGTTAAAACCCAGATGGAGAACATCGAAAGGGCCTTCAGAATTAACGATCCTATCCTCATTCAGCTCATGCCTTACTTAAATACGTCGCATTTGTACAAACCAGGCTTTAATTCGAAAGGAATCCCCTATTACCTGGTTTTCCTGATTGCAAAGTTTAACAGGCTTGACTCCGAATTCGTTTTAATTTCCGGAGATCTTCCATCAGATAAAGAATCTTCAAGATTGGGATCAAAGGAATGGACAAGATCGGATGATATTAAATTATTGACCTTGTACGATAAGCTTTATAAAGAAAAGAACGTTTGGGAGCAGTTAATGAATTATTTTCCAAACAGAATATTAACTTCCATGAGGACACATTTCTACTACTTGTCCAAATCAATTGCCAGAGGTAAAGTACCTTTCGGATATGATCCAGGAGACGGAGTTATGGAAATTGTCAAACTTGAACTGAAAGGTGACCCGGATGTCTACAATAAATGGAATTCCAGTACCGGAGTAAGGAGATACTTCAATCCGCAAGAAGATCAACAGATTCTGGACTTTTGGCAGAAAAATCATCTCAAATATAATTTTTACGATTTGTATTTTGAGAAGTTTAGTAGTACAAAACCGAAAGATCTCCTTGATAGATTGCATATTCTTTACAGACAGTTCAACACTGGCATAAGAAAAAGGAACGAATTGAAACTTCCTCCGGATTTCGTCCAATTGATCGACCAAGAGTACAGTAGATATGGTATATTCGAGTTCCAGCCCCCTCCGAACATGGTAGATGTAAGTATTCTCGTTAAAGATTTCAATGAAAACGGATCTGATTTCGAAGTTTTGCACAAAATGCACAAAGATATCCACGAAGCGTACATGGTATACTTATTCTACTACATGATGAATAAAGTAGACCCACATTCGATGAATTTAATCAACTGGGAAAATACTGATATTTGGTATATGCTCGAAATGAAGCTTTTAGGAGTTCCAACTGAAGCAATCGAAGAGTCCATTGGAAGGACAGGAAAAGTAATCAACTCAAAGCACTTGAAATCCGTATCTTCCCTCAAAACAAATTTTGTCATCAAAGAATTCCAAAAACTGTATCCATCATGCAACACAGAAGGAGCTACATACAATGAGGAAGGCATCCCGTCATATCTAAACGACATGTTGACCCAAATGTTCAACACTTTGAAGGCAGATAAGAAATTGAAGACACATTTGAGAGATCCAACACGAGATCCGGAAGAAATCAAGCAAATGGAGAAATGGACACCAGAAGAAGACCAGAAACTGCTCGACGCCCTTTCCAAATATAAAGATTCCAAATTAAAGGCAGGTTTGATGGCCAAAGAGTTTCCAAATCGCACAAAGTTCACATTGCAAACACGTCCGAACAAGCTTCTCTTCCAAATTGCTAATGGAGAAAGGCCAGATCTGGTTTGTCCAGAAAACTTGAAGCCAATGATGGACCAGCTCTCCCACAAGAATGATGAAGTCGAAATCTTCAATAATCTTAAGCCCGTTCCTTATTGCATCAACGTTTACGAATTGATGGACGATTATTACAACAAATTCAAAGATTTTTACAAGATGCAAGAAGAGAAATATCCTAAATTCTCTATTGGATACCTCATTTACATCTTAAGCCTTGTTACACGAGGAATTGACCTCAGAACTACATCATCATGCACAGAAGAATGGTCTGAGAACCAATACAGACTATTCCTTGAAAAGAAATATGATGGAGTGTCTGGAAACATCATTGCAAAACTTCTGAATATTTATTCCAGAAAATTGGGCCAAAAACAACAGTTAGTTCTCAGAAAAATAGAAAAATGCTACTGCCTTAATGAGTTCATGAAATTTATCAAAGATCTACCAATTCCAGAAGATAAGAAGAAATTAAACGAAATTGGAGTTCCTATTTACATTAAGGAGTTTATCGACAAGTTCAACGCTTCAGGAAATAATAAACCAAGAAAGCGTTCTAGAGCAAAGTCTCAAACCATAGAATCAGACGAATCTAACTAATGAAATTTATTGATTTGTTTTTATATGTAATAAATTATAGATATTGTTTACTTTATAATCGATTTTCCTATTCTTTTTATTCAAAAAAGAAAGAAATATTGAAATCTAAAGTTATTTATATTTTTTCTTGTATAAAAAGCGAAAGAATCATCTAATTTTACGTCAAAACACATAAATTCTCTTTTCAACATCTTAGAGAAGAGAAAGTAAAAAAAATCATCAGATATAATTAAAAAAAGCAGCCATGGTGGGACTTGAACCCACAATCTTCTCCTTAGAAGGGAGACGCAGTATCCATTTTGCCACATGGCTTCTCGGATACAAAAAACTAACTATCCTTAAGAGGATATTTCATCATCTTTTGAAGTTCATTCAAAAAAATATTTAAAATGGAAAATCGAATCAAAGCAGCATATGCATGTTTCCTTAAAGGAAATGCTAAAGCTGCTGAAGATACAATGTACAATATATTAGATATTCTCCAAAATGATATTATTCAAAATGATAATTGGCAATCTAATATTCAATTATTATCAGTCGCTTTAAAATATCTTGTCGAAATCACTGAAAAAACAGGAAGCATACACAAATCTATAGCAATTGCCCAACTTTTATCAAAGATTTTAGAATTTATTCCTCAAGTAGAACTTTATTATAAAGGACAAAGTGATGGAAGTTATTCAGAAAAAGATTTACTGGTACAGAAAGATTTATTTATTAATGAACTCATAGAAATCAGAGAAATTCAATATTCGTTAGATTACACAAATCCACAAAAATCAATGCAGATGATTTTAAACGCGATGCAAAAACAAAAAGAAAGACAACAGCAGGAAGTATACGAAACTCTCAAAGAATCAAATGAGATTTCATCACACAAAAATAAATGTTTTTCATCAACTGTCATAATTATATTTATTTACGCCATCGCTATTATTGCCTGCATTATTGCATTCGTTCTATACCGTCTAAATAGGAAAGTTCACACATTCCATTACGATGAAATACGCAAAGAAATTGATCAATATAGAGAACATTTGTCGAAAGTTATTAAAGATCTATAAGATTTTTTAACAAAAAATTATTTCAAATAATAATCAGTTCAAAGACTGTGTTCTTAGAAGATTTTCACTTATTTGTATTGTTTTTATGCATTGTATGTATACATGTTTTGATTCTGTAAATATCTATGCTTATTTTTTCAATAATATTTTTTTTTTCAATGCAAAATGATCATGAAAATCATATAGATTACTACTTATTTTTCCATATTGATGAGACACATTTATATAAATGATAAAGGTTAAAAATACAGCGAGATGTGAGGGATACATTCTTCTGATTTCAATGAATTTCGAATATGATAAGATTTTACTATAGAAACTGTAAAAGTATTGACTACAGTAATTGTATATTTATCATAGTAAATAAGTTAGATTAGATATCTTTTAAGTTTTTATAAACAAGCTCTAAGAATAAAGAACATAGTTATAATGATAAAAATAATAACAATTAATAGCCTTACATCCGTTAAAAAGTCAATAATTCCCTTATAATGGCGCCAATTTCTAATGGTAGCGTCAATCTGTTTCTCTAAATCCTGAATACTTGAATCATTTCGGATTACGATAGATGAAAGCTTGCATTTCTCTTCGACTGACATCTGTGCGTTAATTCTTTTAAGTGCATCTTCTTCGGAAAGGTTATTCCTCTCCATGAGCCTTTTTAATTGAGTTTCATGATTTGCTGCAACAGTAATTACATCTGAATAAAATTTGGATTGAAATTTAGCTTCATAATATAATGGAATATCAACAATTACTATAGGTTCGCAGTGTAAATAATTTACCAAAACTTGGCGTATGATTTCTCGTTTAACTAAAGGATGAGTTATTCGATTAAGAGTTTTAAGATGCTGTTCATTACTGAAAACAAGTTGGCCAAGCATTTTGCGGTTAATTGTTCCATCTTGGTTTAAATATTGCTTACCAAAGGTATTAATTATTTTCTTATATGCGGATCCACCTGGCATTTGTTGATCATAAGCAATAACATCGCAATCTATTATTGGAATTCTGTATTTCTTTCTGAAAATGTCAGCAACGGTGGACTTACCACATGCAATACCTCCAGTCAGAACAACAATTTTCATAATGAAATAGAAAACATATTTGACTAGGAAATTTATCTTTACATGAGGCATACTCAATATTATAATCTTTATTTTAATACAAAATACAAAAAAATACAAAAAAGGGGATCATTTTTATAAGATCTTTGGCTACCATTAATAGGATTTGCTTTGCGTAATGGTGTTAACATATAGCTTGCACTTAGTTTCTTTATTTTCTGATAGTTTGGAAATAACTACGTATGAAGTAAATTCTTAATAATGAATAACACTGATTTTGGTGATATATAGTGAAGAGGTAGTCAACACTGAATAGAAATAGATCTTTTTGTAAAAATAATTGAAAATTTTTCATCAAATTATCTCTTCAGACAAATATCTAAGAGAATAATTAGAACGATATACTCTAGATTGTTGCTACAATGGTTATTTTAAAAAGGTTCAAAATCTAAATCTTTTGGAACACTAACGAATCTATTATCAGGGTATTTTATTATCTTTTTGCCATCATCTGTAATCTTTTCGATCTGACCATCCCTAAATGTGATCCATCGGACACTTCCAGGAATGACTGCTTCAATAGATCCATTTTCGTTGTATTCATGAACAATAATGCCATTGGAAAACTTTTGTTGAATATCACCATTAGTAAAATGAATAATTTGAGTTTCATTATGAAAAATTTGATAAATTCCAGTTTTGTGCGTGATTGAGTAGTCACCATTCTTGTATGTAACTTTCTTATTTCTATTTTGGAGAATTTCTGTTGAAACTGGTTTAGTTGGGAGAAAATATAAATCGATTTCCATTCCGATTTTATCTTCAAGGAAATTTATCATTTTAGTAGGCTTTCTAGTGTAGTCTCGGAATTTCAGTCTTTCAGTTGCATTATTAGGTTTTGGTTTATTTTGATTTTCGTTTTTATTAATTGTAGCATTTTTATCCTTGTTATCATTGATCTCAATCTTTTCTTGCAAAGTTTTCATTGACCTCTTGATGCAATAGAGTTGTTTATTAAGATTTTTCTCTTGTTTCGAAAGATTCTGATACATAATTTCAAGTTCATTCGGCTGAGAAATCAAACTTTGATCCTGAGTTCCGGAAAGAGTTGATTCAAATATATCAGTGGAACTCATTTGATCAATATTGTTTGAAAAAATGCTTCTTTATCACAATTGAATTAAAAAACAAATAGCAACATTATTGTTTATGCTAAATTGTTCACTTCCTTACCATTCATATGATGAAATGTAAACTATTCAATTTTTGTTTATCAAATATACGTTATGAGTGTTTCTCCAGCTGTGATTATCAAGTATATTCAAGCTGCAAAGGATGGTAACGTTGATTCATTGAAGAAATTCATTGAAGATGGCGTACCAGTAAATACAGTAGATAAATGCGGATATACGGCACTTCATTGGGCAGCTGCAGCAGGTCAATCTGAAGTTATCACATATCTTATTTTCATTGGAGCTGATTTAATGGCAAAAGCCAAAGATGGCTCTACTCCTTTACATGTTGCCGCTTTAAAGCATAAATTAAATGCCGCACATTTACTTATTGAAGCCGGTGCTGATACTCAAGCATTGAATGATGAAAGGAAAACACCTTCTGATCTTGCTAAAGATGATCCACCGATGTTTGCTTTATTAAATGGAACTAAGTCTCGTTCAATTACTTCTGCAACAGATGACAATATCCTTGATGCTGCAAAGGATCTTCTTTCTACTACTTTAGATCCTGTTTCAGCAGCAGAGGAGAAAGTTATGCTGACATGCCAGAAAGTTATTGACGAGGCGCATAATCTTGAAAGACCTCCACTCAATCAATACAAGAAATGCAAGGAATGCCTTATTCAACATTCAGTAATCAATAATCAATTCAAACAAGCCTTCGAATCCATATCGAAATATAAAGATCAGGTTGGCGTTAACTGTCAAAACGTAGCTAACATGTGTAATACTCTCGAAGAAAACGAAAAAGCAATGAGAGAACGCATGCAAGCAAGCAGAACAACAAATTGCTCAACTCAAGAATCTCATCGTACAGTTTCAGATCAGCTTTCACAAAAGCAAGCTGAATTTGAAACTGTTTCCGCAGAATTGCTAAAATATCAAAAACTTGTTGAAGAATTTACAGCAAAGAAGAATTCTCTACAAGCAGAAGTTGAACAGCTTACAAAAGCTCAACAAGAACTTTCCAACACTAATCAAGATGAAACAGATAATGAAACTCGTCTTACTATGCATCAAGAGAGTCTTCAGAACACCCGTCAACTCATTGATAAGGGTGTCACTTCTCTTAAGAACCTCGCTTCTTCGACAACAGATCGCATGTTAAGTACTGGTTTAGAATACCTTGATTTCCTCAGGAAATACAATCAGTACGTTAAGAGTATTCTTGATACAATGGATGGAAGAATCAAAACAATGCATGATAGAATTGATATGAACACTTCTAATATCGATGAAATCCCAATTCTCGAGTTGAACATGGACAAAACAAAGATTGAAGGCGTTGTTAAGGAATACGAGTCAAATGTTGATAAGTACAATAGAAGAAGGCAGAAGATCGTCGCAATTCAAGAATCAATAAAGCAAGACTACCAAAAATTGAAAGATATCATCTCAAAGTTCGGAAGAGAACTGGATCCATTGGAAGTTTAGAGGATATAATTTTGTTGTTTGTCCTATTTTATTAAAATCATTGATCTGAATTTTTGAATATTAATTTTTTTAATGCAATCATATATGCACGCATAATCAAAAGCATTACACATAATATGCAAAGCAGCATATTCGAGACCGCATCATTTATACATACGAAACCTTAATTTATTCATATAATTTTACTAAGTTCATGGAATATCGTATAAGGTTCAGTGTTTACATTTCTGAATAAATCGCTAAGGATTCTATTTAAGCATTACATACTTAATAATGAAGAATTTGTTTTATCAAAAACTGATATCGAACTAAATGAATTTAAACAAATATAATTCCTTCTAATAGGGAGGATGGTTATCATATTTTTGTTGATAGCTGAGCCGAATTTCAAAGGAATAAAAATTAATAAGTGTCATTATATACAAGAAACGCAACATTTCTCAATGACATAAAATATACAATAATATTCCCTCATAGAAAAGCACTTTCATCAGCTTATAATTTTTTTCAATCTGGAACCATAATTTTAAGGTGTTTTATAGGATTCACAAATAATGCTCATCTAGTCATTTCCACTGTCTTCGTTTCAATCTCTTAATCTCATTTAATGTCCTTTAAAAATTGTAAATCGACGAGTTAGATATTTTCTGCATTAATATCATTATTTAACCAGTATTAAGAAAATGCTTCTCATGTAAAATCAGAAAATTTTTGCTGACCAAGTGTGAACGAAAAAATTTGTTGAAAGATGTAAATATATTTTGTGTGAATAATGCGGCTTGACACCTACTTTTGTTTTGGAAGAAGAATGGGAAAAGCTAATCCGAATTATTAACCCGGTGCAACTCAATGTAGAATTTTTTTTTTGCGAAGTTCACAAATTTTTTTTTTACAAAAATGTTATCCATACAACAGCTTAAGCAGAATTATAAATCCGATCTTAATGCTTTAGTGCAACGTGCCACCCATGGCCTTACAATTGCAGTAAATGCGAGCTGTACAATAATTATGAAAAATCATCCAAATTATAAAAACGTATATGTTTATTCAACAGATATCGATAATTTTAAGTCAGATGGAATATACGAACTAATCCCACAAATTCTTCCTGACTCATTTCACGAATTAAGATCAATCAAATTAGAAAAGTTCGGAAATATTACCGGCACGCTTTATGCTAACTCAATGAGAATACACAGCCCTCACGGAAATTCCTTTGTAACCTGCATTTCTGAAGCCAAAATCGATTCTTTTCCAGAAAATAATATCAAAGAAATTGAAGAAACAGTTATAAATTGTCGATATGACTTTTCCACTGTTCTTGAGCATGTTAGCACTTTCTCACAAGAGGACATTGATCGGTTTAGGTCTTACAAGTTCTCAGTCGAAGTTCTGAACACAGATTCCGTTTTTGAATCGATATTCTCTTTCTTTTATTCCATTCTCAAAGATACAGATATACCAGTTGATTGGAATGAAATTATTGCATTTATTGTTGAAGCACAGTCTCATTATAACAACGTTCCTTATCATAACTGGCGCCACGCTACAGATGCAACACAGTTTGTTTTCTATCTCATTACTATGCCACATGTAGAGGAAATGCTTCCACCTCTCGATAGATTTGCTTTACTTTTAAGTGTTATTTGCCACGACCTTGAACATAACGGCCATACCAACGATTATCACAGAAAAGTGAATTCTGAATTTTCCCAAGAGGCTGGTCCAGATCTCCCACCTCTTGAAAACCACCACCAAAAGCTAGCCAAAGTTTTGATCCAAAAGCACCTCAAATACACATTAGAACATCTTACGGATGAGCAAAAAGAGAATATGTTCCGATTTATTACCGAAATTATCTTTTCCACCGACATGGGCAAACATAAATTTTATTTAGAAAAAATCGTTGCAAATATTGGTAAATTTGATGGATCTATAGAATTACGAATACTTACATGCCAAGCCATTATGAAGCTTGCTGATCTTTCCAATACATGCCGTCCATTTGATGATAGTTGCAAAATGGCCAAGAGACTTAACGATGAGTGGTTTATTCAAGGCGACGATGAGAAGAAGTTAGGCCTTCCGATATCAAATGGTATGGATAGAGATCACCCAACTCCGTTACCAAAAGGACAAATTGGTTTTTACAAATTCTGCACACAGCAACTCTTAGAAGCTGACCAGAAGTTCTTTGGTTGTTTCCAGGATATTGGAAACCAATTCTTTTCTAATCTTAGTACTTGGGAAAAATTAGCAAGCGAACTTTAAGTTAATTCTTTTTATTTATATTTATATTATGACAAATCTTTTATAAACACATATTTGATAATACTTTTATTCAATTATGCAGATTTTTCAAAAATTTATTTGAAAATCATTCATCCAGGAATGAACGATGGCGTTTGGTTTAAGGAAAAATAATAAATACAATAAGTTTTGGGTCAGACTCTGAAATTGTTGAAAAAATTTCTCAATTTCTTCATATTTGAGACCAAGTAATATGAAAGTTTCTCGATACTCTTTGATTGAATATTAAAGTTTGATTAGAAACCAGAATTATGATTTTCATGATTTTTTTTTTCATAAAATTTTTGAAATGAAAAATGTTATTGATGATATTACAGAATACGATGGAATTTATAGATCCGATGGTCGTGGATATGTAAGTTTCCGTCGTTATTTCTTAAAGAAGTTCGAAGGACAGTTAAACAGCAAGTTCAGAGAAAATACTTATTTGCCTCTTCGAATTTTATTGTTAGAAACAACAAGAAGCAAAGCCAAACATTCTCTAAACGATCTTTGGCTACTTTTACATAGCAGAAGGCTAAAAGCTCCAACAATTCTTTCAATGTCAGTAAGTGATACAGAAATAATTCCTTGGAGACAAATGTGCTCTGCTCTTACAGCTCCAGGACCAGTTTCTTTTATTAAATGCGCTCCATTTTCCCGTGAAAGGTTCGCATTTTCAACAATTGATGGTTCAATCCACTTTGCTAGCACTGCTCAACGCCAATTACGTATTATTAGCTCAGTTTCCATTCCAGATGTTGCATTTATTAAGTTTGATTGGGTTTCTGAGACAATGGTTGCTGGTATCGGCGTCACACAATCATTATTCTTCCTTTGCAATGATTCTCGTATCTACGAACTTCCTATGCCATCTCCACCAAGCGAAATTGCTAGATATACAACTCCACCGATCATAATTGTTGGTGATCGTGCTGGTGTACTTTACAGCTTAGATCTTTCGGAATTAAATCCATCACATACATTGGATGCATCAGCAAGTTTCAAACAACCTACAAACTCAACGATTTCCAATGTTGATCCAATTTACAGCAAATTCCATAAGCTGAAAAAGCCGATTACAGCACTTTGCGTATCTCCTGATGGTGGCGCAATTATATGCGGCACATCTGATGGCGATATCGATGTAGTTTTGGTTGAACCTAAAGAATCCAGATTTTTCAAGTCAGCAAGGAACGAACTGAAGTCTACAGGAGTCACACATGTCTCAATGTCCGGACTTCTCAATATTAAACCATGTTCTGTCGATGCTGTTGCAATTGTCCATATTCCAGATGGAGATTTGATATTTGTCAACATGAGAAGCGAACTTTCTGGTCTCTTGATATCAGAAGACAACTTCAAGCATGTTATTATGAAGAAAATGGTCAGAGTTCCTTCAATGAGAGCTAAATGTCCGGCAGCAATCACATATGTTGACGGAAAATGGCTCTGGGTTGCAGGAACGGACATGGGTGACTTAATTATGCAGGAACAAGGCGAAGAAATCGCAATTTTGACTCTTCATGAATCTACTATTGCTGCTGTCGAATGGTGCAAGCAGCAAAAGAGATTTATTGCGGCTGATGTATCTGGTTTGATTTCATTATGGGAGAAAACCGAATAAAATATTTTTGTTCAGTTTAATGTTTTTTTAAAACAAATTTCAGATTGGTTTTTAGTTTCTACTCCTTTTCATCATGATAGAATATAAACAGCTGTTTGATTGATGTCGGGTGAATATGATTCTCATACAGAATGAAAAAAAAAGAAAAATTATTCCGATACGGGGAGTCGAACCCCGATCCTGTGGATGAAAACCACATATCCTAACCGCTGAACGATATCGGATTTACATTTGATATTTTACTATAAGTATCTAATGAATTTTAAACACTTTTCGAAAGTTTTTTTTGATCCAAACTTCATATCTGAGATGTTTTCCTTAGTATAAAAGATATAATCTGAATTTTTCTCACATTAATTTGAATAAATTCATTTGTCTTCGATCAAATTATCAGCACAATCTATAAGATTACACTTCGTTCGGAAAAAGATTATTCATCACCTTGTTTACCTTGTTTTAGGCATATGCAATTAAACATTTTCAATATTTTCATATCGGTTAGACCAAAATTGAAATCAATTTTTTAGAAAAAAATTCTTTGTTCTCTCAAATAAATTATCAGAAAACTTTCTCATCTCCAAATTTAACTTGATTTAGATATAGATAAATACACATTATTCATTCAATATTTTTGAATTCCTTTACAAATTCCCTATTGAAAATTTTTAATCAATAATTTCATACTTCTTTCTAACAATGTATTTGATTCTGCAAGTTTCAAGATTGAATTATTCGAAATATTGAATACAAATTTCAAAATTGAGAAAAGAATGGTTCCTAAACTTAAGCTACAATCAATCAACATAGCTGATAAGTTATTAATTTTCTCCTTTCAATTTTTTTGTAAATTATCTTCAGATGCGAAAAATCTACGGAGATTACATTACTCAGAAGCGTCTCGGATCTGGAAGTTTCGGAGAGGTTTGGGAAGCAGTCAACCACAATACTAGACAAAGAGTTGCTCTAAAATTGGAACCCAGAAACTCTGAAGCTCCTCAACTTTTTTTTGAAGCTAAACTTTACTCAATGTTCCAAGCCTCCAAGGCCACAAATAATTCCATAGAGCCATGCAACAATATTCCAGTTGTCTATGCTGTCGGACATACAGAATCAACAAATTATATGGCAATGGAATTACTCGGAAAGTCTCTTGAGGATTTAACATCTGGAACACAGAAGTTTTCGCAAAAACTGTATTAATGCTTGCAACGCAAATGATTTCATGTGTAGAATACGTTCATAAACATAAATACATTCATCGCGATATTAAACCAGACAATTTTGCAATGGGTGTTGGCGAAAACTCTAATAAAGTCTATATCATTGATTTTGGACTTTCAAAAAAGTTCGTTGACTCAAATAATCGTCATATTCGTAATTGTTCCGGAAAATCATTAACTGGTACTGCCAGATATGCTTCGATCAACGCTCTTGAAGGAAAAGAGCAATCAAGAAGAGATGACATGGAATCTTTATTTTATGTCTGGATTTACCTTCTCCGAGGAAAACTTCCATGGATGGGTTTGCCTGCAAAGGGGAATAAGAAGTATGAAGCCATTTTGATGAAGAAGAAATCGACAGAACCAGAAGATTTATGTTCAGGTCTAAATAGCTTCTTCATCAACTATTACACATCTGTCCGCTCATTAAAGTTTGAAGAAGAGCCAAACTACGCGATGTACAGAAAAATGATCTATGATGCGATGATTTCTGACGAAATTCCATTTGATTATTGCTATGATTGGGTAAAACCAAATTCAGTCCAACAAAGAAATGATATACATAATGCAATATCAAATACAAGGAGGGATGACGTTCTAAATCATATAAATTTGAAAATTTCTCAGCATCAAAAGGATCTTTTAAGAAATGAAAAGGACAAACCTTCTATTCCATCAAAGGATGCAACAAAGAACAGCAATTCAATCCCTTCCAAGGATGTTTTACTTTCATCTTCTAATTACACTTCTTCTCATGAAAATTCACAGATAAAAACCACACAATTTAAGAAGAGACAAATAATTCCTCTTCATCTCGCCAAAATATCCGAAATCAGAACAAATTCAAACTTAAATACTTCAAGAACAGTTTCGAAGTATTCAACTGCAGTCAAAAAGGAAGTGAAGCCTGCAAACAAGCCGAAACAGACGCAGACAAAGGTAAAACATGATTCCGATCATTCTTCAACAAAAAGATTTTCGACAATTAAAACAAACAGAAGACAAAATGACGGAATTCATCAAGTGAAGGATAGAACAGCTTTATTCAATGCTACAACCAACAAATATCCTGTATCTTACCGTACTGGAATGCTTCCGAAATGGATGATGGCCCATCTCACATCCACGCGTTAGATTTTATATATTTTCTTTTCTATCTGTATTTTAAAATCTTATTTATATAAAATTTCCATTTTTTAGAAATTTATTTCTCTAATTTCGTTTCTAGTCTTATCTTTCTGCATTAATTTTCACATATTATGATCAAATATTTCTTTTGCATTGCAGTATTAGATATTACTTACTTAGTTATTGAAATCTCATTTCAGTCAAGAATAGATTTTATTGATAATTTTATTGAATCGATTCGAGTCATATGAATATCTTTATTTTACCAAGCGATTGAAGAAAAATATCTAATTCATGTCTCATATATTAAAATGAAGGCCATTAGATAAAAAATATTGAAATTGTGACAATTTCTTATAGGGCGAGAAAATAATTCGGCATAAGCTGGATAAAAATCCAACCATGAAAAATATTGACCGTGAAGTGTCCAATCAAGAGCCTGAGATAGAACCCTAAGACGAAAATACCGAAAATAATATATTCTTCCGAAAAAATATTCGGTAAATAAGTTAGAATCTGAGATTCGGGAAGATAAATTTTCTTGATATAGTATTTCGAATGTTTCATTATCATTAGAAAACTCTAAAGCATAACTCGGATAAATATTTGTCCACGGATATCCCGCTGATGTCGTGCCTCTTATAATTAATCCAGATATCGGAAAAGATGCTTTCAGATCAATTACCAAGTAGTTATTTGGATTTGTAAGAAGACAATATACATTGCTATCATTTCTATCACATATTTTTAAAAGGCTTTCATTTTTATACTGATCACCCCAATGTTGATGTTGCCATATTGAAACTATTCCTTTCTCAACAAGTCCAGGACCATTAATTGATAATAATTGATTGAATATACATGATCTCTGTGGTTGAATCAATTAAAAAAAAATTAATTCTCATGCATACGATTATTTTTTGATTACAATGCTGTTCGGCATTAAAATCAAAAATAATCATAAGCCCGAGAATCACATTTTTACTGCGTTTTTAAGGGTGCGCCCGGGAGGATCATGTAAACTTCAGAATTTAGAACCTTAATTTTTTAGCAATAACTTGGTACCTAAATAGGTAGGAAAACTCTAAAAATATCAAAAAATACAACTTGGCTCCATAATAATCCTGTCATGGTGGATGTTTGTATCCCCTAGTATTTTCCTCTTGAATCTCTTTTTCTGTCGAAATTAAATTCAAATCTCAGAAGTAGAAGTGAATAATCGACTTATTACTGCTATTATACGAATAAATAAATTCATTATATTATTTTTATTTACATAATATCTGTTTGAAGTCCATAATTCTATAAATTTTTCTTCAAAAACATTACAATCTTGATAGTTTTGATACTGTTTAATAGGTTTTTGGCACCTTATTTAGTATTTACTACGTATAGAGTCGATCTGAACTTAATTTTCGGAAATTTAAAATATTTATTATAAGTAAAATCTGATTTGAAATTTATGTTTAACTACTCATATCTTGCATTATCCTGAGTAGCTTTTGTAAAAATTCATCAAAAAAGATTTTAACGTGCTTTAATTTTTATTTTTTAAAATAATGCATATTATTATATAACTAGCATATTTACAAATTTTAGTGCTTTCAAAAATTTAATCCTCCTCCTCTCAAATAAACGTACATCCGGGTGGCCTGTTTTTTGCAAAAAATAAAATTTCATTTTTTATGCTTAAAAAGTCAGAATTTTTATTTGCTTCTGGGATATATGATGGCTATATCAGATGCCCATTCTTTTTGATACTCAACATTAAACATAAAACTTAGCCGTTAAGGCTCTTCTGAAAATGTTTTTTTTCCCGAAAAATTTTCGAAAAAAATCAAAAAATTTAAAAATCCCCGAATCTGCAGGGATTTTAAAAAATTCTTTTTAGTAAAACTTAAGGATATTGTATCAGATATATTGGTATGGGCAAATTCAATTTTAATCCAATATTCATCGAGATATTAAGTTAACGAAGCTTTCAAAATTGAGAGGGTAATCCTCCTCCTCTCAAATAAACGTACATGCGGGTGCACCCTTAACAGGCATCACGCCTCTTAAAAACGCAACAAAAGTGTTAATTTTAAAAATTCTGATTAGATAATAAAACAATCGAAAAATAATAAAATATTTATTATTATCTTACCAAGAAATCAGATAACACATCCGAAGATTGACCTTTAGGAGGTCTATAAGTGATAAAGTGCGAAAGGACTAATGGTTGTATTTCACCTTCCGCGTTAGGAATTTCAATGAAATCGACTTTTTTATCTTTCAAGTACTTAAGAATTTTCTGTCTTGCCTCTTCACGATTCTTGCAATCTCTTATGATTGCTCTTGTCGTGTGCACGCAATTTGTTTGTTTGCTAACCCATGCAACATGTACTGTTTCTCCATTAACAGGTGATTCTTCTGTTGCTGGGTCCGGAGCGTACAATTTCGTTGCAGAAACTCTCCATTGTTTCTTAACGAAATCTCCACCAATTCCACCACCTTTGTTGTTTACTTTGAGGTGGAGTTTTCCAATTGGTGTCCATATGACAAATCCATCTGGTCCGTGCTGTGCGCCGAAATCAAAGAGGATCTCATCAGTGTTGCATCTGTAGATCAATTGGAATTTGTCGTCTTTCATTAACTGGCCAAACAAAACAAATTTTCTGAAGAAGAAAATTGTCAAACTTTCACCTGACAACATATCTTTTAGATCGCTCGAACTTGCCTTGAAATACTTCTGTTGGAGTCCGCTTGGTGTCTCGCATGAAAAGAAGGACAACCCCCAGTCCTGATAGTTTCCAATCGGCTTGAAAGTTGGTGGTTCCGTGTATTGTACGATTGTGAAATTTTCATAAATAACTAAAACATCTTGAGCGAAGAAACGAACGTTATTATACAAAATATGTATTTGTTCAAGTTTCTTCTGTGAATCGAAAATGAGTTGTCTTTCATTAGTTTCTATACCCAAAGCCATAAACTTCGTGTAAGTCTTCTGAAGAGCTTTGTAATCATCTGTATCAGCATTAGTATTTACTAAAATAGCTTCAACTAATGATCCCAATCTCGTCATAATTTGGACAGGAATAATCAACAAATCGTTCAAGTTATTACGACTTAATTTGCAAGTATTATTAAGCATTGGCGCAATGTTTGGAGACTTATCAATTACAGCTTTTGCAGCGCAATAAGCCGTAGAAACATTGATGCTTCCTGCAAAAGCATCGACGAAATAAATGAAGATATCTCCTAAATTAGTTGTCGGTTTCATTATATTGACAATTGGAGCTAATCTCGCAACGAACATGTCCATTAATCTCTGCATGTTCTCCATTTCTGGAATATACAATTGTACTTCAGGACATTTCCTTAACTCGTCATTTAACAGTTCGAAAGCTGCTGTATATTCTTTGCACGCGTTCTTGAAAATGTCACATAGTTCTAATGCGGCGCACGCTCTTCTCAAAGGTTTCTTTATCATTGCGCCGATTTCTTTGAGGTTCATTTCTTCGCAAATTACATTCAAAGGACGTCCAACTAAGAAACTTGAACCGGCGTCCATCAGCATCTTGCAGAGGTTGATGTCTTTCTTCCTTAACGCGTGATGGAAGGCTGATTCAGTCTTTGAATCGACAAGGCTTGAATTTGCTCCTGCATCTAATAACAACTGAACTAATGTGATGCAATCATTTGGCTTGTTTTCATCATATAGTTCGACAACGTTGTTTATTAGAGGAGAATCGTCTTTGTCGAATACATTAGGACTTAAGCCTCTATCAAGGAACGCTTTGATGGAAGAATATGTTAAAGGAGAATCAAAAATAGGATGCGCCTTTAATTTTGTCAGTTTTCTGCCTGCTTCTGTCATATTTGCGAGTAAAGCAGATTCCAAAGGAGTGAAACCATTTGCATCTTGTTGATCATACAATTGGTTCTTCTGCTCTTCAGTTAGACCGCCTTGGTTCAACAGGAAATCGAGAACATCGGTATGTCCGTATCTCGCGGCGTAATGAAGAATGTTTTGCTTCATTTTGTTGACAATCAAAGGATTCGCGTTATTCTCTATCAAAGCTTCGAAACACTGGCGATAAGAAGGACCTCCTGACTGTGTCAAGATGTGGAGAGGTGTTTCTTCTTCGCTGTTTTGAGTGTTCGCGTCGAGTTTGAGAATGGAAAACGAATCTTTGATCGCGCGAGGGTTTGCAAGCAATGCGGCGTAGTGGACATAAGTGTTTCCTCTTGTATCTACCGATGTCTTGTTTTGATTGGGATCTTTCATCAGTGCAATCAAGGCATCGCTAGTTCTGTGTTTTGCGGTGAAGTGAAAAAGTGGTCGACCATGGTACATTGTAATGCTGGCACCGCACTTCAGGAGGGTTGGAACGACAGGGCATTCGTTCATAACTGCTTCTACAAGAAGGTTGTCGAGATCTGCTTGGCTGAGCTGTGATAATTTGATGCATACTTCAGCCAACATAGGTTTGCAGTTCTTTACGGCGGCGTAGAGGAGGGATTCGCCATTGGGAGTCTTTGTGTCGGGTGGGAAACCACCTTCTATGAGAGGGCCGGCCATTTGGCTCGCAATATCATCATCAAAGGAGAAAAGAAGCTTCGCGAGTGTATCGTAATCGTACTGTGAGACTTTTTGGCCTGTAACAAGGACTTTGACTGTTTCTGGATCTTCAGATTCGACAGCGTAGATGATGCAAGTTTTTCCAACGGAATCTCGACTCGTCATAGCTGGCGGCTGCTGGTATTTGAGGAATAATTTGATTGCTTCGATGTTTTTCGTCTCTGCGGCAATGTGGTAGGCTGTAGTTGTTGAAGTAAAGAAATTTGGATTTGCTTTTTTATCGAGAAGCTGTTGAATTAAAGATAATTGTGATTGTTTGCTTGATCTGCTATGCTTATTGAGTAATGCGTAAATTAATGGGGTGTAATTGTTATAATCGACAATATCAATTGGTTCTTTCATATCATTGAAGATTTCTCTGTCTTTATTAACACGCTGGACAATGTCTTTAACAAATTCTTTCTGTTCTCTGCTGCAAACTGCTCCTCTGTAGGCTAATAATTCGATTACTTCAGGATTAGTAGCAATATCGAGAGCAGTAAGTCCGACAGAATTAGGATCGTCTGAATTTGCTGTATTGGATCGCGGTTTCGTAGTTTTTTGATTGATATCAACATTATAATCTAATAATATTTGCATAAATGATTTATTTGATAGCTGAGCCGCATAATGAATGATGGCCTTACCATCTTCATCGATCTCCATGAGACTTCCGGCTTTGAATATTTGACATAAATACTCAAAAGATTCAATACAATTGTTATCGAAACATAATTTAGCTATACTGTGCTTGTTATTGTACATGTATTTAAATGGGAGATTGAAATCAAGAAAAGAATCGAGAACGTCCTTATCATTGGATAAAAATGCCAGTTGAACAGGATTAAAGCCCTTTTCATCTTCAGCCGTAAATGAGACATTAAATTTTAATAATGCTCTGCATGCTTCAACGTTTTTATTTAAAACTGCAATATGCAAAGCAGTTTGTAAAGAACTGTCTGTAGAATCGAGATAGATAAAACTGTTAAGGAGAAGCTTCCAGTATTTGAAATCAGGATATGATGCCAAAATGTGAAGTAATGTCCTTCCATTATCGTCATAATAAAAATCTAAGCCAATATTTTGTGCATTAAAGTTGTCAAGCAGCTGCTGCAGATGCTTTTCATCAGAATTTAAGCACGCTTCAAGCAAAGCATTCACATTTCCTTCAGCAAATGAATGCTTCATTTTGCGCCGTCAAATTCGAATAAAAAAAAATTATTATCTCAAAGTCTAATCATGAGTATTTATGGATAAATGAAAGTGCCATAGATCAGAAAACATTTTGATTGGATAAATTTGGTGTTTTCAAAGAGAATAATGTTCCAAATTGATCAAATATCTCTCGGATGAAGGGAATGAAAGCAACCATAAATTATATATGACAATTACAGCATGAATTATATAAACATCTGAGAATATTCGGGAATAAATCTTGTTGATATTAACAAACAGAGTTTAATGGGAGGTTGAAACATGGTTTGGTTTGAATTTACATTGTTTGCGCTCTTAATCCAATTTTTTATTCATTATAAGTATATTGCAAATATCTAGGCTGTTTATAAGTATAAACTTTCAGGATGATCTAATCAAACTTATGTTGTAATTGAAATCGCTATAAATTTGAAGAAAAATGAATAATAAAAATATAAATTTAATAAACCTTTTAATATGAGAATAATTTGTATCGATTCGTTGTCGTGTGTATAAAAATAGAGCGAATAATATCAAAAAAGAAATTTACTTGGCTTGGGCTTCGGATACGTTTGTAGGCAGCACGAGCTGTGAGGGCAGCTGGTGTGGTTGTGTGTAGGCACCACCGGCAACAGCTTTGCCGCACTTGGTGCATGTCCAGATGCCGACGGCGTTGCGCTTGACGGAATCCTTGCCGCAGAAGGCGCATGGATACTTCTTGCGCTGTGAAATTTCGATCTTCTTGATTGTCTTACGGAGAGATGCACCATAGCGAACACCGTACTTGCCACAGATACCGACTTTCTTTGTTCTGCGTGCCATTCGAAAAAAGGATGGCCGCTAGAAAAGTGACAAAAGAAGAGCTCCAATGATTTCTTTGTGTGACAAAATATTGATAATTTATATTGCTCACGTGCTGATACTATTAAAAAATACGAATTAATTCAATTTCGAAAATGAATGAAATTCACGACTAAGAATTGCTTTTTCATGATTTGCATTTCATTTTAATAATTGTTCAAGAATGTACTCGGAAATTGAATATCTAAATCCTCTTTCAAATTTTATCATCCTAAGCTTCCATTTGGAATCAAACTCTTCAAAATTTTAATATTGATATCACAATGATATATCAGTCATTCAAATTTTGAATCAAAACTATTTTTGTCGTGAATTTCATTCATTTTCGAAATTGAATTAATTCATATTTTTTAATAGTATCAGCAAGTGAGCAAATTCAATCATAAATATTTTGTCACATAAAGAAATCATATTCACTTGACTGTCTTAAAATTTTTAGCAAAAGAAAAATCATATTAGACAGAAATATCAAATATTTTTAGTGTTAGATATTGTAATCCTGTGAATAAAACAGTTGAGAATTCAAAATCTATCTTTATATTGTAATAAATGTGCCTACAGAAGTATTTACTCTCAAAAAATTGCCGTTTTTTAATTTTAGGTCGTCAAACAATTAAAAATCTAATTATCATATAGTATAGGGTCAATACGATAATATATGGAAGCCCAAAAATTCGAATAAAGATCGAATTTGATGTGTTTAGTCAAAATAATTCATCTTCAACTGAAATGCAAAATTTCAGTTTGTCGCTAAGTAGCTTGGCCGTTTTATATGGCATTATTTCAATTGAATTGAAACACGTGTGAGTAACTGGAAGCCAGAAATTATTTTCATCTTGATGATCTGTTTCTTTAACAGTTAACTCCAAATGAAAGCCTTTTGTAATCTTTGGTGTTTCATTGCCTGTTATAAATCTCATTAATTTAGAAAGCTCTTGGGAGGTGAATGGAGCAACTGCTTGAACGAAAACAGGCCAAACTTTGGTATTCTTTGACTTTGGAGTGAAGTAGGACAAGAATGAATCAATATCAAGATCCTTCCCTTGGCCACGTGCTAATCCTTCAATAAATTCTCCTGAGAAGTTATGGACTTTGATAAGAGGAATGACTTTCCAGAAGCCTGATCTCATTAAATTAACAAGTGTTTTGAGATCATTAAAGTAGTTTTGATCATCGCAATGAACAAGATTAGAAATGTCGACATCTGTAACAAAACTCTGCCATATGAAACGAGGAAGATTCCAAGCTTTGTGAGGATTTTGTGTTGCAATAGCACTAGCAATAAGTGATCCAATTGTGCTTGCAACTTTGGCAGGCATGTTTGGAGCAGGAATTAATCTATCACTTTCGCAGTGAAGAGTGCTTGGCGGTTTGACAAAATATTTGATTTTGATATCCATAAGCTCTTCAACCATAAGGAAGTAAGAATCTCTGAACACACCTCCAATATCTGGACCAGTGGAGCCTTCATACTCTGCGTAATATATAAATTTATTTTCTTTTGTTCTAAATGCAACGAAATTTGATGGAAAATGAGATTCCTCTTTAGCAAGATAATCAATAATCTTGATAAGTTCGGGGGATTCATAGTTAACACCATGAAAATGTGTCTTAGTAATATCAATCTTTAAATGTCCTATTCTCCTGCTGCTGCCCAATCTTTGATATTTTGTGGCCCCCAACTTTAATATTATGATTGTTAAAGTAATCATATAATGCCTCGAGTTCTGGATTAGTTGAATCAATATCTTCACTCATAGTAAAAAATGGTTGGAAAAATTATAACTTCAATTCAATTTGAAAGAAAGTTCGACTTTTTTTTTCCAACAGATATTTTCCATTAAAAAACCGATTGACTTATAGATAATATTGACATATTATGATATACTTTAATAATATTATTTGGCCTTTTTTAAATTGAATATAATTCAATTTTTGAGGCGACTCATTGAAGAGAAGTTAAATTTTTTCCAACAAATTTCCTATGATTTTTCTTTTGCTAAAGAAATTAAGACAGTTAAGTGAATGTGATTTCTTTGTGTGGCAAAATATATATGATTTAATTGGCTTCTGTAGGCACATCTATTACAATATAAAGATATATTTGGAATTCTCAACTGTTTTATTCACAGGGTTACAATATCTAACACTAAAAATATTTGATATTTCTGTCTAATATGATTTTTCTTTTGCTAAAAATTTTAAGACAGTCAAGTGAATATGATTTCTTTGTGTGACAAAATATATTTGATTGAATTTGCTCACTTGCTGATACTATTAAAAAATATGAATTAATTCAATTTCGAAAATGAATGAAATTTCACGACTAAGAATTGCTTTTTCATGATTTGCATTTCATTTTAATAATTGTTCAAGAATGTACTCGGAAATTGAATATCTAAATCCTCTTTCAAATTTTATCATCCTAAGCTTCCATTTGGAATCAAACTCTTCAAAATTTTAATATTGATATCACAATGATATATCAGTCATTCAAATTTTGAATCAAAACTATTTTTGTCGTGAATTTCATTCATTTTCGAAATTGAATTAATCATATTTTTTTAATAGTATCAGCAAGTGAGCAAATTCAATCATAAATATTTTGTCACATAAAGAAATCATATTCACTTGACTGTCTTAAAATTTTTAGCAAAAGAAAAATCATATTAGACAGAAATATCAAATATTTTTAGTGTTAGATATTGTAACCCTGTGAATAAAACAGTTGAGAATTCCAAATATATCTTTATATTGTAATAGATGTGCCTACAGAAGCCAATTAAATCATATATATTTTGCCACACAAAGAAATCACATTCACTTAACTGTCTTAATTTCTTTAGCAAAAGAAAAATCATAGGAAATTTGTTGGAAAAAATTTAACTTCTCTTCAATGAGTCGCCTCAAAAATTGAATTATATTCAATTTAAAAAAGGCCAAATAATATTATTAAAGTATATCATAATATGTCAATATTATCTATAAGTCAATCGGTTTTTTAATGGAAAATATCTGTTGGAAAAAAAAAGTCGAACTTTCTTTCAAATTGAATTGAAGTTATAATTTTTCCAACCATTTTTTACTATGAGTGAAGATATTGATTCAACTAATCCAGAACTCGAGGCATTATATGATTACTTTAACAATCATAATATTAAAGTTGGGGGGCCACAAAATATCAAAGATTGGGCAGCAGCAGGAGAAATAGGACATTTAAAGATTGATATTACTAAGACACATTTTCATGGTGTTAACTATGAATCCCCCGAACTTATCAAGATTATTGATTATCTTGCTAAAGAGGAATCTCATTTTCCATCAAATTTCGTTGCATTTAGAACAAAAGAAAATAAATTTATATATTACGCAGAGTATGAAGGCTCCACTGGTCCAGATATTGGAGGTGTGTTCAGAGATTCTTACTTCCTTATGGTTGAAGAGCTTATGGATATCAAAATCAAATATTTTGTCAAACCGCCAAGCACTCTTCACTGCGAAAGTGATAGATTAATTCCTGCTCCAAACATGCCTGCCAAAGTTGCAAGCACAATTGGATCACTTATTGCTAGTGCTATTGCAACACAAAATCCTCACAAAGCTTGGAATCTTCCTCGTTTCATATGGCAGAGTTTTGTTACAGATGTCGACATTTCTAATCTTGTTCATTGCGATGATCAAAACTACTTTAATGATCTCAAAACACTTGTTAATTTAATGAGATCAGGCTTCTGGAAAGTCATTCCTCTTATCAAAGTCCATAACTTCTCAGGAGAATTTATTGAAGGATTAGCACGTGGCCAAGGGAAGGATCTTGATATTGATTCATTCTTGTCCTACTTCACTCCAAAGTCAAAGAATACCAAAGTTTGGCCTGTTTTCGTTCAAGCAGTTGCTCCATTCACCTCCCAAGAGCTTTCTAAATTAATGAGATTTATAACAGGCAATGAAACACCAAAGATTACAAAAGGCTTTCATTTGGAGTTAACTGTTAAAGAAACAGATCATCAAGATGAAAATAATTTCTGGCTTCCAGTTACTCACACGTGTTTCAATTCAATTGAAATAATGCCATATAAAACGGCCAAGCTACTTAGCGACAAACTGAAATTTTGCATTTCAGTTGAAGATGAATTATTTTGACTAAACACATCAAATTCGATCTTTATTCGAATTTTTGGGCTTCCATATATTATCGTATTGACCCTATACTATATGATAATTAGATTTTTAATTGTTTGACGACCTAAAATTAAAAAACGGCAATTTTTTGAGAGTAAATACTTCTGTAGGCACATTTATTACAATATAAAGATAGATTTTGAATTCTCAACTGTTTTATTCACAGGATTACAATATCTAACACTAAAAATATTTGATATTTCTGTCTAATATGATTTTTCTTTTGCTAAAAATTTTAAGACAGTCAAGTGAATATGATTTCTTTATGTGACAAAATATTTATGATTGAATTTGCTCACTTGCTGATACTATTAAAAAATATGAATTAATTCAATTTCGAAAATGAATGAAATTCACGACAAAAATAGTTTTGATTCAAAATTTGAATGACTGATATATCATTGTGATATCAATATTAAAATTTTGAAGAGTTTGATTCCAAATGGAAGCTTAGGATGATAAAATTTGAAAGAGGATTTAGATATTCAATTTCCGAGTACATTCTTGAACAATTATTAAAATGAAATGCAAATCATGAAAAAGCAATTCTTAGTCGTGAATTTCATTCATTTTCGAAATTGAATTAATTCGTATTTTTTAATAGTATCAGCACGTGAGCAATATAAATTATCAATATTTTGTCACACAAAGAAATCATTGGAGCTCTTCTTTTGTCACTTTTCTAGCGGCCATCCTTTTTTCGAATGGCACGCAGAACAAAGAAAGTCGGTATCTGTGGCAAGTACGGTGTTCGCTATGGTGCATCTCTCCGTAAGACAATCAAGAAGATCGAAATTTCACAGCGCAAGAAGTATCCATGCGCCTTCTGCGGCAAGGATTCCGTCAAGCGCAACGCCGTCGGCATCTGGACATGCACCAAGTGCGGCAAAGCTGTTGCCGGTGGTGCCTACACACCAACCACACCAGCTGCCCTCACAGCTCGTGCTGCCTACAAACGTATCCGCGAAGCCCAAGCCAAGTAAATTTCTTTTTTGATATTATTCGCTCTATTTTTATACACACGACAACGAATCGATACAAATTATTCTCATATTAAAAGGTTTATTAAATTTATATTTTTATTATTCATTTTTATTTGGATAATATTTCCCCAACGTACATCGTTAACAAGTAAACCTGATCTCCTGGTTTTCTACTCATTATTTTCCCTCTCTCAGATACGAAATATTTACATACAATATAAAATTGAATTCTTTCAATATTTCAATGCCATTGAATTATTTTTTTATGGCAGAGAATGGGTCATTTATAGTATTTAAGAAACCAAAGCCTCTCATGAACAGAAGAATATTTTTCGAAACTTACATCCAATCGCTTTCATGCGTTTTTATGATGCTTTTCATCACTTTATATATATTTTTCTTCAATTATCAATTACATGGCTGGGTAAACAAATCGACGTTTACGCTAAAGGAAGCATTCTTTAGTAGAAGGCTGATTCCGAACAGATTTGATGTCGAAAAAGTTTTTACATTTGGAAGTCCTGGATCTCGTATCACTAAAAAGCCGCTTTTCGAAGAGAATGATAAAGAGGATATGACCGCTGTTCCATCGACTTAATGAAATTTCGTCCCAAAAATTCGTTATAGTTCATCTTTTGTTTTCTTGAAATCAATATCCTTGTTCCATACATACTTTACATACGCAAGCATGGCAGTTCTATCAAGGAACGTTTATTTCTTTTACTATTGTATTTGAATACCCTACGTTCCCAACTTCTGGAAAACGGTTTTTCACCCTTATGATCAGTTTCAGACACTTTGGGAGTCTCCCAAACTTTGATATTTTGCATTATGATAGAGAAACGTGTCTAGTTTAACGCACGGTTGTTTTAAAGGCAAATGATGATATCACATGAAATTATCAAATTATCAAATTTTGAAGTACCAGTCCAAAGGGTTAATTAGATCCTACACAGATGTGCGATAGTGAAACATATGTGTTCTTGATTTGAGAAGTCCTACTGATAGAGGTATGAATCTCACAGCTTTGTGTGAGTGTGTCTGACACTTGTATAGAGTGGAATATGCGCCGACATATAGTATATAATAACATGTAGTTGATAATTATGAAAAAATAGAATTCGATGCGAATGATATTGAAAGTTGTTTTGTAATTTGATATTTTTCTTATATGTGTTAATTAGTAAATGGCTTGTTTGTTGTGATCGTACTGTGAAAAATGAAAGGTATTTTAAATTAAAAAATTGAGATTTTGAGATATCTCTAGAATTAAGAATTTATTATGTATTTGACTTTTATATAACTATGTGTAAAGGATCTCGATGTCTATATGCTTTAAATAAAATTAAATAAAATGAGATAAAAAATTAAAATGGACAAGAAGATATATGGAAATGTAATTTGTATTGTGTTGGTTGTTGGCAAAATGATTTTAATACAGATTTAAGGATTTGGAATGGATTTGAAATTAAATGATTTTAATTCAAGGAGTAATAAGATTTTGAACTGGTTTTTATTTTGTGAATGTAAACTCCTTCCATAGGATATGTATTAGAAAGATCAATGTCAAACTTTTTGAAAGAATTGTTTTTTTGTTGAGCGATTTTCTCATATTTAATAATATATTTAAGTTGGCGTATCTTACGCCCTTCCAAAAATATGTATTAGAAAGATAAATTTTAAACTTTTTGAAAGAATTGTTTTTTTGTTGAGTGATTTTCTCATATTTAATAATATATTTAAGTTGGCGTATCTTACGCCCTTCCAAAAATATGTATTAGAAAGATAAATTTTAAACTTTTTGAAAGAATTGTTTTTTTGTTGAGCGATTTTCTCATATTTAATAATATATTTAAGTTGGCGTATCTTACGCCCTTCCAAAAATATGTATTAGAAAGATGACTTATAATTTCATAAATTATTTTGTCCCGACGGTTTGAGCGGTTATCAGAATGGTTGCTTACACAATGCGTCAGCAAAATGTCGGTTGGGGTGCCCTTCTTGGCCTCCTGAGTACTCACCAAGATACCCCCAACTCCCGCAAAACACCTCCCTTAGGTGCGCATTACCTGACGGCATTATTTTGCAATTATTTCAAATTTTTTAGATGTCTTTTGTTAAAGTTTGTTAACTAAAGACTTGAAAACAGCTTACCGCTTCAAGCTGCTCTCTTCCCGGTTCCTCTGCCGCAATCTTCTGTTTGATTGTGCGCAAAGCTCTCCTCCTTGTGAACTTTGCCTGACAGATACACCTGGGAGACAGCATTCGGACATCTTACCGCTTCAAGCTGCTCTCTTCCCGGTTCCTCTGCCGCAATCTTATGTCTGATTGTGCGCAAAGCTCTCCTCCTTGTGAACCATGGCTGATAGAAAGAACTGAAAGACAGGATAGGAGGAACATGCCGGTTCAAGTTAACTTGCAATATGCTTCTGATTAGTGATTTTAGATGAAAGATTAGCGAAATCGCATTTAATTTGGATAGAAGGATTCAATTTTATGAAGCAGGCTCGTAGAAAATATGCAGGAATAGCACAATCTTTTGCAATCACAACGCGATTGCAAAACTTCGACCGACAAGAGTGTATTGTGCACTCTTGTCGGTCAAACTTCCTAATACAAAATTTGATTCCCTTATTATCTTCTTAACAAAACTTAAGATTTCAATAATACATCATGAAAACATTCATTTACTACATTCACACTGTTATTCCTTTCTATAAATTAACTCATTTAATAGAATCTTGTTTTTATATCTTATTATTTTCTCATAATACTTCTAATTCCTCTATTTCCTCTTCCACATAAAATTTAATTTTGTAATGCTATCATATACACTTAATGTTTTCAAATTTTCAGATTTAAATTTAATCTTTATTTTCATCATCATTTATAATCTTGTTCCTATATAAAGTTATAATAAATTATCGTCAGATTCTAATATTTATGATTCTTACTACTCAATTCAATATAATTATGTTAGTCACTCATATTCAGGAGAATAATTTAAAAATCTATAGCTCATATTTTGATAGTTATATATTTAGATGATATATATTGCAATTCCGGTTTCAACACGATCAAATGCCAAACCAAGACAAAATATATATGAATTTTCAAAATATCGATTTACATTAGAATCTATATCTAATTTTATCAATACACAAGTAGGGAATGTTCAATACATCTTTGAGCAACGTGAATAGCACAATTTTATAGGATTATTTGTTGATTATATAAAATATAAGCCAAATCGAATCTGCTGTATAGTACTTTAGTTTATCATTGAATGTTAAATGTGTTCAGATAAATATTTGAGTCAGATATCGCATTTTCTAATTTCAAAATTTATCTCATGAAGTTAGAATTTATTTGATCATACAACATCATGTTAGTCAAACTAGAGTTCAATGGCGATTCTAGAATGGAACAAATGCTTGTTTTCTCAAAATGTTAAAATATTAATCTAAAAAACTTAATATCTAACCAAACCATTCTAGAATTATTATATACAGGTATAGGCAATCTAAATGCACACGGAATTCGGAAAATTAAAAAGAATATTTATGAGATTATTAAATCTTATGTAATTCAATGAAAAGTAGATAATATGAATATCCATAGGCTATATATCAACATATGAGTTTTTGGTTTGACCAATACTATACTAATGTGATCAAATTAATCTGATTTCTTAGATTTTCATTTGAAGCATTTGCAGTAGTAGGGGTACCTTTATATATTAACATATTAAAAAATTGCGCTCCGATTCGCAGTTTCTTCATGATTTTGAGATTGCATTAGATTTCGCGATGCAGAAAAAAATCACTTTAGATTCCCGTCAAACTCTAAGTATAATCATATCTCTATATGTAGAAACTGTCTGCGCTATTTATTTCCCGGCTCAAAAAACCACGGTGTCTGTGTGAGGAAAATACCCGTTTTAGGACCCTGGGTAGGGGGTCATGAAAATTTTCCAAGAGTTGGAAATATAGGGTAATTGTATTGTTTTTAGATATTGTTTTATTCTCGTTTGATAAATATTATTGTTTTATATTCTAATTCTTTGGATTTTAAACAGTCAGTTTTTATAAAAAATTTTCATATTAATATTAAAAACGGAAAGACTTTAATTTGATACAACTATAGGCATACACTTGAGGAATGATGACAATTTGACGAAGAATTCTTGCTTATCATTTAAACAATTAATCAAATTTGAAATATCATTTTTATGGCCAATATCATCCTGAAATAGACTTTGCAATATAGAGCTAAGGAACTCAGATTTATCATCATTTTGACATTTCATGAGAAGAATCCTTACAATTTCACATTGCTTCTGAATCAGATCATTTTCATAAAATTTATAAATATAAGATAACATATCAGCTAATAACTCTTCGAAACCCAGATGATTTGAGTCAATTTCTTTGATTATTGAAAGATATAAATCTAAACTTTGCGAATTTCTGATTGAACTGAGCTTAGTTAAGATTTTCTGAGCATTCTTAGATAGAATTTCGGATTCATTTTTATCTTTAACTGTTATTTCCAACAAATTTACAATTGATTCGTTCAAAATTTGCGGAATATCCTGAAGAAGTACTAGTTCTAAAATTTCTTCTATAATTTCAATACCAAAATGATCCGACTTTTGATATAAATCACAAACATATTGAATAAGTTTCTTATCTGAACAAATTATTTGCTTATTCTTACAATGATCAATAATACTTTTATCAAGATTAACTTCTGACTTAACAAACAATAACAAAATTGAGATAATAGTTGATTGAAGGCATTTGGATTTGTTTTCACCATCATTAGTGCTAACACTAGCAAGATATTCCGAGATTTTACTTAAGAATTCTGTTGTTGAAAGATTATCAAAAATTTTGTTTTCTAAACAGTAATTAAAGGAATTCATCATAATTGACTCAAGACATAAAGCATTGTTTAGCAATTCTTCCATATTGTCAACCTTTGATTCACTAACTTTTGACATCATAAACAAAATTTCACTTGAAATAGACTCTTTGTCATCAATTTTAATGAAGTAGTCAGTAAGTAATGATAAGGACATCGATCTTTGCTCATTATTGGTAATTTGAGAATAAATTTCATAATAATTTGACTTAACCTTCTGAAACATTGGAACTAAACAATTTTCTGAAGTTTCCATTGACATTAAATCGACAATTTCTTTGCAAATAGCTTCACTCTGAACTCTAAACGAATCAATTAGTATTTGTACATCATTTTCATCATTTGAAAACAAAATTGGGAATGATTTCAAGAAATCAGTAAATAACAAAATCGTATCAATATAATTTTCTTCATCATCCTTGACTTTTTCAATAATTTCCTTGAAAAGGTTGTTTACTTCTGAAATAACATTAGAATTAGCTTCATTTTGCTTAATATGTTCTGAAATTGAAGTAATTGTTGAAGTTAATGCAATTAAAGTTGATAAATCAAATTCAATTTTCAATTCATTTGATTTTTCATTAATTATATTAATCAAACAATCAGATTTGCTAATAAATATGAGCCTGAATGACTCTTTAAGGTACTTATCAAGCTCAATTTGTTCAGGAAATTCAGCTTGAAATTCTCTTGAAGGAAGAAAGGCCGGAAGTACTTTTTCAACATATTTTGGTAGATGGTTAATGTAATATTCCATTAAATTCTTGTTTTCTGAAATTTGGTTATATTTTTCAAGAATTGTCTTCCAAAATCGACAGTAGCTGATCATAGATGAGATAAAATCACTATCCCATAGACATTCTAGTATTTTAATTGATTTGTCAACAAGATCTGGCATTTTTTGAAAATTAAAAATTTCAAAGTGATTTACTAGAAAACAAATCAAGAAATCAGTTACTTCCTTGCTGTATGTTGAATATAGGTTCTCATTTTCAGTGTAGTGAAGTATAACATCAAGAAATTGTTCAAAATAATTTTTCAAAGATTCGTTGTTTGGAAAGTTCGAAATAACAGCTGATATGTAAAGTAGTATTGATCCAAGGTTTTCTATATCGTTTTCAACCTTCATGAAACGGTTTATTGTTTGATTTAATTTTATTAAATTTTTAAGGACTGTAGACTTAATGTAATCCTTCATTAAAAGCAATGATGACGATGCATAAGAGATTGCTTGCCAATCTAAGCCTTCGTCGTAAGCAAAATTAAAAATTTGAATAATTTTATCTTGATTTTGAGTTATGAATGATTTAACAACTTCCTTCTGATCATCACTTGTTTGCTGAGATTCAAATACTTGTTGGAATAAATAATATAAAGAATGAAGTGAATGATGATAACTCATTCGATTATTTTTGTCAAAGAATAGTAAAGTATTGAGACCAGCTGGATATTTGTTTGGTAGACATCTAATTAATATAGAAACGAATAATTGATGTATTGAAATCGCATTTTCGTCATTAAATGCCATGTATTGATATGCAAGCTTGAATACAATAGCTGTTGCGGTAATGAAATATTTCTGTGTTTGAATATCTAATTGATCCCAATTTTTAGTTACGAATTTTGTAAGTATATCTGCGAAAAATGCCGAACATCCAATAAATAATGATGGATTTAAGTAGCTTAAGCATAAAAGATGACAGTCTTTTCGATTTTGAAAAGCTTGAAGTATTTCTTCACTGTCTGGTACATCATTTCGAACGCATTTAACAATATATTCGATTCTAGGAGTTTGGTTTTCGTCTGCCATACTTTTTATTGCGCTACTAGACATATTAAAATAAAAATCAATAATAAAAATGAAAGAAAATGATCAACCATTCATCAATTCATCTCAATGCTCACTTAAAAAGCACTAGCTCACTAAGTTTTAGAGATATTTTGTTCGATACTTTGACAGAATTAAAGGCAAAATAGCATATTAGCTAGAAGAAAATATGTAATAGTAATAAATAATTTTATATATCAAACATGTTAAGACTGTAATAAAAAATATCAATAAAATTTTCTACTTTTTCTGGTTTGTTCCCATGATTTTTGTCATAAATGTCTGGAAGAATCTAAGTTCGCTTTCCAGAACCCTATTTTCAGCAATAAGAGATAAAGATTCGCTTCTTAATTTTAATGCTTGTTTTCTTAGGTCATCGTTAGTTTCAGCTAATTGATGTAGTGTTGAATCCTTTTTATCACGCCATTTTTTCGCTGCTTTTCTATTTCTTGCTTTTAGCTCTTCTTTATCAACCTTTGAATGCTTTGAAATATGATCATCGTCTGATGATTCATCATCTTCCTGTTGAGGATTAGGATATACTGGCTGTTTTTCTGGAACAACAATTCCGATAGGGTTCATAAGTCGAAAAACATCATGCTGCATTTTTGACTTTTTTTTATTTGAGATTTTTCTCCCTTCTTCACTGGAATTTTAAAATTGTCTTGTGGGCCTGAAAATTGAGTGACTGATATTCAAAAACAGTATATGTCTGTATTGGTACGGTGGACCCTAAAACCATTTTCTTCGCCATCATATACTATAGTATTCATATTATTATATTGAACTTTTAGAATTCCTTCACATACATCATTGTTGGTGAAAAAAAAGAAAAAGTATTGCACCACCCGGGAATCGAACCCGGACCCCCACCTTGGCAAGGTGAAATTCTACCATTAGACCAGCAGTGCTTTACATTAGTTTTTGAAAATAGAAATTTATTTATTTATAAATTTTTAAATAGAAAATTTTCTAAAAAAATTGACTAGTTATTATAATGGCGAATAGAACCCAGTCACTAAAATCTATTTGCCTAAATAAGATCATATACCTAAGCAACTCAGGTTCTACTATAGATATGCAATTTCTCCCACCTCATTTATCAAATGAAATCATTATCAACATTCAAACAGTTGATGTTTTGAAAAGAGTTTATCTATCTAACAAAGATTACATTCAAATAGACAAAATGTTTAACTCTGCATGGAAAAAATTCGTAAATAATAAATTCTTACATGGAAAAGCTAGCGATGATATGCTTTCTGACGGACAAAACTGGTACGACTATTATTGCATGCTTGAAAAAAAGAAAGAAGAAGAATTGGAACAAACTCGTGCAAGACCCGTGGAAAAAGTCAAAAAAGAAAGTAAAATTGTGGATGGAACAGCTCGTGCACATGGGCATTACGTTTCGTCCAAAAGTACTACAATTACAGAGAAAAATCCACATCTTCGTGAATTGTATAGGAAAATGCAAAAATACAACATAAAGTAATGTCACATGCTATCTGTTATGTTTTAATATATAAACTGTTTTGTTTTCTATTATAGATATCTTATAAATTGTTAATTTATTTCAACAAAATGGGAACAAATCATTTGGTTATTTGGCACACATTAACAGAAGAGTCAAAAACTTCATTATGCTATGCGTCTATTCTAAAATGTGGGTGATGACTAAATTTGTCGCTGTGGATATTTGTAAAGTGTCAAATTTGAGAAATTATCAAACCCATATTGCTTCAAATGAAATCTTTCGAAAGCAAAATTTTTATCAATGATATTTTGCTACGCTTAATTATGCTAAAATAATCCAAAGCTGTCATATTTCGAATCCACATTCAATTTCTTATCGTTCGTATATAAATGGAAGAGAAAGGCGACGAAATTCCACAACCCACTGAAGAAAATGTAGAGCCAACTGATGAGAAGATAGAGGATGCCGAACTCGCCGATTCTGTCAAGCAAGATGAAGCACCACAGCCTGAGCTTGATGAAACTAAAAAGAAAGCTCGACTTGAACGGTTTCATAACTTATTCCTCAAAGCCCAAAGTTTAGGACTTAATCTTACAGAGGAGCAGATTGCAAAGGCTCACACATCATGTGAATCAACACCAATGCCAAACAAGCCAAAATATGAAATGTACAGAATTCATATTGTCGGTTTTCCGCTCAATATGAACGAGTTACAAATTATTGACTTCCTCTCTCAATTTGGCGAGGTTTATGATCTTTACATGCTTCAACTTCCTAATGGTAAATTCCGTGGAATGGTAAAAGTTACTTTCCTGGATAATCCTGATATTGATGGGATCGTTGAGAAGATCAGCGAAACTGTTTATCATAGTACTCGCCTTCACGCTTGCCGCGCTCTTTCTAAGGAAGGCCGGGAGCAATATAAGAGAAATAAATATGGCGTTTATGCTGGCCATCCAGAAAAGAATAAGGATTACTATCCAACGGTCTATGACCCCAGAACTGGCAAGATGGTCAAAGTCCAAAATCCAAGAAATTTCATAGATCCTAAAGACATGAGAGAATACAGAGATCGCCCACCAATGCGCGATGGTAGAGATTACGATCGTAATCCTCCACCAAGGAGAGACTACAGAGATGATGATCGTCCTCCATATCCAGATGATTATCGTCGACCATACAGATCAGATGATATGCGCCCATATCGTGATCCAAGAGATTATCCACGCGATTACTATCGAGATCCAAGAGATTACGCTGAAGATCCAAGAGACGGATACGGAAGAGATCCAAGAGACTCTTACTACGATGAATATGCTAGACGAAGTGCATATGATAGCTACTACTCAAGAATGGGCCAACCTGCCGATCCACAACCCGATTATAGCGCATACTACTATCAACCTGGATATTATTGAAGAATTTTTATATGTTTTAGAAAGTTTATCTCCATCTTCTTAAATATAAGTCTAATTATAGAATTTGTTTTCTAACCAAAATATTAGTTAAAAAATTATTTATATTATAGCTTGTTTGGAATCAAATTCGTCTTAAATTTACAGAATTAAAGGAAACTATGCTAATTCGAATTCATATATTTGCCTTTGTTATCGAAATTTATCCTAATCTTTTATTATTTTGGTAAATTTATATGGAGTAACTTTTACTATTTATGATATCTGATCTATTTTCAAAATCGAAATGCATATTTGAGATTAGTAATTTTCGGTGAGATTTTTTTTCCCCCTCCGAAGTTTTTCATAAAAGAAACATTTTTTCATAAGTATGACACAGCGTAAGTATACACGTCTTGAAGAATCTATGGATGCCAGGCCTGGAATGATGCAAAAGCCACTTATTCCAGAACCTAATCCAACTTTTGAATTAATCAAAAGAATTTTAACCACAGTTATAACAGTAGTTCTCTTTCTTGTCGTATGCAAAGCAACACATTTCCGTCAAAAAATGTTATATGATGCTAGAATTAATAGAAGCTTCTTGGCTACATTTTACATTCTAATCGGAATATTCTTATCACTTTATTTATACTTAAGTATTACATTACGTTGGCTGAGACCAAAGAATCAGCGTGTTAACGTTGACAATTGGGAGAAAGTTCAGCCAATTCCATTTTATATTTCCGTTGGCTGCTTAGTATTATCAGTAATTAGCTTTATTCTTGCTTTATGGCCTGCATTCCAGCTTGCTACATTTGTAATTGGCTTCTTAGGCTTCACATCTGTTATTTTTGTTATGCAGTGGTTGCCAGTCAATATATAATCACTATTGTAATAAATCTTGTTGTTCAACTTTAAACATATAATATACATTATTTCTCTTTATAAATAAAGAAAAGATTATTTAATATTTTTTACAAAAAAATAACAAAACTATATGAGTGTATTATAAAATAAGAGCTGCAACAGCAGATGCGTTATTAGACATGATGTTTCTTCTTCGTCTCTTAACAATATAGATTATCAAAGTGATAATGATAACCAATATGAAAACAGCAGTCAATGTAACCAAAACAATCATCTTCGTATCAAATTTCCATTTGTTTTTATCTTTATCATCCTTTCCATCACCTGAATCTCTTGAATTATCAGAATCTTCTTGAATTTCTTCAGTACAGTTTCCCATTTCATAAAAAATATCCTCTGGTACTTCTGTTGATCCAGAACTGACAATTTTGATGGGTAAAATCATTGTATCACAGATTTTACCTGTAGTTGGTGTCAATGTAAGCAAACAGCGCTTACAAACGAATTTATCATTGATTGTTGCATTTATATGTCCGTTATTCCAATTTTCATTTCGTCTGAAAATTTCTTTTTTAGTGTCAGCATCAACAAGTCTTAAAATGATCCTGCTATCCCAAGTCGACTCTATTTGTTTGTTATCCAACCAAAGTTCATAATTAATTTCAAAGGATTCTCCGGATTTAAACAAAGAATTTGGTTTTGGAGATAAAATTACACCTCCTGTCACATTATTAACATTTTCATGAAGAACTGTTGCATTAAATCCGTAATTGTAATTCCTTCTAAAACGTGACATTGTCACTTTTTCAGAAGACCAATCATTGAAGATACAAGGAATCGAGAAATTAACGATCAATTCTGGGTCTTGGAAAGCTATTGCTGGTGTTCTTCCGAAGTATGTCTTGAATATGGACATATCGCTTGATATACTTGGGAAATTGTTCCACTGGAAATCTTCAGCAGCTTCGATCAAAATTGAATTAATTTCTCCGCATTTAAATTCCGGTGAAGTGGATTTTATCGTCATGTTTTTATTGATTTTTGGACTCAATTCGCTGTTGCCTATTAGTTTAGTGATTTTAGGAAGATCTGGCTTGTTTTCGCATCCATAAAAATTCAAAGTGAAATTGGAAAACTCGAAAATTTGGAAAGGATCTTCATTTTGAATTTTTATCGTCCAATTTCCTTGAATTTCTTCTCCAAGGAAGTCTCTTAAAGTGAAAGAGTACTCCAATTTAGAAGACACATGTTTCATTGAGTTTGATAATGGTTTGAAGTAAGAAACAGTTTTAGAAGGTGAAATTAACCAGATCTTCAACAAACTTATATCTGTTGTATTATTTTCCATGAAATTAACAACAACAGACTCAATGAACTTTATATCATTGCTGTCTACTGTAAAATTAACATATTTTGGTAATTCTCTGAATTTATTTGATGTAAACTTTTCAAATTTTGTGAAGAAAATTTTCTTTTCTTTTGGTAAATTCTTCCAATTCTTAGAAGTTTCTACAGCCAAGTCAACATTGATTCTTCCAAATCCACTGTAATGGGAATACAAATAGCCGGCTCCGTTCTTCTTCCAATAGATACTTTCAGGATCATTTATTGTTGACGTTAAAGCCAAAATCATTTGTACATCTCTCCATGTTAACTCTTTATTGACTTGTAGCATCAAAGCACAGCATCCAGCAACTTGTGGACAGCTTGCACTTGACCCTGTGAAAGTATTAGTACAACTGGAATCTCCGAAAATTGAACTGGTAAATAAAGTTGGAGTGTAATCTGATCCAGCCATGAAACTCGAATCTCCGCCACTTGGAGTGTTAACTAAGATGTTACTGCCTGGTGCTGTATAGTACGCAGCTGATCCTTTGTATGTAGATGCAGAAACAGAGATAACTCGTCTGTCTTTGTTCAATAAATACTCATTTGAATTTTGGCCGTTTTCTTGTTCATTTCCTGCAGCGAAAACAATGATTCTGCCTTTGCCGTTTCTTCCTTGAGTGACTGATTTATCTAAAGCTTCATCTACTACAGGATGGCTTTGATAAAAGTAACAACGAGCTGAAGATGAAGGATCACATTCTACTCCCCATGAAAATGATATGACATCAATATCATTTAATGATGTAGTAAGTGATTTGACGATATTACCTATGGAAGCATCATTGGCACCGAACCTGTGGCAGCCAATTGTCGAATTTGGAGCAACTCCTATGGAACAGTAGTTATTTGATGAAGCAGCAGCCATGCCTAAGCATGCTGTTCCGTGAGAATCAGTTTCTACTTGTGGATTGATGTCGTCAAACGGAGCTGAAAAAGCAAGATTCAGATTATTATTAAAGCGGTCCATAAAATCATAGTGCGTTGTATAGCATCCATCATCAGCAATAACAAGTGTTACGTTGTTTCCGGAAATTCCTTTTTCCCATGCCTTTTTAACGTTGATATCTTCTCCAATTGTACCTCCATAGGCTCCAATATTGTTGGCATAAAAAGAAATGGGCCATTCTGGATCTGGGTAATCGAATTTCTTAATCTTTGAATTAAAATCTTCAATAAAATAATTTGCACTGTTTATTATGTCTTGATTAGGATATTTATCAGTAGAAATGGTTATAAAATCGTTCGTTGTAAGTAAAACTTTATAATTTTCATTATTCAGTAAATTAATTTTATTTCGAGGCAATTTAATGAGATATTGTGGCCTTATGCGAACAGTAGTGAAAGTTGGATCTGCTCCTATTTCAATTGTGTTTGAATTATAAGCTAGAGGACCTAATGTTTCATAAAAGAGAATTGAAATCATAAAATTTTGTGGCAAATTTGGCAAAAATAAATCAATTAATTTACTTGTTTCATTGCATATTATTAATTTCGTAACTTAAAAAATTCTTTTATTCAAAAATGATAAATCCAGAAGATTGTCTTGACGGAAGGATAGATTTTGCAAAAAGATTAAAGAAAAAGACAATAAAGAAGCCATTATCAGCTGCAGCGAAGAAAGACCCTCCTCCAAACGCAGAAAATATTGAGAAAACATTAGCACAATCCACTGACGAAGCAATTATGCAGATGACTTCAGCAGAAATTAAATTCCAGAAGCAACATACAAATTACATCAAGAAATCTATTGAAAGCTTGAAAGGTTTGTCTCATAAACAGATTATTGAAAAGGCCAATAAGTCTCTTGAAAACATTGCAATGCATAATGATCTAGAAGGTGATTGATTTATATATTTATTTGGGAAATTATATCTGGATTCCTCAATATTTCTAATATTTTTCGACAATTATACAAAAATCAGCTAAAATAGTCAATAGTAGCTGTTAATTCAAACAACACCTTTCCATTTTTCATTAATATATTTAATTTTTTCCATTTATTTCTATATATCTTATTCCTTCAATTTAGGAGCAATTGGATATTACAGTGGCACAGAAATTATATGTATATCGTTTTGCGAAACTTATAACTTTTAAAAGAGTAAAAGCTTGTAATTTTTTTTATAATCATCAGATTTTTTTTTAAATAATGTCTCAGGTTGAGCTCTCAATAATGAGTACTAGATACGCGCAAATTATTTGGCTGTTTCGCAAAGTAAAAATGATCAAAAAGTGAGAATACTGCTAGAATTGTAAACGTTAACGTAACAGAAAAACGAAATGAGTTTTCAAGGAATTGTTACCCCCGAACAGATGGAAAGCCTTCAGAATGCATTCGATACATTTGATTCCAATTCGGATAATTGTTTGGAACCAAATGAACTTGAATCCGCTTTAAGAGCCTTAGGATTCAATCCTAAAAAGGAAGAAATTCAAGATATGATCGAAGATACAGGCAATACTCCAATTGACATGAAAGCCTTTGTTTATATTGTTTATCATCATTCAAGAAATGTCGATGTCGAAAAAGAATTAATTGATTCTTTCAGGGTTTTCGATAAAGAAGGAACTTCAAAACTTCCAGAATCTAAGATCAGAGAAATTCTAAAGAATATCAGAAAGCCTCTCACTGATGATGAAATTTCTGAAATCTTAAATAGAGCACAGAGCCAAAATGGTTATGTTAATTACGTTTCTTTTGTTCATGAAATGATGAACCTTTAAATGGTCCCATAAATGTTGATTATTATTAAATATTTAATTTTTTTTTGTTTAAGCTGAACTTTATTCTATATAGCTAAGGATGTCAATTCGGAAAATTGTTTTCATTTTAGGAGAATATAATTTTCCTTTTCGAAAATTTAAAAAGTGAGACGCGCAGGATTCGAACTTTTTTAAAAGTTGATTTAAATATATTCTAGTGTGGATTCTAAGGATAATATCATATTTAAAATAAGAATATACTAGTTTAGGTGGTATAATTTTTTTCGATAAATTTGAGAGCATGTACGTTTAGGACATCAAAAGTGTCAATTCGCTCAGCGAAAGCTGAGCTAGCTTCGTTCTCGAAAGAATAGGGAAGGAGTGAAAGAGAGTGATACAGATGTTGACACATTCATATCATTTCAACAAATTTTGATCAAATTGAAATGCAATGAAATTCAATTCACTTCATATCCTTCAGTCAGTACATTGACATCCTTCTACATCACAATGATAACTCGTGCATCAATAGTTCTACAACTAACTCAGAAAAAACAAGATTTTTCCTTCCAGCTTACAGCTTTTAAAAAGTTTCGATGATAAAAATCACTCTACTCTTGTTTATCGATATGTTGTGATAGTAGGTAAACGTATTCTTATCGATATTAATAACAATATTTTTACGAAAATCTGAACCAATTACAGAGTTATTCATAAAGTTTATGATAACTGTAATTACTTCATCTTTGTTTTATATTTGAATAAACAATTTAATTTAATTTGCATAATTTTTTTTAGTTGAAAGACAGGAAACTTAGTTGAGTTTGTATTATTTTTATCGTTCAATTCATTGTATATGTGAGTGATCCAGATATTTAAGATATTTAGAAAAAATTTATTAATTTGATTAACAAATTTTAATCAAAATAGCAAAAATCTATTTGATAGCTGTAAGCAAATAATAATTTCTATTTCAACCAAAATCACTTATTTTCATCTAAACGTATAAAATTGTCAATTTTATGAGAATAAATTTAAAATCTCATGAAATATAAAGGAGAGTAATATTTTTCAATTTTCTTTTTTTCTTTCTCTCAAATATTTTCTATTGGGAATTTTCTTGTTATCAAAAAATAATTTTAATATTTGTTTATTTCATTACATACAATAAAATTTTAAAAACTCTATTTCTTCACAAGAAAATTTTTTTCCTTCATATGAAGAAACATTTTGTTCTCCATTTGATGCTGAGTCTAAATCTCGATTTTTGAATTTTCTTCTTTCCAAATTTCTTTTTTCCAAATTAGAAGTTTAATTCAAATTTTCAATAGTTTATATATTTTCTCAAACCGTCTTAGATTTTCTCACTTTTTAGGGATTTTCTCTCAAAATATACAAAAATAGTAATACCAATACATGTGTCTAATATACTTTAAAACCATCGTGATAAAATTCAAAAACGAAGAGTTCTTCTCTCCAAATTTTTTTCAAAATCAAAAAAATGAGATAAAAAAATATATTTGGAAAATTCATTTTTAGCATTTTAGGAATTTTCTCACTTTTCTTCCAAATTGACATCCTTAATATAGCACAAAAAACACATCATCACTATATAAATATGTATTACTATCGATGTTTCATTGATCTTATTAATCTGGTGGAAAACTTATTCAATGAAAAAATTCAGAAGTTCATTCAAATTTCTTTATCCATCATATATCATCAATGAACTTTGAATCTTTGATACAGGCTCCAGTTGATACTTCAAGTTTTAATAAAAAGTATGGTGATGGTAATAACAAATGTACAATTCATAAAAGAAAAGATCAGTTATTTAAAACTTATAAACTTTTAGACCATCCAGATCCAGAGTCCACCCCAAATAGTACCATGCTAAGAGACATAATTCCCATTACAATGGATCATTTCTGCCTTCCAAAAATTAAGAGTTTATATTTTGCAAAAAATGGATATTTATCTGCTTCAATGGAATACATAGAACACGAAGATGTTAAAAACATTAACGGGCTTATGGAAAGGCTAAATACAAAAACAATTTATTATATTTTTAAAACACTTCAATATCTTCATCAGCACGGTGTTCATCATTGTGATTTAGATCCTCTAAATATTCTTTTCAAAAGAAATGATGATATTTCGATAATTGATTTTGATACTTATAATAGAGATGGAATTAAGCACACTCAAATATTTATTAGGCAACATGATCATGAATTCAGTGATGAATTTGCTTTACTCATGTTTTCCATTGTTTATCTCATTAAAGAAAATTCATGTCCAAGTCAATTAGGATCGAAACTCTGTGATTACGCCAACACGGTAATACAAGAAAGCTCCAAAAATTACCAATTAAAATTAGAAAATTTAAAAAAGTATGAAAAATCTAATAATTTAGATTCGAATTTGCAAGATATATCTGATAAAATTCATGATTCATGTGAAGATAACAAAAACTGTTTACAGTATTTCATTGATGCGTTCATAAACAGTATCGAAAATGAAGAAAACCACAAATATGACAGATCTAATGGTAGTGAAAGACTAGAAACTCTTAAAAAAATTATTAATGATTATAACAGACGATGTATGAACATGCATTTCATATCAGACTCATTGAAGAAAGGTGTTTTCCTTTCCAGTTTTATTGATTATGCTTTCGAGCAATCTAACAAAGGAGATTGCGATGCAATGGCATTTCTCGGCGAAGTTTTCTTGACAGGAGTTGTTTCAAATCATGGTGAATATGCTAAGAAGTACTATCCAATATCTCACACGTATGTCAAGCAAAGAATCAGAACTGCATATTTGTTGATCATTAAAGCAATGAAAAATGGTTCTGATTTTGCAAGAGATCGAATTTCCATCGGATTACAAATCATGAAATCGATATTGGAATCAAAGCAACCAAATTTGAATAATCAAATTCTATTGGCTCAAATGTGTGATGCATTCGGATTCCATATGTTCAATTTCTGGGAAGGTGATGAATTCAGTGAATATTTCTATGAATATGATAATACTGATGTTAAAGAATTAGACCTCCTTGAAATGCTGAAAAATCCTGATCCAGAAATAATTTATGATTCTCGATTCAAAAAACTATGTACTGACAAAGCAAAAGAAATTTACGAGAAAGAATCTGATTATCTTTTGCTGATGATGAAGATTAGGACACTTTTGCTTATTGATCCTACCAACCCAAAAATATCAAAAATCTTCAATGAGTTCAAGACAAAAAATATTTTTAATGAAGACTTCATCTTCGAAATGAGCTCCTATTATTGGATTTACAAGCCAAAAGGATATAAAGATTTCGAGCAATATTTCAATTTGCAAATGTTAATGCACAAAAGAGTTTCTGATCCAAATTCAGTATTGAACAATTCTATTGTTCTTCAAGCTGATGTCTTTGAACACCTCTTGGCAGATTATTTCCAACTTTTCTGATTTTTCTCAAAGATTTTTCTTTGTTAATAAAATTTGCGTATTTTTATTTATAAGATTTTTTCATTTGTCTAAACTCAATTAAGAATTATAAAATATTATGCAAGAATTAAAAATTCTTTTTCACTTCAAAATTTTTGGAATCAAATTTTTTCGCGCTGACTTTTTCAAAAATTGAGGGAAAAAGTCACGCGAAAAATTGTAATTTTTCTTGACTTAAATTTTGAAATAATCTGATAAAACCTCTGAAATAATTGATAACTGTCAAATTTCAAATTGAATAAAGATTATCATTTCTCTCATAAAAGTGAACTTACAGATACGGAAAGGAGTGAAAAGTCATCAACCGAATAATTTGAAATTAATATCTAACTATCCAAAATCGAAGTTCAACGCAAGAAAACGCAAGAAAGTACAATTGGTCCGAATATTTTGGCACTCAATCCAAGGTTGAACAGACAAATAAACGAAGTCCATTCTCAGACACAACAAGTTCTAATAATTATTACGTTTTTATTTGTTTATTTGAAGAATGCAAAGGAAGAGGTGCAATTTACATCAAAAGAACAAACAATATTTGCACATTACTTGAAGATTCCATATTTAACAGTTGCAGTTCCACTTCTGATGATGGTGGTGGATCTGTTTACTATAGCTGTTGGCTAAGAGGGCAATTTGTACAAAAACGAACATGTTATTATAAATCAATAGCAAACAATGTTTACATGTCATTTTTTCAATGGTGTAAATCTAGTTCTTCATATAAAAACTACGCAATTGATGTTTCTGTTTCTAATTGCGGAGCAAATGAATCAAAAGGCAGTTATACATTTAGTGTTACATATGGTGATATACTTGTTTCCAATATCAATAGCACAAACAACAAATGCAAACAATATTCATCATATAGAAGTGTCCTTACAGGAAGTTCAGGCACATGTAATTTCTCAACATTCAGAGGAAACAACCAAACTGGAAGTGAATCAGTTCGATTTTCGATTACTCCTGATAGTAAGAATGATACACAAACAGTTTCTTATTGCAATATTATTGGAAATAAATGCGAACCAATCACTACTCAATCTTTATTTGCGAGTACATACACAGTTAATGTTAATCACTGCATATTTTTAAATAACATTGCAAAGTTTATGTTTAATAACCGTCTATCTTATGATGATGCTATAGATTACAATTTGACTATTTCAGATTCATATGTTGATAATCAGTCAGTAGCTAATGGAAATGGAAGAGTTACATTTAATAATCTAAAACAAAACTCCGATTTAAATGAAATGCCTCTTTTTTACACAGAAAATTGTTTTATTGATCCTAAAGAAATTTCTAATAAATTTTCATATCTTACTAAATTTTCAAAAACTGCGTTGGCAGGATTATTTACATCCAAAAGAAAATAAATATTTAGTTTCATTAATAATTGAACATTTTGAATTGGAATAATATTACACTACAAATTGAAGACATTTGATTCTTTTCAAACTTTTTAATAAAATCATATCTTATCTTATTGATTTAACAATTTAAGAAATTAAAAAGTTTATTACAATTAATAATTTAGAAATCATCTTCAATTGGATCAACACAATCATCGGGGATATTATCAACACGGCTACGATCAAATGTTGGTTCTTCGTCGACATATTCAACACCGGCCATTCGGTAGATCTTCTTAAGTTGTTCGACTTCCATGAACCATTTAAGATCAACACCATTCTTACGCATGTTTTCAAGAATACGCTGAGCTTGTGTGAAGTTGCCAAGTTCAACAAAGTACTGAACTAACAGCATGTAAACGTCTTCAAGACGCAAACAAATATCAACACCACGTGTCTGCAACAGCTCGTTGCAAATGCACTGCATACGCATTGGATCCGATTGCACACATTCTGATGCTTCGATGTACATCTCAATCCATCGAATCTTTTGAAGCTGCGACATAACAATTGCTTCACGATCTCTTGTCATATCTGTCTTAGCCATTGTCTGGTGAGCGCGTCTGAGAAGATCAAGCGCTTTCTTGTAGTCTTGGAAGTCATCAATCTCCGTCTGTGCTGAACGTTCTAAGAACTGTGAGATTTTGTCGTATGAACCAGCGCGTTGATAAAACTGCATTGCAGTGATAAACAACTGTTCACCTTCACGAGGATTCTGTTCAGAAAGATAATCCGCAGCCATAATGAATGCATCCTTACGCTTGAGTTTGTTAGCAAATCTGATGACTTTCTCTGGATCATCGCCACGGATTATGTCTTTCATTGCTGAAATGTGGTCGTTCAAACGCATCCAAACTTTGCTTGCGATATTGTACATCTGGAGCTGTTCGCAAAGAAGAGCAACTTGTTTGGCTTCAAGTTCGTCCTCTGTCTGGCTGAGCTCTTCCATAAGTGATTGTGGTAATTGAACATCGTGGTCGTTGCAGATTTTGCTTGCAAATGTGAAATTATGTGCCAATGCAAGGAAATATGCAGCGCGTGTCCAATCTTCTCTTGAAACAAAGAAGTTTGCAGCATTCTCAAGAACTTCGTGGTCTGATTTATCTGTGATTGTGTCAGCAATCTCTGTTAATGCACCAACTAATTGGTTTTCAAGACATAAACTGATTGCTTTGTTGACACGACCTGCGCGGTGCCACAAAAGAACTGCAGTTCGGATGTTCTTGTCTTCTTCGTATTTCTTTGCAGCTTTTGCAAGTAATGTTGCAGGAGCTGAAAGAGACAATGAAAGGATTTGGTTCTCCATGCCTTGTTCGAATGCAAATTCGAATGCGGCCGAGTTCTGGTGAGCGTTCTTGAAAAGATTAAGGATATCTTTCTTCATGCTTTCTTGTTCTTCACCACTAACTGTAGGAAGTTTCTTAATCATGAGACGCGCTAAACGGCAAATAGCACCGCGATCACCTGTGTTAGAAACATGTCGTGATGCTTCTTGCCATTGTTTAGTAATGCACAAGACACGAAGGGATTCACGGATTTCACCACACAAGTCATAGTGTGTTAGTGCAGTTTCGAACTGTGTCTTGTATTCGTAGTAACGACCAAGCCACAAGTGAAGTTGTGGATCTGAGTTGCCATCATTTGCTGCTTTGAAGATGATTGATAAATCACCTTTGTGCATAGCCATGCGAAGAATATCGGAACCGTTTGGACCACTCTGTGCAAATGATTTTATAGATTCTTGTTCATTGCCTTCTAATTCGAACATGGAACCACGCAAATACGATGCAGCACGGATAGGCAACTTGTCTGTTGGTGTGCAGATGGATGCAGCTTCATCAAATGATGTGGATGTGATGTTATTTAAGAAATCAAGTTTGTCACCTGATTTAACTTCAACAGCCGATGTCAAAACTTTTGAGCAGATGTCTGCAAGACCTTTTTCGCCGTTGTTGATACAGAACTTCATAGCGCTTCGAGCAACACTTTCTTCTTTAATAGCACTGACAATTGTTTCTGCTCCTGCTTTGTCACCAGTAAATATGCAGTAGTAGATATTTGTCAGGATTCTTCGTGTCTGACCTTCAAGGCCATCGACATCGACAAGCTGTGGAATCAAGAGTGTGTTAACTGAGTTTTCAGTGGAAACTTGTGAACGAGTTCCAATGACACATGTGTAGATTCTCGGGACTTCGACTTTGAACATAAGACGTGTCTGTGATGATGGACGGCTCTTCATCATCATTACGTTCAAATCGGTAGAAATGAATGCAGGAATAACGAATGACGGCGTTTGGATGCAAAGAAGACGTTCTGAAACAGTATCCCAAAGATGGACAAGAGGAATTCCACCTTCTGGTTGCATAGAAACTGTCTTCTGAAGTTTAGGAGAGTGTAAATAAATGTTGTTTCCTAATTTCCATCGACCGCGATCCATAACATCGATGGAAACTGATAAACAGTAGCCACCACGTGAGATTGAGATGGATCTGATCCTGTGATGCGGTTCTGGAATATCTAACTTGGATGTGGATTTGTATTCAGGATTTCGTTTAGAAACATCGAATAAAACAACTTCTTCTAAATCGGAAAGAAGGCATAAGAAACGGCCATTGATAGATGTCCTGATGATTGTGCCTTTAGCATCAATAGGAACAGAAACACGCGTTTCGCCTTGTTTGTTGTGGACTTCAAGTGTTTGGCCGTTAACTGCATAGACTGTGTCTCCCAAAATTTCGATGTTTGTCCCTGGAATTGGGAATTGTGAGATTTGTGTCAGAGAACCGTATCCCATTGAGTGCATGTACGCTGTCGTCTTGGATAAGATAAGCAAGTTGTTCGCAGATGCTGACATTTTTTCAATTATAAAATCAAATTTTTGTCTGAAAGCTCCTGTCAACGAAATACTTCGTGCATCTGTTTGTACTGCTGTGATATCCTTTGAAACAACACATCTAATTGGAGGAATCTGGCAAGGAGAGAAAGATCCGTCTGGTAAAACAATTAAAGCCTCTTTTGTATATGGAGACCATATGATTTTCTTGGCATTAGTTGTGGTTTCAAGGCTGCGGACAATGGAAAGTGCGTTTTTGTCTTCTTCGTACTTCCATAACATTAATCTGCCGCCGCCTGTCATACAAGCAAGCTCGCAAGTATCGCTGTAGAACATTGTGCCAATGATGTTGTCTTTTTCGTTTGGTTTAAGAGTTAATAGTATTTGGCAATTATTATCGATAATATACATTGTATCGTTGCAGCAATAGCAAAACTTATCATCAGAAATGTGTGAGAAGCAAATACTCTCGCCTGATGCAAGCTTAGATTGTGATAATTTCTTGAATTTTGGCGATGTTGTATAAATTGTTAAAATGTTATCTCCGCTCAATGAATAAACAATCTTTCCATCATAAGAAAGATTAATGTAATTGATTGGTCGTGGTAATGACGTGACAATTTCGAGTTCTTGTTTTTCGACGTATTTTAGAAGTTCGCCTTCATCATTCATGGCGTAGATTGTATCTTGATCTTCGAATGTATACGTGATTGATAAAAATTTGTATGCAGTTGGTTTAGATGACTGAAGTTTAATTTTATTATTGTCAATATTCCATATTCTGATTGTTCCTGTAGTTGAAGCTGTCGCAAATTTATTTTTGCCCGGATGCCATGAAATTAAGGCAACGCTTTCCATGCCAAACTCATCTGAAAAAATTGTTGTGCCATTACTCCAAATTCCGACTTGGCCATCTTCAAATCCAGCAGCTAATGTATCAGAAGCAAGCGACCAAGAAATTTCAGTGGCATTTTCTGTATAAGAAATGACGGATTTTTCTGGATTTCCTTCAAAAGTTCCAATAAAATGAATTTTATCATCAGAGCCTATATAAGCACATGTTCCACTATGGAAGGACCACGCTGTTTTCTTCAGACCAGTATACTTCTGGCGAGTTCTTGCGTCTGATCTCTTCATCAAAGTAGATACTTTTTTTTTTACTTACACTGCGCAAAAACTTATTTACACTCGGTAATTGGAATGAATTGATCATATGGTTTACTTATGTATGAGTAACTAGACATCATCTGATGGGAAAATTAGTATTCTATGCAAGAAAAAATCAATTATTCATTAAAATATCTATAATTTACAATTTCCTCTTAATATTAGCTCTTCTAAGTCGATATATGATCAATCATATAGTTTATTAGCTTTTAATTCAATTAATAAACGGCTACATTCACATAAATTTTGAGTTTATTTTATAAACGTTCATTGTAAAAATTCATCGCACTCTAGACAGTCCAATCAGGGATTTTAACATAGCAATTAACTATCTGCAGAGAGAGTATGTAATGGGGCAAGTTAGATTGACCTAGTTTGTTTCTTATGGAATGAATTATTTATTTTAGTATATTCAAGGCCAAAATAAAATATCGTTAGACTTTTACTCTAGTGCTAATCTTGTTAAAGCAACAATTCTTTATGCAGACAAATATGGATTAAATCTACCTCCTCATTTGCTTGATTAAGGATGTCGATCGTAAGTATTGTATGTGTATTGCATGTGTTTGTCTAAATAGTCATAAAATTTTACCAATAATTCCATTTGAAAATGTAAAATCATCCGTTATGAATGACGAATATGGAGATTGAATGATAAAGATATATTATATTCATATGATATTGATCAGAAGCATTAATTAATAATCAATTGTGGAAATTTTGAGTTAAAGTAATTGATGAGAATAAACATGAAAATGAGTTGAGCTACTCTTTAGAAATTAATCGATTTCATTTTTCGGCAATTTCGATGAATGTGGGAAGCATTGAAAAAATAATTTAATCGTTTTGAAATTGACGGTTATTTTTTTAATCATATAATTTTCAAATATATGATATGGATTATTAGACAACAATTTATTGAAATTGAAATGCTATCATTCAAAAATTAAATTGCAATTGAATTGATTCAATTTTTTGCGATCGATCCAATAATTAAATCTTATTATTTATACATATTTCAAAAAAATTGAATGCAGAAATGTTTAGATTAGTAAAATAAAATTTTTTATAATTAATTTTGAATATATTTTAAAAATTATTGCAATTGCATAGAAAAAAATTCAATCAATTTTTGTTATCAAAACGATAGACCTCGATAATGTCGCGGCGAATCTCGATTGAAACAGAAGATTTGACGAAATTATCGACGGAATATATACTAAATGCAGTTGATAGTCTCCCCTCTGTTGGGATTGAGGCAAAATCATATCGAGACTGCATTTTTATTCTATTTTTATATTATCAAAAGTTTACAAACAAGTCCAATTTAATACAGCTTATCTTCATGCTTTGGCACTACGTTCAGATCTTCGCTGCCGCCAATACTTTGCCTTTAGTCCTGACTATTGTTGAGCAAAAACAAGATATAATTTCAAATGCGTTACTAGTTGTGCTGATGTTCATTATACCATCATCATTAGATCAACCGAATGTTTATTACATTACAAGTTTCCAGCTAATCATATTTCTATGCATTTTTATATTTTGCGTATCTGTGTATCGAATCAAGAGATCAAAAACCTTTAACTCATGGCAAATTTTCTTCTCATATGTCTTTTCATTCGAAATTTCACGCGTTCTTTTGCTTCCAAACATCATTTTCGTTTCAAGATCATTAATTTGCTCATTGGCAGGAATATATCCATTAACATTGCTAAATCTTACGCAAGTCTTGTTATTGGTTGCGCATGTTAGATTGTGTTATTATGCCTCTTTATTTTCTTTTTCATTTTTCAAGACCACACAAATTCCTCGAACTTTATTAGTACTTCCCGAGCATATACAACTCTATATCCTTCCATTTATAGGCTGGGGATGCTTTTCATTAGGAACAAAAAATCAAGGCATTACAAGCTTAATTGTTTTTTGTATCCTTTTAGGTATCGTTTATTTATACATGGGATTATATCCTAAATCATTTAGAGGTACAATAGACCCTGTTTCAATGGCAATTGCATTTTTATTGTTTTTTCAAGCGGGATCTGGTGTCATCTACATCAAAGGTCTCAATAAATTCAGTTACACATACTTTATAGTTGCATCTCTAGTTATATCTCTTGGTATTTTTCTGATTTCTTCCAATATTCAAAAAGTTATTTACAAAGTTTATGAGAAAAGATTGAATTCGGCATCAAAAATAACTGATCTGGACATCAAATCATTCGGAACTTTCCAGAAATACCTTTGTGTCGCTTATCATACTCATCATAAATTTTTATTAGATGGATCAATGATAAACTACGCTTGTTCTCACTATCATGATATCCATTCATGTCATATGTTGTTGAGGTTAGCACTTTATCTTCCAATTTCTACTCCTTATGTAGAACTGATCGAAATTAACGCTTCTTCGTTAAATATGAGCTATACAACACTAGCATATTTTGTATTCGAATACAGAACAGTTCAAGAATGGCGTTATGACCAATTGGATCCTTTTGATAATGAAAATTTGACGAAAACAAACAGAATTGTCAAAAATTACATAAAATTTGCATTTTCTTATGCGGGATTTATACAAAGGGAAGGATCCAAATCCGCTTTTATCTTCGGCCAAGCACTCAACGAAGCTGCAACCATCATCGAATCGCACATCGACAGATGGCTGATGTTCCATCCAACAAGAAACCAAGTCCTCAAAGTTGCTGCTTATTTTTACGACCATTTAAACATAAACCGCCAAAAAGCGAAAGATTTACAGCAACAAATGGTTTTATATGACTATTTCACGTTGATATTACCTAATTGGAGAGAACTACAGACAATTAATAACTATCCAATCGATGCTTATTCGATACCTAGTTTCCCAGATAGAATACAAACAATGTCAAGTGATAATATAACAGAATCAACGACACAGAACGACAAATTCTTTGCAAATGACATTGTTTACACTGAAACACGTTCATGTATGAATGTTAACTTTGTTATATTACTTCTTTGTGTATTAGGATTGACACCATTTATTATTATGATTTATATTTGTTGTAGAAGTTATCAAAAAGATTTCAGAGCCCTTGTTATGATGACTGATTATTTCGGACAACATGTTTATTATGTTTGTGGAATGATGTTGTATGGAATTGAGCCTGGTTACAATTCAAACATTACTTCAGAAGAAAAAGTTTTTGTGAGTAATTTCATTAATGAATTTGCAACTCAACATTCTTATTTATACACTCAAATCATGTTATTGCTAAAGCATTACATGAACTTGAATAGAACATGTTCTCATTTGTACTTGACTCCTTATTTTCCAAGTATTACAATGAGAGGAAGTCCTCGTGTTTATTCTTATGATTCGATGATGAGAAGAATACAAACATCTGTGAGAGAAGTATTCCCTGAAAACGATTTCCTTAAGAACAAACAAGAGTTTAATGTTGTTGTCAACATGTTTGCAAATGCTTCTTCTTATTTTGCAATATTTTTGAAAGATTACAACAAATGTTTGACTGATTCTTATGATGTTGCAAAGTATGATATATACAAATGGTGTATAACATGGGGTAGTTTCATATTCTGTATCTTGTTGATACTTATTTCGATTCCAATTACTTTGGATGTCGTTTTGTTCAGAATGAATAAGAATTTTACAAAAATTGATTCAGATAACGATTCAAGGTTAATAGAAGTATCGTTATCGCAGAAGTATTATGGATCAAAATACTATATTTTTATGACAATTTTTTATTCTTTAGTCGCATTTGGTATTATTTTTCTAAGTATTATAGCAAATAGAGTACTTATGTTGGAGTTGCAGCATACCGTTGAGGAAATAACTGAAGGAGACGTAGCAGATATCATGCAAATGGGTATTTTAGGTACTGGACTAAATTCGATCGAATTGTTTGGTATGAATGCGAACGTTTCCTACTCAACTCTGTATAGAAATGTTGCGGCTGTCACTGCGATGTGGCATCCAAGCGATGGAAAGTGGGCTTTTGAAAATGACACTTCATCTTCAACGCCTCTGTTTGATGTAGTCATTTTATTGATGAAGCAGTTGCATGGAATGAGAATTGTATACAATAGAACAGAAAATAAGAGAGGAAGAGACATTTTTAATCATATATTGCGTCCTTTAATGAAAGAAAGGATTATTAATAGGACAAGTAGATATACAGTTGATATGCTAAGAGTTAATATGGAGAATGGTCAAATACAAGCCCTCCTTTTCGGTTTAATAACAATTGTTTTTTATATAATCGGTACAAATATTCTGTACTTTACAAAATCTGTTGTTTTCACAGAATTTATATTGAAGCTTATTCCTTTTGTTCATCAACAGACAACGACTAACACGCAGGATTCCATGAGAATGTCGAATTTAATGGAAAGTAAATTATTGTTAGATATCATTGGTTGTCCTGCCGCCCTTATTGATAACAATGATAATATCGCTTTCGTCAACCATGAATGGATGACTGTGTTTTCTGGAGCTCAGACTTCTTTTGTTGGAACAAATTATCATATTTATGTGGGACATGACCCTGATTTAGTAATTCACCAGTCTCAGAATGAATACAGAACATTAACTATTACCAGATCATCAAGGATTATCAAGCTTAGGAATCAAATTGATGTTATGGAAGACGAATACAGTAATTTGAATTCGTCAACAAGGCCAATGAATGTTTTATCAACTGAAGAAAAGGAAAAGAAAGTGATTTGTGCAACAATATCTATCATTTCATATAATTTGCAAAATGAAGATATCGATATCGTGAGAACTTTCTCTGATCTCCTATTTGAATTGATTTCTGATGAGTTGCAGATTATAAAGGATGCAAAAATGTTCATGTGGTCATATTCTGACATTACAATTGCGTTTGGATTCGAAGAAGAATCATTAGTGTTGCCTGCATTGCAAGCAATTCAACTTGTTTCAACATGTACGCAGATGCTCATTGAAACAGAAGAATTATTTGGTCTGTATTGCTGTTCTTCATTGATGATTGGATGTGTTGGCGATTCCTTTGATGGAGCAAAGAGCAGACCTTGGAGATTAACAAATTCAATCACTCTTTCTGCTGATGTAGCTCATATTATATCTAATTACATAGCAGATATGACTTATATTTTAGATAATGATATTGCAGTTATTATTATGGAGAAAGAGGATGAAGATATAGAACAAGAAGAGTAGAGTGTTTATTTTAATTAGAATATATGTAATTTTTGTTTGTTTTATTTAATAAAAAAGTTCAAATATTATATTAATATTCATGAATATCATTTTTGTGTGATTTTGTACCATTATCTATGTTTGGAAAAGTAAGATTCTGCAAATGAGTTTGTATATAAATTTAAATTAGGTATGTTTTGCTTCATATATACTTGCTCCTTTAACTTTATGTGGAAATATTTCACAACGTATATGATTTGTTCCATTTTTCTTTGAGTTTTACTGATCAATGAATGCAGAACAACTTGAAGATATCTTCATTGAGAAAATCTCTAACATAGAAATATTAGACGAAAACGAAGCAGACACTTTGTCATGGTTCCTTGACGATTATAAGAGAGTTGCGGGCAATTTTATAGCTCAGATATTTTATAGAATAGTTAGCCCGCAGCAAGCCAAGAATAATTATCATGAAATTCCAATTATCAACTTATTTTTAATACTTGACGTCATGATATCAAAATGTGATCCAATTTATCTTAAAAAAGTTTCAATAGTTATTAAAGAATGTGTCCAATCGGCTATCCCAAGGATGGATCCACAGACATTCAATAAATTACGCGAATATATTGATGTTTGGGCAAATAATAATACTTTTACCCCAGAAATTACAGAAGAACTTCAAAATCTTTTCAAAACTCAAAATAGAAAGTCGCATCAGGTAATTATGGCTACACCTCTTCAGCTAAACTTTCCAGAAAAGAAAGCTGAAGAAACTCCAGTATCTGAACCAAAATATGCACGTGGATGGATGAAAACTTTAGATCAATGGCTAGTTTCTCCTCAAGATTTGTCATTAATTCCATTGAATCAAGAATAATTTTTTATTTTTGATTAATTGATAAATAAATGTTACACATCATGCTTATACTAATTTTAATATTATTGTTTTTCTATGATTTCTTAATCAATACTAATTTTACAAAGAGAGTGAAAATAAAAGGATGATAAAAACAATATGTTCTAATAAGACGCATTGAATTCAGCATTGCATTGTCTCATACAATGAAATATTGTTCCGATATGAAAGATATAAAGAGAAATAATATCTGTAAAAATATTCTTAATAGTTGAGAAAGATATATTTGATAGATAATATTTGTGTAGGACTATAGCTCTTTTAAATATGAAATCCATAATATGATAGCATGATAATGTTCGAAGTTTGGATAATAGAGTGATTAAATTAGAAGAATGCTACTACCAAAGATAATAATTCATTATTGTGGCACTCTCATTCTAGTACGCGTTGATTTTTATTGCATCAGCTGATAGGAAATCAGATTCAAGGTTAAGGGTATAGTCCACTAAAAATTTTTAAGTTTTGACAATGAAAATAAGCTCTGTGACCATGTAAATATATATCTATGCAAAACGAGAGGTTATGCCATAATTTTTTTTAGTTATCAAATTTCCCTTTTTTTGAGAGAAGTCTCTCAATAATTTGAGAAGAATCTTTGATATAAAGAGATACACATTTGTAGAACGAAGTAAGTGTTTTCCAAACATTTTATATGTTTATCCTGTATAACAATATAAAGCTGCATAGTGCCATCTTGTGCGTTTGCTATTTTATGCACTTTTCATTGAGATAATCCCTCTTCTCGGGTGATTTTAACAGTCAACTCAATTTTAAAATAAAGATTTCATCAAAATGATTTCGAAATTCGGATATTGATTATATAAATAGCACTGTTAACATATTTTGGATGAGTAAAAAATACCTTGTTTTGTATGCATTTAGTACACCTTTATTTTTGATTAAAACTATAAAATTTTTATTCCTTATATAATAAATAGTATATGTTACATAAACATGAAATTCAATAGCATTCAATTTTGGATTTTTTAGATTTGGTAAATTTTAGAAGAAATAAAATCAGCAATCAAAATAAAGAAACTTTTTTTGTATCTTCTATGATTACCTTTTGGTACTAAATTTTGCATTAATAAGTAAATTATCTGTATTATTCTGTGAGCACAAGCCCTCAGTTATGCTGGTAGTGAATGATGAATCGTCATTTTGCGAAGAGAACGCGATTATTAAGGTAATTTTGAGAATTGTCTTGAATTATTTAAAATTAAAGTTAATTGAATAGGTCGGATAACTAGCCTTTGCTAAATTTGTATAATTTGACCTTATTCTAGTTGGATCTGAGAATATTTTGCTGAAATAATAAATTATATCGCCGATTTATGAAAATTTCTCTGATGGGACCGACTCGCTGAAACGTATTAGTGTTAATGGTAACTTGTCTGCAATTTCAAATTTTTTTCGAAATCCAAAAAATCACAAACAAAAGCATCAAAATTAGATTTGCATTTAAGGTTTTCATTTTTTTTTGGAAAATAAAAATATTTTCCCCAATAAAGTTTATTTTTACTTTTGAGAGGAATAGAAACGTTATTTTGGAATTTTGAAACAACAGAAATGTTCCATTTTTAATGTAGATTCTAAAATAGGGTCAAATTTTTGATTGAACCGTTATCCATTGAAAAACCTCGATTTTAAAATGTTATTCCAAAATATTCATCTAATGATATAGTATATATTTATTAATTATTACTTTTTATTCAATTTTCACTTTTGGCGGGATTTCATTTTTTTTGTTGTATGGGCCATATTGTTCACCCAAAACGGAAAACAAAGGCAATGCATAACATTTTACTCCACGAACGTCGTCGACTCTCAGCGCGACAGATGCTTGGTGCTTGCATAATGACCGGAATGCCATATACAAAAGGTGCTCGCTTTCTTTCTCTTTGTGGAACTAAGCCCCCTGTGAAGAGTGGTGTCATGAGACAACAGAAATTTTGTGACGATAAGATTAGAAGACTTAAAAGTATTTCCCTAATGCTGTCGAGAAAGTCCTTCAGTGGTTACTTATCCATTGATGCAAGATGGACGCACAGGCGAAACTCGCCAAGTTGTACAGTAACTGCGCTCGATGCTGTCACAAAAAGAGTTCTTGCATGCGTGAACATCAACCATATTGGTGGAAACAGACAACATGCTCAGTATTCCGGAGCTTCCAACAATATGGAAAGTGCTGGAACTCGAATCATCTTGAAGCAATTAAAGAAATACAATATCTTGAAAGATGTTAAAGAGATTATTAAAGACCGAGATAACAAAAGTGTCTCTGTCTTTAAAGAATTTGGCGTCTCTCATCTTGAAAGATTCGATCCAGGTCATGTATCAAAAAATATCTCAAAAGATTTTACAAAGTTCTCAGCTTCTCATAAGACAGTTGAAGTTTTCAACGACACGACTCAGAAGATTGAAAAAATAGAGAGACCTTTCTGGGGTCTGAATGCAAGCCTAAGTATGTGGCTTTGGTCATGTTTTGCCGACGAAAATATTGACAAACGTACGAAAATGTGGGAGAATTGTGTCTACCATTACGTAGGCAATCATTCTTTTTGCGAACCGCACAATTACAAATGCTTTGAATGGCAAAAAGGTGTCAATTCGATCCAACTTCAATTCATGCTCTATGACTGGGTTCACAAATGGACACCCATAGTTTCCAAAGTTTCTTCCATTGGATCTACCTGCATGAATGAAGCGTTTAACTCCAAAATTGCATGCTATTTGGACAAATCAAGAGCCTGGAAGAACATTAACATTAGAGTTAACGTAGTTAGTATCTAGTAATTGGGTACCAAGGGTCTACGCCTCTTAGTACTCAAATTACTAGAATCTGCAAAAACCGTTTGACACGTAAAATATTTTTGACATTTACAAAAATAAAAAAATATTTTTTTAAAAAATAAACTTAAAAATTAACGTTAAAATTTTTGACACTTCACAAAATAAAAAATAATTTTTTAAAAATAAACTTAAAAATTAACGTTAAATTTTTTGACACTTCACAAAATAAAAAAATTTTGAAAAAATAAACTTTAAAAATTAACGTTAAAATTTTTTATTTATTTTTTTTTATCATAGATTTTAACACCCAGAGTAAAAAAATAAACTTAAAAATAAATTAACTCAAAAATTTTTTAATTTCTGTATATACTAAATTTTTCATAAATGATAAAATTAATTTAGAGGGCTCTTTGAGCCCATCTCGCCGCTACGCGGCTTAGGGTAGATCTAACCCGATATCTAACCTCGCCGCTTAGTGGCTCAGACCCTTTGGGTCTTTTCTAACCTTGTGAATTTTCAACAGTAAATATGCTGGCATGATTCAGGGATGTCATCATCAGTGTCATCCACATACGTTAAAGATTCATACCATAAACGAGCTTCACGGGAGATGAGGAGTAATGAAACGATAATTAATAATTTATTAGTAAAATTCATTTTATATAAAAATAAAATTTTATATCTAATCTGATTTTTCGAATTCTTCTAACTTCTTCTTCAGTTCTGCTATATTATCTTCATATAATTTAATCTTTCTCAAAATACCATTTTATCTAATGGCTGCTTAATTTTTCTAAATTGAACTCTACCATCTTTCATTTGATGAACATAAAAACCTTCTGGAATAGTTCCTGATTTAATGTATTCAACTAAAAACTTTTGTTTTGTTGCTTCAGTAATTTTAGTACTCATTTTATTAAAAGTAAAAAATAAAAAATATTTTTAAAATTAACTTTATTTTTTATGAGGACTCTCTGAGTCCATCTGAGCCGCTTAGCGGCTTCGTCGTCTTTTCCTTAATTCCTGCGGATCAACTAGGTCGGTTGAAGGTCTATTACTTTCTTTATAGTGTTTATAAAGTTTATAAGCCGCCATATGATAAATACGCTTTACCTAAAGTTTTCAATCGATTATATAAATCATTATTGTTAGGCGTTTCAGGTGGTGCAGGGTATTCGAGAACATCTCTAACCATTTAATTACTTTAAAACTCTTGGTTTCTTTTTAGTTTTTAACAGTTTCTTTGCTTTTGCGATTTTAGCTAAAATATATCTTCGACCGTAATGGAACCAATTCGAACCTCCTGTTTTAGGGTCAAAAGGTCTTCCATAACCGCCAGGGTCATATGGTGCGACCGCAGTTACTGGCGCTGGTGCTGGTGCTGAATTAATCGGCGGTGCCTCAATTGGCGGATATTCTGGCTGTTTCTCCTTTTCTTTAAGTGAATTTAATTTAAACTCTTCACCATTCAACTGACCTTTAAAATCTTTTAGCTGCTTAGATATTTCATTATCTTCACCTAAAAGATTTTGCGACTGATCAGCGACCCAGTTACCTAATTTCTTTAACTTTTCAGATTTTAATTTTCTGGCAGCAGCTCCCACAAGCATTCCAGCATTATTTTTTAAAGCTTTTGATACAGCTCCACCAGTTAAACCGTCAATAGCTTTATAACCTCCATACAAAGCTGATAGTGTTGAAAATACCATTTAATGCTTATTAAAATCATTTCTCATAATGATTAACTCATAAAATTTTTCATCGGAGCTAAACGTTAATGAAACTCTGACTTTTTCACCACTGAACCTCTTTATTAGTTCATTAATTCTATCAATTATATTAGCACATTTACTTACATCATCAATGATAGTAATATCATCACAAATTATTTTTACATTTAACGACGTCATTTATTACAAATTAATTTCTTCTATTCTTTAAATAATTAACTGCGGGCGTACTACGTGGGAGTGGGTCGTGGCGCCTTATGCGCTGGCTAATTGCTTGAAACAGTGTAGATTTTTTCAGACCTGTTGGAAATAAATCGGCATTCTATATAAATTTCTGTATAAATATGGGCCTGCTACAGCACCAGCAGCTAATAAAAGACCTACAGGAATTACAATTCTATTATAGTTCCGCGGTTTAGGGTCTTCATCAAAACTAGCCCATGCACTTTCAGTCGTTGAACTCATTTATATATAATTAAATTTTAATAAGCGATTAATATGAGTTCGATAATAATGCTATCTTTTCTATCACCAGGAAGGACAATATCTTTTAGGCTCGATGGTTCAACTAATTTTATATTAAATTTATTAACATAATTAGTTATTGAATAATGCTTCGGCGGAGAATATAAGCAGTTCGTTAAACATAAAATTGAATCTTCTGCGAACTCACTTATACTCGATTTAATTATTACTGGTTCTCTTGACCAAACGCTGTGAAAAGAAATTGAAGTTAATAAATTACCTTCTGCCCTCACGGCTATTGATTTTGGTAAATATTCTAAAAGGTCGATTAATGCTATTTCTTTTGCTCCAAAAAGAGCCATATTCTTAAAACATTCTTCATCATTGATTCCTGTAATAGCTCTAAAATTATTATTCGTGTATATATTTTCAATCTCATCACCGACAGCACCATCTTTTAAATCAAATATGAAACCAGCTTTTGAATTTGAATTAACACGAAATTCTATTGAATTAGTTTCAAAACTATAAAACATATCAACTTCATTAGGTTGAGGATATCCGGCACCTTTTAACTGTTCAATAAGAACCGATTTAATCTTTTTATTAAATGCTGTCATATCATCTCCTGTGTCTAAATCTATATAAATCTGTAAATCATATTGATGATTATCTCTTATTATTCCAAAGTTATATAATTCAATGGTTCGTCCTGCAGGAATGGTTTTTATCTGTCTTATTTCAATTGCTTTTTCGCCAGTGTTATAATCAACCCAGTGTTTAGGGTATTCATAAATGTATTCACCATTGATTATTTTAAACGGTTGTGAAAATATGTGCTCATAATAGATTTTAATACTTTTATCATTAAGACTGGGAACGGTATTAACAAAATTTCTGACTTGCATTTTTAATTATAATAAAATGAAACATTTATTTGAAGAAGTAGATGAAAAAATGAATGAAAAATCTGATAAACTCAATAGTTCATTAATTCTTCCCTTCAGTAAGGATTATCAGTTCTGTTCAAACGGTGTGTATTTCTATTGCGGAAAAATGGGTTCAGGAAAGACTTTTAATTTAATTCGTCATATTTTAATTACTGAACGATTAGGTCAAGATTCATATTATGACCAAATCATTATATCAGCAACTTCAGATCCAATGGATTCAACAGCGAAGACGTTTATGAGTAAAGTTCAGGCATCAGTAATTAAAGTTCCAGATAGCGAATTAATTTCTTTTCTTCAACAATATATAAGAAGAAAGAAGAAATATTATGCAATAGTTGAATTTATACAATCAGGAATGCAAAAGACCTCGGAAGAAATGGAAAGAATTATTGATAAACATCATTTGAGACAGCAGGATGGTACGTATGATATGAAACGATTGACAAACTACATTCTCTCAAAACTTTCAAAATATCCTTTTAAAAAATATCCATCAAACACTTTATTAGTTTGTGATGATTTCGCTGGTAAAGGTTTAGTTTCAAAACCAGATTCACCATTAGCTAATTTAATAACGAAAGTCAGACATTATCACATGACTGTTGCAATACTTATGCAAACTTGGAGGTTTTTAGCTTTAAACATAAAACGTTTAATTACTGATTTCGTTATATTTCAAGGTTTCTCAAAATACGATATAGAATTAATTTGGAAGCAATCAGGAATAACATTACCTTTTGATGAAATCTGGGATGCTTATAAATCACTCATTTCACCACGTTCATATTTAGAAATTCATATAATGACTAATACAATTAATGTTAAAAATATACTTTGGGAAAGACCAACATTATTTTAAAGCTTTATTTTTAGATGAGGTGTAGTGAATAGATTCCATCCATCTCTATCACCATTTCTGTTTATATTTTTGGTGTCATTCATGTCCACACTTTCTGGATCAGTCAGTTTTTGAGGATAAAGATTAGAATAACTGTTTTTAATTGATGGTGCCTCACCTTTTAACGCATAAACTCTATTACTTTCTGCATATTTAATGTTTGAACCACCAGAACCATCATTTACGTAAATAGTAAATGGTTTATAATCGATGTTCATATTTCTACTCCTGCCTTTTGCCTTCTTATTTATTACTTCAACATCTTTATAAACTGCGCCCGTTTCAATGAATTCAACTATATTTTCATTTTCAAGTTTCACGTTTAAACCTTTATCAAAGATATTATTCATTTTTATAGTAATAAAAGGTTTTTATTCTCTAGAAAATGAGAAGTAAATCCATCTTAGCCGGTGCAGTGAATGTTCCTATTGAACCTACATCTAATGTTGATTCAAGAACGACAAATAATATTATAATCAAAAATTACAGCTCCGAAAACTTGAAAGATAAAGAAGAACTTAAGTCTGTAAATTTAAACACAGCTTCAAACACAAACGCTAATAGTGAAGTAAAGTTAGAATATCCACCTCCATTAGAACCAATCATATCGCGAGAAGCTCAAGAAGAACTCAAAGGGTTCTCGGGCTCATTGAGCCCTAACCCTTATTCAACTATTCAAACTAATCCTTCAGATAACGTAGACCATTACCTCCTTAATTTATACCAAACAATATTACTCAAAGACGATAAGAAGCTTTTGACAAATCTTATTAGTAAGAATCAAATAATTTTAACAAAGGAGGATTTAGAAAATGTTATATCAAGAATAACAGGGGAACGGTGCGTTATTGATTATCTTGACCCTGAAATCGAATGTTGCGGTCAGATGCCGGTATTTATGAAAATCGGTAATATTAGAATAATCGAAACACCAGGAACTACAGGAGTTGAGTTTAAGTATAAATATTCGAATGAATACACAAAACTTTCAACAGAATATAAACTTTGCTTGAAATATGTTTTAACGAATTAATTTAAGATTTATATTTTTATGGGCGAAGCCCCGCCGCGTAGCGGCTACCTGGTTCATCATCTAGTCCATTAGCTCTTATATTAGACCAAAAATCAACTTCTATGGTTCGAATTCAACCACACCGTTTAAAAGATATGACATTTAATCAACTTCAAATGTAATGAAATCGTTAGTGTCTGTTATAACAAATGAAGCGATAGTGCTAAAATCAAGAACTCTGAAAGCTAGTGGTTCATTCTGAAGACCAAGGTTAGTTTGTAATTTTAATGTCCCGTAATCATTAGGATCAGTACTTTGCAAATAGAACAACATTTTTATTCTAATTAAAAATATGAGTATATCCGCATATTCTTATGAAGCTGATAGGGCGAAAAGATTAATTTTTGGTTCATACACGTTTTCATTTGATGATGAGCATTTAATTATCACTGATGGAAAAACTGAACATTATATCTCATGGAAAGAATTTGAAAAATTCATTCCAATATTAACGCCATGTACAATGCCGTTTATAAAAGACGGTGAAATTATTGAAAAAGATAACACAACAGTATATAGGTCTGTTTATGAAGCATTAGAATATATGTTGAATTATAATCCCGAAAGATTTGATCCAAGCACTACGCCATGTGCAATGCCCTTTATTAAGGACGGTGAAATCGTAAGAGTTCCGAATTCAACGGTTTATACAGCTGTTCAAAACAGTTTACAAAACATTTTAGCGAATATCTTTAATTCAGAAACTACAGAAATAAAATTACCGTATATAACAGATGCTAAAGAAATTAAATCAAAAACAACAACATTATTTACGTCACTTAATGATTTAATGACTTATATAATTAATACTCCCCAGCCGACTACGGCATTTGATCCAAATTCGACGGTTTGCAGTGTACCTTTCATTAATGACAGTTCAGTAATTGCTTTAAGGGATTCAACAGTTAATGAATCATTAAAAGCTTCATTAATGAAAATCATTGATTTTAACTCATTCATGAATACATATAATTCATTCATTAATGTTTCATACACTTCTAAAGAAGGTGAGCCAAAAACTATAGATAAAGCGGTGTATGAAATAAAAGCATCAATGACGAAATTGAATTCGTTAACTTTTGATGGTGATAGTTCCGTTAACAGCATGACATCAGGAAAAACGATTTTAACGAAAGAATATTTAAAATCTCATGTTAGTGAGTTCGTTGAAATTGAAAAAGAAGGCGGAATTAAGTTCGATCCACTGGGTTTCATTTTCGACTTAGCGAATGCGGGTGTTAGTTTCGCTGAATGGACAACTATACAGAGTGAAATAAATGCAATATGGACGTTTTTGGGGTCAAAAGCGGGAATGGGTGAGCTTGTAAATGCTGCAAGAACATTAGGTGAAACAGGAAATTTTGTAGATGGTTTTAAAAGACTTGTTTCAAATGTTTTAACAAACACAAAGAAATTATTTAGATATACCGTACATAACGGACGATTTTCGAACAGATAGCAACAAACCCTCCGGTTATGGCTGCGTTGATGATGGTTAGAGATATAAAACCACGTAACGACGGGAACGAAGAACATGAACAACAGGATACTGGGTCAGTTATTCGAGACATTAAAAACGTGTATCCTGAAGTTATTGATTTATTTAGAGGTGTTAATGATTCGATTTCAAATCATTCTATAACCCTCGATGAAGAGAATAAATTAACAGATTATATATTCGTCATTATTGCAGAACTAATGAAGAGAATAAATGAAAAAGGTATAGCTGATATCATTAATGTAAGTGATGTAATGATGAAAAGAAATTTTGACTCATTATTTACAGAACCGAAAACAGAATATAGTCTTTATGACGTAATTACTGAATTAATGAAAAAGATTAATGATAATAAGAGTTCTGGCGGAAGAGTTGAATTAGAGGTGAATGATGTTAATGAGAAATTAGATAATAAAGCAGATAAAAACCATGTTCATTATATAAGTTCAGATGAACAGATTATAACGGATTATCATGGATATTTAACACAGGATGAAGAAGTGAAGACGGAAGATGTTAATGAAAGAAGATATAAATTCATTCGTGCTGAAGGTTATGACATACGTTGTACTGTACAGTATGACACAGGTAAAGCACCAGAAGCATTTGGTTATAACAATGAAATTTATGCTTCATACTTCTTTGTTAACGGTGTATTAGTTGAACCAAGATTTATGTTGAGAGTTAAGGCAAAAATAACTTTTGAAGATGCTATTAAAAGTAAAGCTGACAAAGATGAACTTGACGCAACGAACAAAGTTTTGAAATCTCATAAACACAATATCTCCGATATAAATGAACTTCAAGCTACATTAAATAGTAAAGCTGACAAGAACCATACACATGAATCCTTCACTACTGTTAGAGCAGACGACATAATATTGAACTATACCCTTGGTTCAAGTGCACCTTTAGAGAATCCAAGTACAAGCGTAAAAGATACTCTTAATAGTTTAGATAGTAAATGTATGAACATTGAAGGTCGTGTCAGAAACTTTGAAACATATGAACTACCAGCAATGTTAGATAAAAAAGCAGATAAAGAACATACACATAACTCCTTCTCAACTGTTGCTATAGAAAGTATTGAAGGAACGGTTGGCGGAACTGGTGGGGATGCATTATATTATAAACCTCCTAACTTTCCACAAGGTTTAACATCGAATGAAAACATAACAACGAAGAAAGACATTAGCTGTAAAAATGTTTATGTCATGGATGATGAAAATAATGTTAAATTCACTGCTCAAGATTTATATGATAAGAAAGCAGACAAAACTTATGTAGATGAAAAAACAGAATATGCTAAGAACAAAGCAATAGATTATACAGAAGAAGCAAAGGAATGGGTCAATGAAAATTATGTGAAGAAGTCAGAAGTAAATGATGCGGTTAATGGTAAAATTAATGAAAGATTTTCGAATATAGATTCATTAACAGTTAATGACATTCAATTACATCATCAATTACCTGGTCAAAAGAATGTGGAATATAATAATCTTACTCATGTTCTCGATGGTTTCGATGAATTTAGAACTGATGCAACAAATGCGATTACAAGCATGAAAAATGAAATATTGCAAGCTATATATCCTGTTGGTTCTTTATATACATCAATGAACTCAACAAATCCAGCAAGTGTTTTAGGTTTTGGTACGTGGCAGCAGATTGTAGATAAATTCTTATACTGTGCTAACTCTTCAAATCAAACAGGTGGTTCAAAGAAAATTTTAGAAGCAAACCTTCCACCGCATAAGCATACAGGAACTACAAACTTTTCAGGATACCATACGCATACTTTCGATGACCACTACGTAGCTAACTGGCAAAAAGATTTTAACAGCGACAATACATTTAGACCATTAGATACTACATGCAAATGGGTTAAAAGAACAACTGATGAAGGAGGTAATCATACACATACATTTACAACAAATCCAACAGGTTCGGGTGCAGATTATATGCCACCGTATATTACAGTTTATGCATGGGTTAAAACGGACTGAAAGTCCTGAGCTCCAAAAGAGCGAACAGCATGAAATTTACTAAATTTATTTTTACATAAATGAGTTTAAAAGAAGTTTTCGAATCATCACCGTGGAGGTCATTTAAAAAATTCTATGAAGCTGCAAAGAATGCGGGATTTAATGATAGAACAGAAATTAAGAGATTTTATGATGAAAATATAGTTCATCAGGTTAAAGTTAATCCATACGACTACTACCTTCCCATTTATTCTAAAACCCATGATGCATATCAATTTGATACACTCGTTCAGAGTAAGAAAGGAAGAAAGCCACCATTTTTGATTTTCATTAATGTTAATACACGTAAAGCTTTTGCGTATATAATGAAAAATAAAGGAACAAAAGAAGTTTTAAGAGTTTTGCAGACGTTCGTGGCAGAACATCATCCCACTTCATTAACTTCAGACCAGGATTCAGCATACCTCAGTAATGAAATTACTAAATTTTTGATTAAACATAACGTTACTCATTATACGACTGAAGACCATAACCATAATATTTTAGGAATCATTAATTGTTTCATTAGAACGCTAAGAGATTTAAATAAAGAAAGAGATTTTACGGAGGAATCAATGAATAAAGTCATTAATGCTTATAATAAATCAACTCATAACAGCACAGGATTTAAACCAAACGAAATGACTTCAAAAGAGGAGGATGAATACATAAAACAAAAGAGAATGTTAACGGAGGAAAGAAGAAGTTCATCATTACTGCCAGGAACTAAAGTTAGAATCATTCTTGAACATAAACCACATGAAAAGGTAAGAAATCAGTTAAGTGATGATTATTATATCGTTGATTCCTCACAGGGTAATGGTTATTTAATTAAAGCAGCTGACCATTCGGTTGCGTTTTATCCACGATTTCGATTAGTTGAAAGCGAAAATGGAAGATTAGCTAAGACGGTTGATGAAGCGAAAAGAGGTATAGTTAATAAAATTGTGAGTTATGATGAAGACAAAGATGAATACACTGTCGTTTATGAAGGAGGTGTGGATGATAAAATTCCTTCTAGAAATTTGAGAGAATCGAACCCTACACATTTATCGGAACTCGAAAAGGATTACTGGAAGGATAAAAATAAGCCAAAATTAATCAAAAAATTTTTATGAACTAAATATATTTTATGTCTGAAGTTAATTAGTTAATAAAGTAGCGGATGAACTGCAGAAATATATTTTATCGTAAATGTTTTCATTAATGTTTCGTAAATGTTTTCAGTGTCACCACGTCACCATGTCACCAGGTTAATTAGCTTCTTTTAAAAATGATGACAACATGACATTTAGACAACAGCACAGGAAATAAATGTTTTCGTAAATGTTTACGTTAATGTTTTCATAAATGTTTTCATGAATTTTATATATTAATGTTTTCGTTTATGTTTTCATAAATTTACACCAAAAATATATTTTAGTTGAAAAGGTTAGATATAACCCGATATCTACCCTCATTTCTACCCTCATGAATTTTCATGAATTTTATATATATATTAATGTTTTCGTTAAGCCACTTTGTGCCGTCAGTCAGTCAGTCAGTCAGTTAATGAAATTTACACCAAAAATATATTTTAGTTGAAAAGGGTAGATCTAACCCGATATCTACCCTCATTTCTACCCTCATGAATTTCCCGAAATAAAAAATAAAGTTAGTTTTTATTTTATTTTTATTTTTTTATTTTTATATAAATATGATTACAAAAATCGAAACATCCGCACTTTCGACATCAACGGCACCAAATTCATTAGTCATGAATCCTACGTCAATGTTAGTAGAAATGAAAAACTTCATTCCTTCTTCATTTACTTTCGAAACAGAAATACAAAAAATTAAGCAGGAACTTTTAACAAGTAATTTAGACTGTAGCGCGAAAGATGAAACAAATGGAGAGGAGTTATATGAAATGCAAGATATCATAGACCATTTACCTAAATTACCTGAAGTTCAGCAACAGAAACTAACTATTCCTGAATTCGATGAAATTGAAGTTAAAGTTAGTGATTCTGCAGAAATTAAGAAATTCATTCGTAAGGTAAATTCTGAATTCTTAGGTTTTCATTGTAACCACAAAGTTATGGATAAAGACTGCGACATGATTTATAAAAACATTTCAGATATTTATAAATCTGAGGAATTTAAGACATACGATAACTTTGTTTCATTAGCTGCTCAATGTGTGTGGGAGATTAGAGATAAAGACAGAAGAGGTAAAGTATGGCATGAACAGATAAAACCAACTGCTTCAGATTTAAAGAAAGCTATTGATGCTTTAGTTATTTTAGCAGGTAAGGTTTCAGAATATAACGCAAAAATGAATCCTCAGTGTTCGAAATGTAAAGCAGCAATTAGGAAATATAACTATTCAGTAAAAGAGATAGAAAGAATGAGAAAATTACGAAGATTTAAAGAGGGAGGCAGAGAAACCAGCAGAAAATAAATGAGAGAATTTCTGAATAAAAACTATCCCACAGCCGATGATTTCCTTTTATCTGATGTCAAGAAGAAGTATAAAGAAACTTTCGGTATCGTTAAAACTTTTGATATATTAACTGAAGAAATAGAAGCTACAAAAATATTTAAAATTTCACGAATTCATAACGTATATCATGTGAAACGTTTATAAAATAACTGGGATAGAAATGAGGGTAGATATCGGGTTAGATCTAACCTTTTCAACTAAAATATATTTTTGCTTTAATTAAATGTTTTCCGGAAACGTCGATGAAAATCATATGGACAAATTATAAAAAAATTAATAATGATTACCCCTCATTAACCAGGGAAATGACGGATTCTATAGTTCGTAAATTCGATGAAATACAGGATATGTGGTTCGACAGATTCGACATGAACGATAAGGAAAAGAGAAAGAACGATAACAATTTACTTACTAAAAGAATCCTAAAATCTAAAATAGGTGAAGCTTCAACATTTAATACAGTACATAACTTTTACACCGCTGTTTATATTTTCAATAATTTATTTAACGATGAACGAGAAAGAAAAGAAATGTTTAACGGAAGAAATGAATATGATTTTATCCTTTGTGCTGTTCGGGATGTTGACATGGAACTAAAGAAAATATTCTTATTACAAAAGATGACGTTAAGATGAAGTCAATGAGTTTTTAAATCGTGATTTAAATGAAATTGATGAAGTTATGACCGAATGTTATAAAAAGTTCAAGGGGTAGAAATGAGGGTAGATATCGGGTTAGATCTAACCTTTTCAACTAAAATATATTTTTGGTGTAAATTTTACTGACTGACTAACTGACTGACCGTAACTAATTATTTACAAAAATAATTCATAAATGCCTTCCTCCTTTCGTACCTGTTGTCTAAATGTCATGTTGTCATCATTTTTAAAAGAAGTTAATTAACCAGGTGACACATGGTGACGTGGTGACACCTTCAGTTCTTCAAAAATAAATTTTCTTATAAAGCTTCAGGGTCTATTTCCTCAATTACTTCACTTCCTTCTTCATCATATTCAATCGTTGCTTCCTCAATTACTGGTAGGAGTTTATGAATAACATCTTTATTCGTTATCGTCTTCAGAGATGAAGGATAATATTTCACAACTACTTCACCCAGAGGGCTCTTTGAGCCCATCTCGGCGCCTTGCGCCTTCTTGAATTCTTTCTGCTGCGATAAATCTAAAACAATGCTGAAAAATTCAACGTTAGAGTTCTTCATAATCGTATAATGTGTATCTTTGATATTTACAAATATTCCTTTCTGTTTAAGTAATACTGCTATTTCATGTGGTGTGTAACGTTTTCTGTCAATAATGATAGCGTATGGTTTAACGAACTGACCGTATTTAGATTCTTTCACAGACTTTTTATTGAATATAACGTTCACGTTTTTTCCATTTATGAATTCACCCTTAACAGCAGTAGCGAGAGCATTGTATGAATAGAACTTGTACTCAGACATTATTTTATTAAAATTAAAAATATAAATTATTTAAAAAAATTAAGTTTATTTTTAAATTATATTTTTTACGGAAAATATTTTTTTTATTTTCCATAAAAGATGTATAAAAAGCTATCTAGATTAGACCATGAAGAAATTAAGAAGTTATTGAAGAATGCTGACATTGAAGTTAGCAAAAGATATGCGACTAACAAATCTTCATTAGCTAAATACCTCAATGATTACAGAGGTGTAGTCACTTACGAGAAAATTAATGATTACATTAATAACAAAACATTTCCTTTAAAATGTTCAGGTTAATTTATATCATAAACAAGCGGTACCGAAGGAAGTAAGAGAAATGTATGATATAACTAATGTTAGTGTTGGGAAACGAGAAAGAAGAAAAGCGATGAAGAAAAGAAAAATATAGCTGTAAAGTATGCAAAAGCAATTGCACAATTACGCAAAGCAAACGAAGTTATTAAATCTATAGACGATAAAGCTCTTGATGACGAAAAATGGTTAAAGAAGGATGAAAATAATAAACGCAAAAATGTTAAAGCAGGAAATAGAATCATAGATTTTAATATTCGTGAACTCAATGAAGAAAACAGAAATTACCTACATGAACGTTTCGGTAAAATGTTTATTAGGCTTCTGCAGAAGATAAAAGTAAATTCACAGCAAAAATGGATGATTTGTTATAAACTCGATGGTAAATTTACTAATTCAACATTGAATATCGAGAACATCGGAGCTTTGCTTCATCAGTTAAAGCAAGAAAACTTTATAACAGAGATTGAAGCAAACGCAGCCGGAATAATTGAAAAACATTATGATTTCTTCATGACAAATATTAAGAACCTCGAAGAAATTAAAATGTATGATTTAACTGAATATGAAGGATTAACGATGAGCGATATTAAGAAAGGTAAGCCACAGAAGAGAGAAAAAAGAGATGAAAGTAAATTAACAGCACGTCAGCAAAGATTATTAAACAGACTTAAAGAAATAGGAGATAAACAGGATATAGATGATTTTTGGAATGAAATTCTTGATGAAAAGAGAACGAATAAAAAGAGAAGTGGAGAGTTTTGGAAGTATCTTTGCAGATTACCTATAAATCTTGAACGCTATCAAATTTTCAATGAACTTAACAAAAGAACTGCTAAGTTGATGACAGAAGATAACTGCTTCGTTTATGCTTGCATTCAGGCTGGAGTTGATGAGCAGACGGTAGACCACATGCGTGAAGTTATTAGAGTTAGAGATTTTCCACAAAGTAAGATTCAGGAAATTTCTAACGCAACAGGCATAGCATTTAATGTTACCATTGGTTATTTCAATGACTCTAGACATAATGAAATAAAGAGATATATACCAAAAGAATGTGAAACTGTTCGAACTATTGACTTACTTCTTGTTGAAGACCATTACATGTTAAATGAAAGATTACCTATGACAACATATTTTATCATAAATTATAACGAAATTCTCAAATCATTAGGCGGCTGGAATATTGAGCGTCAAATGAAAATATATAAGAAAAGGGAAAATAGATTTGTTATTGATTCTACGCGAACAACTCCTTTATGGGATATTTTGAAAACATTAAGAGAGTGCAATTACTTTGAACCGTTATCTTATGGTGAACTTTTCACTTATACAACAGATTTATATAAACAAAAACTTGCACCGTTTAAAGATTTAAATTATACCCCGAACTACTGTGTTCAGTTAAAGAAAAAGTCTGAAAGTAAAGATAGTGATAAATCAAAACAAAAATTCATTCCTGAACACATTTTCTTCGCTGACTTTGAATGTAGCACTGATGGAGTTCATAAAGCCTTTAACATTTGTTATGATAGTGAAGATGGAAAGATTAGCGAAAGCATTTGGGGTCAAAATTGTGCAACAAAATTTTTAGAAAGAATTCCTGATAAAAGTTTAATATATTTTCATAACCTCAGTTATGATATCAATTTCATTTTAAGACATTTAACAGAAATTAGCGGAACACCAATTATTAAGGGTTCTAGAACAATGCAGATAACGGGAATATATAAAGGTAAAGCAATCATTATTAAAGATTCATACACTGTTATAAATAAGAAGCTTAAACTATTTCCTGAAATGTTTCATTTGCAGTGTGGTGAAAAGGAAGTATTTCCGTATCAATATTATTCAAGCTCTTTATTAGTTAATGATAACAAAACTGGCGTAATTTCTGAAGCGTGTAAGTTTGTAAAAGATATTGAAACGTTCATGAAAAACATAGATTTAATCGAAAACTGCAGAATAGATGAAAACCATTTCGATTTAGAAAAATATAGCTCATTTTATTGCAAACAGGACGTAAGGATTTTAAGAGAAGGTTTTGTTAAGTTCAGAAATGATATATTGAAAGAGTTTGATTTAAACGTTTATGATTACGTTAGCATTTGTTCAATCGCTAACAAACTTTTCGAAAACAGAGTATATTTCCCGAATGGAAATTTATATGACCTTTCAAATAAACCAAGAGAATTTATTTCACGCTGTATTCAAGGTGGAAGATGTATGCTGTCAGATAACATGAAACAAAAGAGTGAAAAGAAACTCATTGCTGACTTCGATGCTGTTTCATTATATCCTCAGCTATTGCGAGACTTTATACTTTAGAAGGAATTCCAAAGGTTATGAAGAAAGAAATGTTAAACAGTGAATATTTGTTAAAACATTTATTCGATGATGACCAGGGCGAGCCTGAAGGTGAGAAATTCATTTCTGGATTCTTTGTTTTAATAAAAATAACCGAGATTAAGATTAAAAGGCACTTTCCATTAATAACAGTAGATCCAGAATTAAACCCAGAGCTAAAGGTTCCAAGAAGTTCTAACACATGCTGTTTAATGTATGTGGACCACATAGCTTTGCAGGATTTAATAAAATATCAGGGCATCAGCTGCGAAGTATTACAGTGTTACTACTACGATGAAAAAAGAGATTTTAGAATAAGAGATGAAGTAAAGAAATTGTTTGAATTGAGATTAAAGTATAAGAAGGAAGAAAATCCGCTACAAGAAAATATTAAATTAATTTTGAACAGTATTTATGGAAAAACTATTTTGTCCCCGATAGAGTCGAAAATTAAAATCATTGATGATAAAGATGCTGTTAGGTATGCCATCAGAAATTATAACCATATCATTAAATTTGAAGGTTTAGATGGTTCGGATAAAACTATTTTCAAACTAACTAAAAGCATTTGCAGACACTTTAACTTTTGTCCCTTAGGTGTTAATATCTTATCTATGTCGAAACGTATCATGAATGAAGTATTTTGCACTGCTGAGGATATGGGCTTAAGTATCTTTTACCAGGACTGTGATAGCATGCATATTTTCAATGAAGACATACCACGTTTAGCTCATGAATTTAAGAATAGATACGGTCGCGAATTAATAGGAAAGAATTTAGGTCAGTTTCATTCAGATTTTGCAGAAATCACAAAAGATAAACAAAGTTTA